TTATACTATCGTTTGTTACTACAGTAAAAAATGTAATGTAAAACTGTAATTTGAAATTAAATAAACTGTGCTAACATGTGGCATTTAACGATACAGCAGCTACTTAACGGCTAGCTAACAGAGTAAAGTGATCTGTTCTTCAATTCTGCATTTCTTCACTTCTGCACTTCTTTTCCCTTGTTCTTCGACTCTGTTTGACCAGCATCACTTCCATTCTTCTGCTCTAATATGCACCGGCCACTACGACAAGCAGAGCATCAGGTATCGAGGTTTCCGGCTCGTCTCTCGTCTCTGCTTCCCATGGTTTGGCTCCACGGGTGACTCCAACTTCTCGCTCCGCCGCTCTGGCAATGGCTCTGCCGCCAAGATCTCCTTCCCTATCTTCTTCTTCCATGGCGGCAGACTGATCGACGTGCGGCATGGTGGCCGGGTTTCGTCTAGCCATGTCTCCGTCTTCACCTTCCTCACATTCACCGTCGTCCTTGGAGTCGCCGCCACGCACGGCGTTGTCGATGATCGCCATGCCGCTTGCGCGACTCTCACCGCCAGATAGGAACCACAACGACCCATCGCGACCCTTGCTTAGCGTTGTCGGCCGATTTCGGCATTCTTGGTCGTCCTCCAGCCGGTCACTGCTGCTTCTCGAACCAGCGACGTCGATGTCGTCGCCTTCCTCCTTTTCAATTCAATCGTCGCGCCTCCTTCCATCGTCATCGTCATGAGTAGAGACGTTGAAGACGGTTACACCTCGCGTGCGATCCGCGACTCCAGCGCAGATATCCAACAGTTGACGCCACCTTCCACATCTCCAGCCTTCGTCACCGCGACTGGAACCGTCGGAATTCATTCCGTCGACCTTCGCCTTCCTTTGTTCTGGTCTCTCCTTCGTCGCTGCTTCTTTTGTTCAACAACGCGCGACCAACCAGGTAATGGGAAGCAAACTCGGTCTGTTGTTCCTCTTCACAGCGACTGGATTGGCCGCAGATCGCGACGTCTCCCGCACGACTCCTGCCGCCTGCGATTGACTCCGGCGACCTTGCTCCGGCGATGTGCTCGATTCCTTCCTCTTCTTATACGTTGGCAACTCCCTCGCCAACTTCTTTCCCGGTGGTGAGCAGACCACCTATCGGCAATTGGGATGCGAGCCTGCTTCCTTCGCCGCTTTCAACTCCATCCCCGGTGACGCAGATGGCGAGGATGCTCCTTTGCTTGGCTTTTACCTTCCGCACTCCTTCTTTCGTAACTTCCATCCGTCAATTGGGGGGTCTCAATGGCATTGGGGTTGTTCCGGGAGCAGTACCTTTGATGTAATTGAGCGGAACGTCGTGTTCCCGCTTGCTGGTGATGGTTGCCGATGGCAAGGTTGCTTCCCGGGCAACCACTACGGTTGTGACAGCTGTGGTCGTAGCCGAGACATCAACGTCGAGAGCTGCAGCTGGTGCTAGTGATGACGAGACGGCCGCGGCTGGTGACGATGGTGAGACGATGTGACCCAGTGTTGTGGGAGTGGCCGATCGCAGCTGTTGGTCCTCTGGGATCTCCTTCATCAATGCCGCACTCCTACGAGTTTCATGGTATCGTCGGTCAAGAGCTTGATGTAGCATCTCCTCCAATCGAAACCATTCTTGATCAAAGAGCTTTGAGGAACTCATTCTGGCTCTTGATTGAGATTTTGTCGTCCCTAGTTGAGAGTTTTGAAGAACTTGTTCTCGAAACGGGGCTCTGATACCAAATGATAGAAACCTATTTCTAGGGTCCTATCGATTGTGATGGGTGATTAAGAATTTAGGGATTTGGAGATAGAATTGAGGATTGGGATTGAGAATTTGGGGAAGAAGAAGAAAAGAATAAGAATCCGCCGAAACCTTGGATTAGAGGAGAAGAGAAACTAGGAGATAGAGAGAGCTTAGGGTTTGGGGAGAAAATTCTTCTATCGATTTCTGCTTAATCGTAAATGAACGCTCGATTGCATATTTATAGGAAAATACGGGAAAACCCTAACAAATAACCTAATACTACCCAAATACTACTAATCCTGATAATAATTATCCTACCATAATTAATAATAGAAATCTCAAATAATTAGGTTTCTATCAGGATTTCTTGAATGGGAAGAAAAAAGGTGTAAACGGTAGGATTGATGTACAGTTACAAGGTTAAAAATATAGATACCGCAACAATTGGAGGTATTCTGACTGTCCTAGAGAACCATGCGAGACATCCATCCCAAGGATCATGGTGGGAGCCTTGGATACCACAGTTATGGAAGGAGAGTGCTCCACAGAGAGCAAAGAGTTCAGACCACCAAGCTTCAAGTAGAGAGAATATGCAGAAGTGAGACATTGAAACAGACTACTTTTATTACTGTTATTAGAGGTGGCAATTAGTATCCAAATTCATGAATCCAATCCATCCACCAAATTATCTACCTAATCCAATCCATTTAAATCCAATCCATTTGATCCAAATCCAATTGGATTGGTGGATTCATGGATCAATCCATGGATCCAAATGACAAATTACGATTTGGTACCTATATTTTTATATTTTACATTTTGGTAACTAAATTTTATATTTTTATACGAAAAATAACATTGGAAAATTACATTTTGGTACCTAAAATGTTTCATCATGACATTTTAGTACCTAAACTTTTCAAAAATTACATTTTGGTCCAAGCCTTGGATTTCATTTGGATTCATAGATCAATACACTAATCCATTTGATCCAATCCATGAATCCACCAATCCATTTGATCCCTTGATCCACCAATCCAATCCACGAATCCGATCCAATTACCACTTCTAACTGTTATTGATATATACTAGAGATAAGTCTTCCAAACAACCTTGGCATTGATCTTCAGGAGAAGATTTGTAAGATACTGATCGTTCATGTTTTGTGGAGCCATACACTGTGTTACAATTCCAAACTCAGCAAGATTCTTCCGCTTCCAAGGCCCTTCACCAGAGATCAGAGATACATTAGGACAAAAAAAAATGCACTAGAACCTATACTAGAGATGAGTCTTCCAAACAAAGGGCCTCCAAACAACCTTGACATTCAATAGTTGAGGTTGGACCGGCATTGCTTTTTGTCAAAAATGGATCCGAGTCAAATGAATAATTCCCAAGCTTCAATTTTGCTATCGTGTTCACGAAATGGTGCGAGCCGTGCTCATAGCGTTCTACATTCGTCCCATCGGGACAAATACATTGCAACCGACAATGCACATGATGGTCCGACAATTACAAAACGTTTTATCCTGATTCAACAAAATGCTTCAATAAATGCAAAGCATCGTGAGCACGTTTTCATAGATGCACCCGTAAACACCATAACCGAATCGCCAAAGCTTTCGTGCACACGGCGGCCACTTGGTATTGGTAGTAGGGGTGTGCAATGTTCCGGTCCAAAGCCGGATAGCATCGGACTAAATTGAAGTTTGGATCGGACTTACCGGACCGAGTATAATGTGGTCCGGTTCTTGGTCCCTGTGAATTTTATAATTACTGAAAAAATGATGGACCGAGCTGATATTTATACTCGGTCCGGTTCTTAGTACCTGTGAATTTTACAATTACTGAAAAAATGATGGACTGAACTGATATTTGGACCGAATCAAACCGGACCAAATGGACCTAATGCAACAATAGTCCGATTCTTGATTCTAAAATGTCTATCACTAATAGACCGAGGTTCTCAGACTGGACGGAACCATTGCAAACCCTACTGGGTAGCATCCAAGGACCGCTTCACTTTTCAACAATCGCTCTCCCCTATTCCAAGTACACGCATTCAGGCGGGCGAAATCCCACTGCCTAACTAACAGATAAATCTAATAAATGGACAATAATGGAGAAAATTGATAGTCCTCTGTACTATATTACCTCCACTCTCTCTGTTTCGCTGCCCTGCTTTTACTTTTCAACATCGTCGGCCTTGACTGAACTCCACTTCCACCATTCCTTCCGTCTCTTCTCCTCCTATAAATCAGACACCAACCCAACACCCAAAACATCACCTTCATCCACAATCACTGAAAAAAAAATGGAGAGATTGAACGTAGCTGTGGTTAGATCCGCCCTACTCCTCTGCCTGTTCGTCACGTTAGCCTGTGGGCAGAACTGCGGCAGGCAGGCTGGGGGCCGCACCTGTGCTAACAACCAATGTTGCAGCCAATGGGGCTTCTGCGGAACCACCGATGACCACTGCAACCCGGCTAAGAACTGCCAGAGCAACTGCAGGGGCGGCGGCGGAGGAGGAGGAGGAGGCGGCGGCGGTGGTGGAGAGAGTGCTTCTAATGTGAGGTCAACCTATCACTTGTACAACCCCGAGCAGAATGGATGGAGCTTGACCGCGGTCGGTGCGTATTGCTCTACCTGGGACGCCAACAAGCCTCTGGCCTGGCGCCGGAAGTACGGTTGGACCGCATTCTGTGGGCCGGTTGGACCGCGCGGCCAGGCTTCTTGTGGCCGCTGCATGAGGGTACGTTACGATCGATCGTATTCATCTTACGTATGTTCGCCATGTCATAAACCAGTTGTTTCCGATAACTAGCTAGTAATCGGAGTGTATGTGCTTGTTGTTGCAGGTGACGAACAGGGGAACAGGGGCGGCAGAAACGGTGAGGATAGTGGATCAGTGCAGCAATGGAGGGCTGGATTTGGACATCGGCGTGTTCAGGAGGATTGATACGGATGGAAGAGGGAACGCGCAGGGACACCTCATGGTTGACTATCAGTTCGTCAACTGTGGAGACTAAATCAAACCAAAGACTGGACTTGGACATATTGCAATTCTGTGCATGTTGCAAACATGGATGGTGCAATGCGGTGAAAACTTGATAATAGTATGATTACAGAAATAGAATAATTGGCAGTTAAATCGGCTAGGCCGAGGCTGATCCACGTATGTCTATTGTGTCGCGTGATTCGAATAAGAACATGTAATAACTAATGGTTATGTCAATGTCATAAAGGTTGTAGAGAAAAACAAGCTCTTCAAGTCACACTTTACTATGATCCTGAATTCCTTTTTTTTTTTTTTGACAATAAGATACTTTCATTTCTTAACCGAACAAAGGTAAAGCGTTACACTCAAGTGATAGAGTTTGAGATAAGATCAAGAATAGTTATCCAATCTTGTGGAAGAGTGGAGTGTGCCTTTCCACGGGCTACCCAATCAGCTCGAACGTTAAGGCGGCGCGGAATGGCCACCACCTTGATAAGATTAGATGTTCTTAGAATCCCACACATCATTGCAAGCTTTGCCGAGCAACGCCATGGCCAAGATGAGGGAGAGGAGGAGAGGGCTTTCACTAAGACCTCACAATCGGACTTGACCACACACCGGATATTGTATTCTTGAGCTAGCTTCAAACCTTCCAAAAGAGCACAAGCTTCAGCCTCCATCGGTGAAGAGCAAAGTACTGAGTCAGCTCGTCCGTCACAAATCTGTCCGTGGTTGTTGATGATAACGATACCATAGGCCGCCTCCTGGGAATCATGTAGAAATGATCTATCACAGTGAATCTCCAAAACGGGATTGCCTGGCGGTGAACAGGGATGAGAGCGGGGCCCTCTGGGCTGACTCTGAACAAGATGACCCACAACTGGCCTCTTGGGACACGTAGACCACTCCTAGCACTCTCGGCAAGCTTTGATGCACGTATTGTACGGTGATGGAGTGCATTCCCTAAACACAAGCTCATTCCTCGCTTTCCAAATATTCCAGCACGGAAACACAAGTTGGAGGATGCTCGAGGGCGCGAGGCTGTCCTTCAAACTGCAAAACCAACCAAAGAAAGAGGAAGAACTCGAAGGGAATGGAAGGGAAGGAAAGAATCTGTTCCAAGTATTAGCCGCATGGTCACACAGGAAAAGACAGTGAAGGAGAGACTCATCTGGGCTTTAACAACAAGGACATATAGTATTTGGAGAGCATTTCCTTCTTCTCAAATTGCTTTTCGTAGCTATGAGGTCTTTAGCACATCTCCAAATGAAGTAATGCAGTTTCGGTGGGAGGGACAAGCTCCAGATCCATTTCCACCGATCTTTATCAAACTCTGAGATGTCATTACTAAGTGGGGTTGCTGCTCCCCCCATCGATTTGTGGAAAGTGTGATAAGCAGACCGGACCGAAAATTCTCCCTTCTCCGTAAACTTCCAAGCCCAAAAATCAATCCCATTCTCTAGACCAATAGGTATACATTTGATAGCATTTGCTTCCTCTATAGTCACCTCGCTTGCAAGAAGATCTTGATTCCACTCTCGGCTAACCGGATCAATCCACTCGGCCATCTTGGTCATTGAATGGGTAATCTGATGTAAGCGAAAACCCGGGATAGAATGCACCCATGGATCATTGAAGGCTCTGGTTTCCTCTCCCGACCCAATAACTCTAATGACTCCCAAGTTCAAGACCTTCTTTGCTTCCCACAAGCTTGACCAAATCCACGAGGGCCGACTACCCTTTCTAGCAGAGAGAAAGTCTCCTTGGTGAAAATAAATTCCCTTGAGTAGGCGAGCCCACAGGGCCTGAGGTGAATGGATAAGTCTCCAAGCTTGTTTTTCTAGGAGTGCCATATTGAAATCCTTGAACTTCCGAAATCCCAAACCTCCTTCAGATTTAGGAGAGCATAAAATCTCCCCCTTACACCAATGTATTGATTTCTTAAGCATAGATCCTGACCAGAAGAATCTTCTTAAAATAGCATCCATCTTCTTGGTGAGAATATCAGGCAATAAGAAGAGGCACATAATATATGTAGGGATTTCCTGAATAACCGCCTTGATGAGAACTTCTTTCCCCCCAAAGGACAGCAGCAAACTCTTCCAAGCCTCCCCTTTTTTCTCCATCCTTTCGATAAGATATGAGAATGTTTCCTTCCTTGAGTTTCCCCACTTTGTTGGTACACCTAAGTACTTAGAATGACAATTAGTGCTAGTAAACCCCATCGTATTAATAATGTCCTCCTTCTCGCTCTGGGTTACATTCGCACTGAAGAAAACAGAGGATTTGGCCCCATTCACCTCTTGACACGTAATTGCACCATAATCATTGATAATTTGAATGATCCTGCCTGCCTCAAGAGTATTTGCTTTCCCAAATATAACTGTATCGTCAGCAAATAGACAGTGAGAAACCACCGGACACCTGGGGTTGAGCTTGATACCTTGAATAAGTTGAGATCTCACAGCTTTCTCGATGAGGAAAGTAAGGGCATTCGACATTAAAATGAATAATAGTGGCGACATCGGATCTCCTTGCCTGATACCTCTAGATGGAGAGAAAAATGAGGTCGCCTCTCCATTGAAAAGAATCGAGAATCGAACCGATCTAATGGCAGCACTAATCCATTTACACCATTGAGGAGCAAAACCATATTTATGCATGAGGAACTCAAGGCAATCCCAATCAACAAGATCATAAGCCTTCCTCATGTCAAGCTTCAACATCATATCCCTCATATTCCCATAGCGATGGATTTTGAAGTGATGAAGGACCTCATGGACAATAATGATACTATCCTGAATGGACGACCTCTAGTGAATGTCGTTTGTAGCTCAGAGACAATAGAGGGAGCCCACTTCTTTAGCCGTTCTGCCATAAGTTTTGAGATGATCTTGTATCTAAAATTGCAACAACTGATAGGCCGAAATTCACTAATCATCTCTGGGAATTTAACCTTAGGGACAATCGCAATGTGCGTGTCATTCCAACCTTGTGGCATCTCTCCCGAGCAGAAAAAACCTCTTATTTCATAACACATTCCTTCCCCAATGATGCTCCAGAATTTCCTATAAAAGGATCCAAAAAAATCCATCTGGCCCAGGGGATTTGCTTGGCCCCAATTTAAACACCACCTTACGTATCTCCTCATTAGTGAAGGGAGCACATAATTCCACATTCATTGCCTCAGTCACTTGTTGGGGAAAATCATGTAAGAGGTGATGAAACTGCCTCCCATCTCTTGCTGTAAACAGATGCTCAAAGGAGGATTTAACATGTGCTTTCAGCTGTGGATCATCTGATATCCACGTTCCATCCTCTTTTTTCAATTTAGAGATGCGTTTTTTATGTTTCCGCTGAATAGTGCTGGCATGAAAAAAGGGTGTATTCTTGTCACCTTCCTGTAACCAATTCACTCTCGAGGTCTGTCTCCAAAAAGTCTCCTCATCGGCCCAAATCTTACCAATCTCTCCAAGAAGCCTCTTCTCCTCCTCAATAGCTTCATTTGACCGAGGAGGGCGTTGGAGTGTAGCTAACCTCTCCTGAATCTCATTTGCCCTCTTCGTTTGATTCTTGTGGGAAATTCGAGACCATGCTTTAAGCTCTCTTTCACACTTAGCAAAGTTATTAGAGGACAAACCCCCCATTGTCCAAGCTGCAGCAATAATTTCCCCGCATTCTTCTTTATCAATCCATCTCTTATCGAACCGAAAAGGAGTCTTACCATGCCCTTTCCTCCTAAATAATTCCAGCCTAATGGGAAGATGGTCAGAATTGACCAAATTCTCATGAAAAACAGCAGCTTCATCAAACTGTAATCTCCAAGAACTTGAGCAAAGAACTCTGTCCAAACGTTCCCTTGTCAACCCGTCTCCACCATGTTTGTTAGTCCAAGTAAACGGTTCACCGGTGAATCCCGGATCAATCGAGGAGTTTTGAAAGATGAATTGCTTGAAGGGATTGACACTCTCATACCAAATAGGGCATCTTCCTTCTTTTTCATGCTCCCCTACCACCGCATTGAGGTCCCCTATTACAATCCATTTATCTTACCTATCCTCTCTAAGAGAACTAAGGAAATTCCAAAACTCCTTCCTATCGCTAGGATTCGAAGGGGCATGAACAAAAGTACAATAGAACTTACAACCATTATCTATTACTACATCTATATAATACTTGTTACTACCAAGGATAGTAATATTAACTCCGTGCTTCCACCAAATTGCTAACGCCCTAGCTCTATCCACGGGGTCAACATAGTGGCCATCAACAAAATTCGTCTCTCTTCTTTTCTCCTCCATGAAGCTCTCCAATTTTCTTGTTTCCATGAGAAAAAAGATTGACGGGCCAAAACGATTGTTAAGTCGTTTCAAGTAACTTCTTGTAAGGGATTGGCCGAATCCCCTACAATTCCAGCTAATGATACTCATTCAATATAAGGTGGCTTTTGGCGAACCACCGCTGCCATCTCATTGGGATTGTCTTCATCATACCCGCCTTCAGTCTCATATGAAATTGGGACCCTGCTCCCCTGTTCCTCCCCTGTATGCTGGCCTCTCATGCTTTTCCCAGCTCCTGTCTTTTTCCCTTTAGAAACTGTCTTCCTTTTTTCATTTGCAGCAGTCGTTCGGGCTTGGCCCTTTGATGGAGAACACCTCCCATAGATAAATTTCTCCAGGCTCACCATACCAACTGGTTTTCTTTTCTTTTGAAGTCTATTATTACCTTCCTCAAAAATATCCTGGGCCAACATCTCATCTTCAGTAGGGAAGAGGTCCATCAAGTTGGGCCTTGCCTCAAAGGGGAATCTACCAGCACCCTCCACTTCCATACCTTTCCCCTTCTCTGCTTTTTCATTCAGATCAAACCTAGCCTCCATAGCCACTGCAATCTTTTCCAAATCACAATCTAGCCTTCTTGGATTAAGAGCTTTGCCATGTGACTGAGTTGTTATTTCTGGGAAGAATTCAGTGACCGTTAGGGTGTAAACTATTCTCCTGTCTTCAGAGAACCCTGGTGGACAAGACTGTGGGTGGGCCCTGCTCTCCACGATCGTTGTTGTTGGGGATGAAAAAGCTTCCCTATCTCCACTCCACGCGCCACCCTGAGAATCCGCCGATCTTCTTTCTCCATCTGACGGCGGGCTACCTAGCCTGCACACAGCTTCTTGGGAGTGTTTCCTGTTCTTCTCAATAGGTGAGGCCTGGGATGCTCTATTTGCCTTCAGATCTGCACTATACTTCCCAGATGGGGTCCCTGAGCCTCCTCTAAGCATATCTGTGTTTCTCCAGCGGCATGAATGCATCTGGTGGCTGATCCTCCCACAATAATAGCATAGATCTCCAAGCTTTTCATATTTGAAAACAACTTCCACTTTCTTTTCTCCCCAAGGACAGTCGAAGCCCACTGGGATCGGCTCATTAAGTTCCACTTCAACCAAGAATCGCACATACCTTCTCCAGCCATTAAACTCGATGCCTGATTTATCGTACTTGTGCATCCCAAAGAAAAACCCAGCCACCGCTTTGAGGTTCTCCTCCGATCTGAATTTTTGAGGGAGATCATGAATTTGCACCCATATAGCCATACTATCAACCTCCACCTCCTCTGGCTTTATACCTCCATCCCACTTCTTTAGAGCCACCAAAGTGTTGGATAAAATCCATGGCCTCTCCATCCACACCCTCTCGCGGATAGCCTCTGATGGGAAAGAGAAAACAAATTTGTTTTCTCTGAGGTACCTGATGTCGATCTCCCCAAATCTGGACCATGAGTAGTCCACTGCTCCCTTTATCGTAGCATAGTTGAAAGACTTTTCTGCCATCATCTTCCCCACCAGCATTGAGATCCCACTATCATCATTCACGGCGAGCTTCAGAACAGGGTTTCCCCCTCTGCTAGAGCTTCCCTGGTTCAGATTGAGACTCAGCTCCATTGATTTTTTGTTGTAAAAGTAGTAGGAGTTGAGAGGTGGGAATAAGATCTGATTTTTTGCTAGCTCAAAGTTAGTTTCTGGGAGAAGACGAGGTAAGGGATCCCTCCATTCTTTGTATCTTCTTATAAAGGGCTTAGCTGCACCATAACTGAGTTTGGTATCTTTCTTTTCCAGCATTGAATTCATCCTTCTCTCTGTTAGTGAGCTTCGATATCTCCTTGAACTGACCCATATCTTCACAGCGTTTGGCTCAAGGTTGACACTTCCCATCTCATTAATCTCTGGATGGTAGTTAAGTTTGGGGTTCCATTCTATGTCTTCCTTAAATTCCTTCCCCCTTTGATACCCAATAGCAGTAGTTCCTTTAATATGTTGGTTGACCAGACGGTCTGGAGGCTTCCATATCCACAGGTAACCAAATCTCTTTATGTTGTGGTAGATTACAGATTTCGTGCAGCCTTTCCCAGATCTGGAGTCTCTTCCTAGCACACTACTGCTCTTCTTGAATGCCCTTTCATCTGCCCCTAGTCCTTTAACTTGGTCAGATGGTGAAATGTAATAACTCTTGCTTCCTTCCAGGTTGGCACCATGAGAAATCCTCAACAATGAGGTTGGAATATAGCCATCAGTAGGCTCACAATCAAAACCACTACTGGGTTTAAGAAGAAGAAAGCTCGTACAAAGCATTTCGGAGATGAGAGAAGATTTCGGGTAGTGTAGGGTTACGTATTAGGCTTTTCTAAGTCTATAAATATGTAAGTTCGACATTAGTTCCGTATCCAATTAATTAATCAAAGGTTTATAGACACCAACGTCTTTCTCTCGCTTGTGAGTTACAAGCAAACCCCTTGAACTGTGGGTAACAGTTCATCAATTGGTATCAGAGCCTGGTTGCGCCATATTCTACAAGGGAGGGTGACATGGTTCTTGACCTAGCCCCGATCCACGAACTAAAGCTACGCACGTTGGCGACATGTGAGGACATCACAACGACTTGTGCACAGCTAGCCGTAACATGTAAGCAACTCAAGGCGCGATGCCGCGAGTGGGAGCTGAACGATGATCGCGCAACAATCCCGCATGGGAAGCGCAACAACGACGACGTGGCCCGCGTCGACTCCAATGAAATCAGGGCGATGGAGGAGATCAAAATCTCTGTCAACGAGATCGTGGGAAGGGAAACAGTACACACCGGTGAACCTCGCCGCTGCGAGGCTATCATCCTTCGATCTACAAGCTGCAAGAAGGAGATTAAAGCTCGAGCTCGAGGCAATGGCGGCAGAATTGCTATTAACAATGGGAGCTTTACGGATTCATTTGAAAATCCTCCATTAGTACACAAACTGCCGGTGGGGAAGACGCCGGAATGGAAGTCACACGAGTTGTGGATTGGAACTGGAACCGGACGCGCACTGCAGGCTGAGTCAAGAGAGCTGGGAAAGCAGCAGCTTGAATCTTCCTTGAGTGATGAGGTGACGTTGCTGGTCACACAGGTTGGAATTGAGGTGCCCAATGATTCAACCATGTTTGCAAGGGGAAGAATGGATCCTAGATATTCTTGGAAATTCAATAGAAAAAGGGGAGCGGAGGTGTAGGGTTTCTGGAAGGGGAAGGGAGATCCCCAATTGATGTTCTCCAGGCTTACGCTTGGCTTTGAATTGATGTTCTCCAGTAAGGAGATGGGTTTTACCCTGAATTCATGGACGGTTCATGAGCTTAACAGATTTAGCATAAACCCATTGTAGTGAATGTTTCATGGGAACTGTAAATATGAAATCGTATTTTAGCTTTTGTAGTTTTGGATGAAACATACAGGTTATGACGAGTAAGTTATATCTTATAATTGTGACATTTGGTGCTATTGTACTATCATGTTCATGTTTAAGGTAAATAAACATGGAATTTTGGTAGCTCAAACATGCTTTCTGGATGCAGAATGTGCTCTTTGCCACAAGAGTAGAGATGTAGTTTATAAAACTGAAACACCTGCTCACAAGGAAGAATAACAAAGTACTCATGTCGGAATGACACGGTTGATGAATCCAGTTAATCTTGGTATGACAATCCTCTTTTGGTCCTTCAATTCTTTGAAATATATAACTTAATGGATAGGACTATCGCAAGTTGGTCCAAATTTTTGAAGATACACTACGTTACTCTTTCATTTCTTTGATACAAGTTAACGCAGAGTACTATACATAGTTGGTACTTGGTTCAGCTTCATAGAAGACACAAAATTTGTCTGCATTCAGATATTTGGATTTAGATATGGGTATGACTAAAATCATGGCGCTGCTGTCATTCCCGTATGGGTGGTTTATTGTGTAGATATTTACATCTAATGTGAGAATACTTGATAGGAAAATTAGATTACAGAACTCGCGAAAGAACTCTGTGTTCTCCTTCATTTAGAAGCTTTGTGTTGATTTTACAAACTCTTATCATTATTATCCTTAATTGGTCCTTGCCCAAATGTAAGGATGGAAACTTTTCAACTGGAAGTTTCCACTGATTGTGTGAGTGAGTTTTGTTGGCGAGTTATGCTTAAAGGATTCAGTAGTATGTTAATCAACTGTCTATTCCGCTCCCGTGAGTTGTCATCTATTGTGTTGATTGACGCTCGATCCCTCTCCCGTTCGTTCTTCACTGGATTGATGCTTTTCTATGTTGCTTGCAGTCTCTCTTCCTCAGTTCGGTGACCAAATTATATTTTGGATATGGATGCTGTGGGATGGATTTGTTCAGGGAGATTCCCCCGTTGGAGGTAAGATCTCTTTATTGTTTGTTCTTCATTCCCCAGTAGTTGCTTGCATTGGTTCATGTGGGGTATTAAAAGCAATTTGTGTTTGTTCTCATTTCAATGCATCATAACCGATATTATCTCTTAGCTGGAGTATTTTATTTGATCCCTAGATTGCTTCTCATTGTGTTATAGTTAGCTTGCGCCATCTGGTAATTGTTGGTAAGGGAAATTTGGTATTTGGATGTGGATTTCATTTTAGTTGGTTGGGAATCAATTTATTAAGCAAATTTGTCTCTTGGTTTTAGGTCTATTGAACAATATGGAGTTCCAGTTGTATCATTTCCCTGATCTACTCATGTTATTTTGATTTAGCCCTTTGATTCTAGGTGTGTGTTAGTAACTCAGTATATATTTAAGAGTGAGTATGTTGTGGTTGCTTAATTGCAGAGCCTTCATTGAAGTTTTGAAGTGACCAAAGACAGAAGTAGATTGCTTAACCAGAATCCTTGGCTTGATCCATATAGCTTCAGCTTATGCCCTTATTTTGGGTTATATGTTGTACTTTGAAAATGACCTGAATCCTTCTAAAGGTCACGAGACAAACTGTATTGTAAGTTTGAGAAGAAGAAAGGAAACAGAAGAAAATGAAGAACCCAACAAATGCGTAGCCGGTTGAATGCATAACAGAGGGGCTTTACATAGTGAATTTGCTCAGAGTTCTGTAGAATCCCCTAATGCAGTAAAGAAGAAAATGAATCTTGGAGGAGTTCAAGAGATGAACTTGATACAAGCCAAATTAGATATGTAGGTGAAGTTAAGGAATTATCTAGCAGGGTACAAATGTAACCACAATCAGATTGTAGTGCTTTAAAAGGGAGGTTCTCGCCTTTGTTATGTCTAACTCCATTTGTCTGTTTGAAAAGGCCCTCTTGATGTTTTTTCGGTTGTATGCTAGGCTGGATTTTGGTTTTACAGGTTCAAGAATGCCAAGATTACACAACTTCGGCATAGATTGATAGCCTCATGATCATAGCTTTAATACAATTAGTAAATACTCTTCCCTCTCATAGGATTCAGTTCCGTATAATGTTCCACTTACGCAATACCTTTATTTACCTTGGTGCTTATCAAATAATTCTTTGCCCGCCAGCCGCGGATAGTCTTAATTGGCTTTGTTCTTATCATGGTGGTTTTATGTAGCTTTTAAGATTAGGAAACGATCCTCACGTACATATTGGAAATGTTGAACTGATGCAATTTGTTATCACCATTGTCTGCTTTAATAATTGATTTTAAGCTTTTGATAAATAATGTGATGGTGGTACACCTAAGCCTTGAATTAAGTGATGGATGAAGGGATCAAGTTGAGTTTAGTTTTGTTCTATAAATAGGCAATTCTATCAGTGAGCAACATTCATACCTTGCATGCTACAATCTAGATTGCTTGAACTTCCATTTCCTTCGCACTCGCTCTTGCTCACGCCTTCTATACTTATATATTATTGTTCTAATCTAACCAAACAGAACTTGAGACCTCACAGAGGAAAAATTTTCATTCAGACCCCTAGGAACTGTATGGCATAGTTAGTCTCCTTGTAAGCAAACATAAGTCTCATAGCTACACATGTTTCTCGACTGTTGGGTGTGCAGATACAATGTTGAAGAGGTTGATAATTATCCAGTTCGTCTCTGATAGCAATCAAGTTTACATAATACTCTGTGACAGATTGACTACCCTGCTTCAAACTGCTTAAAGCTTCAGTGAGTTCAGCTATTCTTACCACATCTCCTTGTCCATACCTAGATCTGAGGCTTCTCCAGGCTTCAAGGGAAGTCTTGCAAGACATGATGGTCTTTCTGATGACAGGATCAACTGCTTGCTGGATCCACGACAGCACCATGACGTTGTTTCTGTTCCAAGCCCAAGCATTATGATGTGCATCTCCTGGGTGAGGAATGGTGCCATTAATGAATCCAAGCTTGTTCTTGGCTCCCAGAGCGTTCAACATGCCCTGGCTCCCGTCGTTGTAGTTGGCAGTGGTAAGTTTCTCTCCCACCAACAACAACCCTGGTTGCTCACATCCATGTAGGTATCAGGGATCCGCCATGGGATCAACATTGACTTGAACATTGGGTTGTACATTCTCTACTGCAGCTGGATCTGCTTGGACATTTTCTGCCATGTTTTGAGGCGACTAGGGTTCTCTAGGAACCAGGATCTGATACCATAACAACGTTATGGATCGAGCAAACCCTAAATCGCTACTTCTCTCATTCCATTTCACAGCTTATATAGCTGGTGAACAAGTCACAAAGGGTTACAGAAACCTTACAAAACAAGGAAGAAGACAAAGTTTGGAAGCAAAGTAAGTACAGGCCGAAAAAGGAAAAGAGTAGTCTTTAACAAATTTGAGGACTAAGTGGCATTTTGCCAGAAACAACGTCACTCCACGTGCGTTGCTTCTTCTCTTCAATGAAGCCTGGAACGGTGTCGCGCTGCTTGCTTTTTATTGATGATGATGAAACGATGTCGCTGGGATTCTGCTTCTTCTTCTCTATAAGCATAATGTCTCTGTTCAGAGCCGTTGGGGATTCAAACGAAGCAGAGCGCGAAAATCCTTCGCATTCCCCTGATAAATTGTAATCCAATTTATCTATCATTTACCGAATCAATTCAAAATTCATTGAAAATATAAACAAGTGAATCCAAATCCTAACTACCTATACTCCACTCCATCGGTAACTCAATCAACAAGTATCTAATGGATTGAATCGAAACCCAACCTACCTATATTTCTTCTATCCATCAATATCCAAGGTTGTATTGTTTCCAAAGAAGAAAAGACACATCCAAGGTTGTATCCCGACCGCCCCATTTGACACTTCTACTCTTGGGTGAGACCAGAGACCTAAATCCTAAAAGTAACACTTCCATTGGCCGCCTCACCTGGAATATTTACTTTGTTGTTCCTTCCTTCTTTTGGATGAATAAACATCTTTTCGTATTAGGTTCGTCTTTTTTCAATTTCTACGCCGCACTGACCACGCTCATCTGCCCAATCAGTTTTCCCTTTAATCGTCAACCATCAAAATTTGAAGCAGCCCAATTCCCAATCCCTTCCTTTCCTTCTCTCAGCATCTTATTCAATTCAATATTCACCTTCCACTCCCCTCCCGCCTTTATATAACCCTGCCTCCTGCTTCTGCTCCTCGAACCACACACCACCGTCGCCTCTTCCCTATCCCCTCTCTGTTCCCTCTGTTTCCTCCACAGCCACTCGTCCTCACATCCCACCACCAATCCCTTCTTTTCAAGCCACCCATCTCAACAACTTCCTCTTTCTCATCTGGGTTCTCCTCAAAACCCATCTCCGAATCCCCATTTCTTCAGTTCTTGCTCATTCTTGCAGAAAGTCCGAAGCTTTTACCTTCTCTGCTAACGAAACCAATTCCCCTGTTTTTCCCCCTCTCTGTTTTTTGACAAAAACATGGCAATTCCTTATCCTCCCCACTTCACTCTGTCTTCTCCCGGAACCCCAATCGAGCCCCTGCCTCTAACCCAAGACGACCTGAAGAAAATCGCCGCTTACAAAGCCGTCGACGATTTCGTAGAATCCGGCATGGTGGTCGGCCTCGGCACGGGCTCCACCGCCAAGCACGCCGTCGACAGAATCGGAGAGCTTCTGCAACAGGGCATCCTCAGCAACATCGTGTGCATACCCACATCGACAAGAACGCAAGAACAGGCGCTCTCCCTACAAATCCCTCTATCCGACCTCGATTCCCACCCGGTCGTCGACCTCACCATCGACGGCGCCGACGAGGTGGACCCGCACCTCAACCTCGTGAAAGGCAGGGGAGGGTCTCTGCTTCGTGAAAAGCTAATTGAGTGTGCTTCCAGGAAATTCGTTGTCGTAGTCGACGAGTCCAAATTGGTGAAGTACATCGGAGGCAGCGGGCTGGCGATGCCGGTGGAGGTGGTGCCGTTTTGCTGGAAGTTCAATGCGCGGAGGCTGGAGGAGATGTTTGGCTACGCTGGATGCAGGGCGCAGTTGAGGAGGAAAGGATGCGTTTGTGGGAATGGTGGTGATGATGATGCTTATGTGACGGATAATGGGAACTACATAGTGGATTTGTATTTGGAGAGGGAGATTGGGGATTTGAAGGCGGCGAGTGAAGCGATGATGAGGATGAGTGGTGTGGTGGAGAATGGGATGTTTCTGGACATGGCGACTGCTGTTATTGTTGCAGGGAGTGGCGGGATAACGGTGAAGGATAAGGTTTAACTGAGTTAGGGTTAGGAGTTGCCGAGTTGGTATGATGTTTTTGTTGTGATTTTCAGACTTGTTGCTCTTGTTTGCCTCGTGTACCACATTCAAATGTGTTCTTTTGACGACATTCAAATGTGTTCTTTTGGGGGTTAAGGTGCCTAAGGAAACATCCAAGTGTGAGAATAAATCACAATTTACTTCATTCAAGTAGATGATTAAGGATTCAGAACAAAGGTCCTAAGTATATAGCTTGCAAAGAGGCCTAGGTTACTAGAACGGTACAATCATAATTCAACCGAATCATATTATTGTCAAATGTCAATGCAATGTTATTGTTAGAATGAGACTAATTAAGAGGGGTTAATTCGCATATTTTGTTTTTGATATTTTTGAAATGTACCTTTTACTGGCATTCCATGTCAAAATTGTGAATGGACTATGACAAAATTGACAACGGGTTAATCTTGTGCTTCTGTTAAAATTTTCATTCATAAATTGTTATTTTCGATCAGATTATTAATTTGTATATGAATATGGTGATAAATACGACTTTCTATTGATTTATATGAAATCGTTGTGAAAAGGTGGTGGTCAAATTTTAGGGGGGGGGGGGAATATCGTTTTGTCATTGATTCAAAATTAATGATTTTTTTAATCTCAAATCTAATGTAAGGGCATGTTTTATACGTCACCCAGTAGAGGGGCAGTTTTGACGCGAAATAATAGGTAGTAGGGGTGGGCACGTGGGTGGGTAATTCGCGGATTGATATCGATCCACCCGCAAATAACCCGACTCGCATGCAGTGGGTGACTGATGTGAGTGGATTGCGGATTGATAAATCTCCCATCCGCACTTATGTGGGTGGGTGGTGGGTGGATTGCGGGTCACTCGTATGACCCGCATCCGATTTGTACATGAAAAATGTTGTGTCTTATAGTATCGAATATTCACCATATTTTCGAACTGCACTACAGTGTGACTATATACTTCAAACGATGGAGAATAAAGAATAGTTTTGACTACTATTATTGTTTATTGTGTTATGCAATATCCATTAGATATTGGATATTGGTATGCAAATTATTGTTAATATCTATTAAATATTGGGATTGAAAGTATAAATTATTAATTGTATCAAAATCATAAATTATTGATACAATCTTACTAATTTGCTATGAACTTATTATAAATGCTAGTCAACTTTCTTAATGGCTAGTTGGAGAATTGCTTTTGCGGGTTGACCCACGACCCAACCGCACCCATCCGCCACCCAACCAACCCAATCCACAGAAGTATGTGGGTGGATTGCGGGTCACAATTATTCCAACTCGCTAGTAAGCGGGTGGGTCAATTTGAAACCAAAACCCACCCAACCCGTCCATTGCCACCCCCTAATAGGTAGGGAAGTATGTTAGGAAAAAAAGCCATAGGAGAAAGGTAATTTCCGTATTTGTTTTGATACCATTTGGTTTCAGCTAGTCCGTTCATGTCCAATCTCAGCTGCTTATGATTGAATAAGGGGCGCCAGCCAAAGGCACCTTATGTTACTTACCCAATATATTTCCTTCCAACGGCAAAATCGAAAACCAATGAAATTCACAGCAAATTACTAAATTTAACCAACATGAAATCAACATGCACAAATTTCCCCCATAATTTTAGTCCCAAACCAACTTGATTGACGAAAGACCACATTACGCTATCAACCAAAAAAAAACATCATTTCAATCGAGAACCAATGAATTCACAACAAATTACTAGTATAACCAACATAAAATCAAAAAATGACACATGAAAATTTCATAATTTTATTCTCGAACCAACTTGATTTACGAAATACAGACTTTTATAATCCGACCGAACCATGCTCTCATACATAAGAAAAAAGATTAATCCATGAAAACAAGTCCTTTCCTTTTTCTCTCCTTTGACAATGGAACAGATCCTGTTCAGAATGTGGAATAATAGTACAGTAACCAAACCTAACAGCGACTTCTTCTATCATCCAAACGACTCAAATTTCCGGGAAGGCTGGTAGCCTGGTTCTGGTTGGTAGCTTTTTGGTATATACTATATCCATTGCTTGCATACGCACTCCTCCTCCACCAAACAAACGAGTTAATGAGCTTCACCGTCGCTAGCTACTCGCTGCATTATTATTATATTCCCGATGACAGATTCTCCGGGATGAAGTAGGTAAGGCTCTGTTTCGTTGAGGTTCTTCTCCAAGTTGCGGCGGTGCAAGTCTTCTTTCGTAGGTGGGTTTTGCTCCCTGACCAATCAAATCCCTTTGGAGTTGGGTGGATATTCCTGCGTTCACGTCACCGGGGTTGAGTTTGGTGGAAAGGATTGACTTGGTATAAGTTATATGAACAATTATGGTAAGTGAGAGATGACATAAAAAAAAGTCAACTAAATTGCAAATAGGTATACGTCGAAATATGATACAAACATGATTATTGGGGCAGGGAGACGATCGGGATCAGCACTTAATTTGAATCGAATGGTGTGTTGTACTCTGTATCCCACCAAGTCCCTTACACCTACTCACCAATTATGTGGGATTTTAAGAATAAATAGGTGATTCTATATAGCACCCAAAAATTATTATTATATGTTCTAGCATATGCTTGTATCATAATTTTAAGGGGGGATAAAAATAAATGTTCGTTTGTTAAGGTTATAATAAATTTGTTTGTTTATATCAAACATCATCGGTTTTATGTTTTCATGAAATCCTATATTTTATGTACTATGAATCTCCAACACCATATTTAAAATTAAATGGTGACTAATTGCATGTTTAATTATTTCACTCCTATTGATTTCTGTTTATATATACAAGACAAATTTTAGCTGCAAAGTGCAAACCCATTGAGCAGGACCAGGGCTGGCTTACTTGCTCAAATAAAAGTTGGTGTTCTTCTTAATTGGTTTGGGCTGGACTGGCTGATCCGCCTTGGTCTCTAATCTTTCTGTTTGGCCCAGTCCTCAACCTGTAATTGGGCCCAAAAATCCAAAGGAATTGTTTTGGATCTAGTTCGCGAAGAATGGTGTTTGTTGTCCTTCTTCTTCAAAAACCTAACCCACTTCGATATGGATAAGCAATATAGTTTGACCCAACAAATTATGAAGTAATTTACTATAAAAAAAACTAAAATTTAATAAGGACTAAGTTGATAATTTCCCATTCATTCTTCTTAACGGTCTGTTGATGAAAATTCTTACAAAATTAGAGCGGTCAAAATTGAATCTGACCTGACTAACCTGCCCAACTCACCCGACCCACAATCCATCCGTAATCCGATTTGATAAAAAGTCAACCACCCGAAGCCCCCCCTGTAACCCAAAATCAATTGACTCGTAATCCGATCAACCCATAACTCGATGAACTTGTAACCCATTTGACCCCGAATGATTCATAATCCAAATAACTCGTAACCGAACTGAACCCAACTCGAATAACCCGAATAACCCATTTGACCCCAAATGCTTGTACAAAAATTCAATGTATACATTATTATATTTTTAAATTTACCAAGAAAGAACTGTTGTTCTCATAATAATTGAAAATTATTTGTAGAATTGATGGTATAAATTGAGTTTTTTTTCTTAAGTATTTAATTTTTAAAATTATAATATGTGAAATATTTTTTCATTCATTTTTTATTTTATGAAATTCAAAGGATAAAATTTTTGAAGATAATAGGAAGAGTTAGACACAAATTCGTATCTCCACCACCCATAACTATATTAAAAAAAAAATCAACCCTTGAAAATCAATGAAATCCCCAAAATCAATGATCCCTATCAAGATATGTAAGTGGATAGTTTACCCTTTTTACTTCATTCTCAACTTTTTACTGATTTTATTATTTACAAATTAATAAATCGACGATTCGAACTAGATGATAATATCATATTTGAGCGAACCGTTGTTCGACCCATGAGTTTTAGGATGAGATGTTACCGTGAATATATAAAAAAATTGTGAAGATATATAAGTGGGTGATTGATTCAGAATGAGGTTCATAAGTTTTCGTGGAAATAAAGAGACACACATCTAGTTCATACTATATTTAATTAAGACGATTCATTTCGAGATGTATAAACATATAGTCTACCTTTTTTACTTCATTCTCAAATTTTCACTGATTCAATTTTTTATAAATTAATAAAATAAGTGAAGTTACTATCTCTCACCATAAACAAAAAAATTACAACCAACAACAAAGCTTTTATATACAATATTTTATTTATATTTAGTTTTTATACTAATATAATGGATATTTAATTTGTATGTGTAAAATATTATCATATTATCATATTCTTAAATTTTGTATCATTACCTACTATTTATATTCATATATTGATAGTTTGTAAAACATTATTTTCTGTCAAGAAGTAAATGATCCAATAGGTTGACCCGAATAACCCATTATCCGACCTGACCGAACCCGAATTAACCCGCAATCCAATAAAGCCGCAATTTGATGCACCCGTAATCCGACCCAATCCGTAACCCAATTGACCACTGACCTGATTGACTCGTAACCCAATTGACCTGTAACACAATTAAACCCGATCCAAATTGAAACCGACCCGATTGAACTCGCAACCCGATTGAACCCCACCCAATTAGACCCAATCCGAACCCGACCCAACTTGCCCAATTGACCGTTTGACACCTTGACACAAAATGAACTTTTGTTATGTGTTCATAATTAAAGGTATGTTTATGGGGAAAAAATGGACACACGGCTTGCAAATTTGAAATAGTACATGAATATAAAATACTTTTGACCCATATTTTTAATTTATTGACGATAACGAATAACCTTGATCAATAACATTAACAAGGCTCAACGGCATAGACCGTCATTCATCAACACAACACATAAGCAGTCTGCAGCATCACGGAACTTGTGGTTCTCTCACATAATAAAGCAGTATGCAACATCTACCGAGACACTACACGAATATTTTGTGTGGCAGTTATAATCAAGGATTATATATTGGCAGCAGTTTTAGAGTTATTTGCTTTGTCGTCGCTCATGGGATCTGATGTTTTATCTAATGTCACAAAGCATGGTGGAAGGAATTTGACATATCGGATATTAAATTCACCCCCTCCTATAACATGTTAGTGATATCTCATGCCCTTTGACGATATGAATTGCACGATCACAATTCAAATGGAAATGACATTCAATAGCACTATGGTTATATTGAAATAAACATGCACCTAACAAATAGGATTGTTCCATATCTTGTTGAGATAATCTAGGATGAAAGGACGATGGGGGAAAAAAAACTAAAATACATAGTTTCAGAAAATTAGATTGCCCCAATAACTTATTGTTGCTTTGGTTTCAATGATGTCTTACTAAACCTACTCGACTGTCGACTGTTCATAACTCTGAAGATCAGAGCATCCAATTAAGAATCCCAAATTGGACCGAATGCAGGTATTCCCGCACCCTTACAAGCCTCCACAACGTCCCTGCTCCCTTCTGGATTGCTCGTCACAATCACAACCTCGGCGCCCCAATCCTTCGCCGCCTCCACGCTCATCCTCGACACATTCGGCCGCCCCAGCACCGCCGTATCATGAACAATCACCTTCTTCTTCTTCCTCTTCGTCTTCTCCCCTTCCAAATCCCCACTCCTCATCATCATCCCCGCAATCTCCACCCCGAAATTCTGCTCCACACCCTTCGTCACCCACAAGACGCACACCTCTGCCTCACAATCCTGCAGCAAGAACGACAAGAAGACGCAAATCCCCGAGCCAGTAGCCACCAGCAGCACTCTGTTATACATATCAGTCAAATACGGCAGCCCAGAAAAATGAACATTCCGAACCCACAAATGGGTCGGAGGATTCGCCACCAGGGATTTCGTAAAATCCCCCACCGCTCCGGCCAGCATCATGTGCTCTGTTTTCCCGTCGGAAATTATCCCGAACGCGTGCCACTCCGACAACGGAGATGGGCTGATTCTCCCCAGTATCCCTGGTTTAACCCCACCTTCGAATTTGATCAACGAGGCGTGCCCTGACGGCGACGAGATCTTGACCGGAACCCGTCTCACCGTCAGCCAAGGGATGATGATTAGAATAGAAATCCCAATCGTGAACCAGAACTCCTGGTGTTTGATCAATTTCGACCCCAATTCGTTGCTGTACGATTTGGTTGCTGAATCGTAGGTGATTGTCAGAGTGACGAATGCCCAGAGAAGGCAGAGCGACGCCCAGCCGGTGAATCGATGGACTCGCTCGAAGAAATTGTGGTGGAGATGGCGAACGAGTGGGAAGGCTGCTAAGCACGAGAATCCGAGAAGGGAAAGAATGGCGGATGCTATCGCTATGATTTCAGAGGAAGTGTCAGCTCTGTTTTGCAGGGTGAGAAACAGAGCATAGACGAGCCAGCAAACAGAGGAAACCCCGCAGCTGCTGTGGATTCCTCCCAGGCTCTGAAGAAACGACGTCGCGGCTGTTTTGATTGGGATCGGGATAAATGATCTCCCGAGGATTTTCACGGCGAGCCAGAATATGATCCGGAGAAAGGCCTCGCTCCGGCAGAGAGTGAGAGCGAAGATGTTGGCTATTGAAAACAGAGCAGCTCTGTTTCTCGCGTATGGGAAGTTTCCGGTGGCGGCGAGGACTAAAGCGACGATGTTGAGCGTCAAGCAAACTGTGAACAGCCGTTTGTAGACTGTCAACATTCCTTGGTCGAGTAGTATGACGGACAGTCTCGATGACGGCGGCGGCTGCTTTGGCTTCGTCGGAGTTTGGCTGCGCCTGCTTGCGGCGGGGGCTAGCGCTGCCGTTTCCTTCTCGGTGGAGGGAGGTTCATCGGCGGGGCCTTGTTCGAGATCATCGTCGGCGGCGGCGTCGTCCTCGTCGTCGTCGGTGGGTTCTTCGTCGAAGTCGAGGTCGCAGAAGTGGCTGCTGGTGGCGCGGCTGACGGTTTTGTTTAAGGAAGGGTGGATTTTGCCGGAGAAGGTGGGGTTCATTGTTTGGAGCCAGGAGAAGACGCGGCTGAAGCGCTTGGTTATGGCGCGGGTTGGTTTGTTGTCGGCGGCGGATGGGGCGGTGGTGGTGACGGCGAAGGGATCGTTGTGTGGCTTGATCTCGAAGGCCACTCCTCTGCAGCTGGAAAACCTCTGCATTTTTTTCTTTTTGGGTGGAACGGACTATGAGATCTAAACTGAAAGGATTTATTTTTTTTTTTTTTTTTGGCTCCTCTCCTCTGTAGTAAGACTGTAAGAAGTCTGTAGGGATGCTTAATGGTTGCTGGTTCTTATAGCATTTAAGGATGAAAATAAGGAATTTATTCAAAATATATTAATTACACATTTGAAGAAATATATTTGATAAGGATAGATAAGACGAGATTAGTTAAATATAAAATGCGCGTGACACATTCTTGTATTTATCTTTAACTAGTAAGGACCCGCTCGCTTGCGCTTCGCGGCGAATGAAAAGTTCTAATTATGTTTATAAAGTTATCGTGTTAATAGGAAATTAAATTTGTCATCAGAACTATAGGGCTGTATCTATATTATTTTTTGTACATGAATTTGCCAATAGTACTACTATACCTATGGAACAACGTTATCAAGTTCCTCCCACTTTTGTTGAACAACTAATACAACATTCACTCGGACACTAGGTGGTTCACTCAACAAAAGTAAAACGATATTTAAAAGTTATTATAAGTGGATTTAGAATCAAGGTCGAACAATAAAGGAGGTAAGAAGTTAAACGACATTCATACTTTTAATACATTCAATCGTATAAGAAAATATTCTCATAAACATTTGTTCCTTTTCCTATGCTTCTTCCCCATCTTTTTCGTAACTTAGCAGTCTAATATTCTGAGTTTAGGCAGGAAGTTTAGCATAAATCAGCATGTTAGACGACAATTCTGAGTTTTTGCTCTTCATCCCTTCAGCCATCATCTCTAGATTGGTCCAAACTCATGGCTCACTAATGCACACACCATATAACATACTTTAGTTGTCCTCTCTTCATTATAATATGGAAAATTTGCAAAGTTCTGAGAACCAATATGTCCTATAACTCCAATCATAAGAGGCTCAAGAATCCATCTTATAAAAGATCTCTCGTAGCATGAGCAACACAATCCAAGTTTCAATACCTTTTCTGATTGCCGAAGATTGATTGATTGAATCAACCACTTTGTGAAGGATTTAAATACAAAATAGGTTCAACCAAACATAGTAGGTTCAACCTGCTGTGGTTAAGTGGTGGTTAATAATCAATGGTGCTCATTAAAGACACTAAAATCCAACGGGTGGAAAGTTGGCGGCACTAGTGCCGTGCCTGCACCACAGAATTCCCCAAGTTAATCCCATTTTAATTAATAAAAAACAATTTTTGATGTGACACTATGAAACAGTAAAATTGTCTTTTAAAGTACTAATAACTAATAACTAACTAACTAAAGTTTGGAAACGAGTTGTCTAAATAAATTGAACGTGTTACATGCATACTTGTAGCTTCTTCATCTCCTGGAACTACAACGACATGCAAAAAACTCCCATCTGTTAGCTAGCCTGGCCAGCTGCACTACTCCTCCTGCATAACAGGACTCCCTCCCTGGCCAACCCAAGTTCGACTTTCCAAGTTTGTTCAGAGATCAACTTGAGCTCTCAAGTTGAGGCTAATAATAATATAGTCTACGGATCTCAGTTCCTTCTTCAATTATTTGATTTATGGCCAAGTCAACTAAAGTCCGAACTCCGGGCAAGTGGGGGGAGAACGTTGCTGTCCGGCATTCATGAGCTGGGGAAGAAGGAAGCGGGGCCGGAGGAGTACCGGACTGGATCAAACTCTCGATCGGGAAGTTAATGCATGAGGTGACGGGTCAGTCAGTGAGATAGGCCCGGCCCGGCGGCCTGATCTGTTTGAATCTTCTCCCTTTTTGGTACAAATAATCCCCTTAATTTCTCTCTCTGCCGTGTATTATTTAATGGCGATTTCGACATATGATGTTGCTTGCTTGCTAGGGTGTGTCAAACCCTCCTCGATCCGTCGATCGTTCGACGACAGTCGGAACGAGTGTATTTGAGGCAGCCACGATATATATGATTCGGACAAAGCCACGATTTGATTCTAGTACACGCATATATTTTGTATGTTGCATCCTTTCGACGATGGTTTTTGATACAATGCACACATTATGGTTAAGCGAGTCGGGATAATGCAGTTAAGAATGTGTTGGACTATCGGAGCATCTTACATGTAATATGAAAGTTTTATGGGATTTATGTTGTATACTAGCAAAAGTCCGCTCGCTATCGCTTAGCGTATTAGAAAAATAAATATTTTAATTAGTAAGAATTTTAATGTTGACCCAAAAGTAAAAGTAATCTTATTTTATTCTTAATCATTCTTTTCATAGGTTTGTTATTTACAATACCATATGGTAGATGAACTTGCATAAGGTAGAATGGTCGTTGAATAGATTATTTATGTTTAAACTTCTTTAATGACGCTTCAATTTGTCTGGCTAGTAATTGATCCTGTTGTAATTTTTGCAGAATGAAACAACTTCTCTGTATCTTTTCAAAAGTTAAAAAAAAACTGTTGAGTGTTTAGCTGAAAAACTATCAGAATTACTTTATAATATAAGAGGTCATGAAAAATTACTAAAAAAGATTTCTAACATATAATATGAATACAAATTCCAAAAATAAAAAAAGTATTTAAAATGGATCACGTTAGATTTATTTTATATTAAATAATACTATTTTCATATTAAATAATACTATTCTAGAAAAAAATATGGTAAGGACAATTTTATATTTTCAAATCGGAGCTTCCGTTTTTAAGTTATGAAAAAATTTTGTTTTTTAAAAAGTAAAACTTTAGAATTGCTTGGCTTGGCTTCAACTTTTGAAACATAAAACTTCTAAATTTTGGGCCAAACATAGTCGTACTTTTTTGGTATTTTTAGGTTTGAGGTAATCGTGGTTCTCCTTTATGAATTTTGGACTGATTGCAGGTTTAAGTAGGTTCAACTCGCATTGATCGGGTCAAAGTAGGTTGGATACCCATGGATTTGGGTTCAATTGTCTTTCTCAAACAAAAGGAAAAAGCGAAATGAAACTCGGTCCCGATATAAAACTCGTGGTATCGGCCTGGGGAAATTATGGTGGGGAACAACTTAGGATTACACTGATAATTTCGAGATGAGCTGCAAAATGGTGGGCAAAGGCAATGATTTGTGTTCAAATTAGAATACCCATATGTTTGGGTTCAATTGTGATCATGCTCAACAAAAAGGAAGAAAAAGAAAAAGAAACAAACACTAAAGATGATAAAACTCGGTCTAGATACAAAACTCGTGGTAGCGGCCTTGGGAAACGGTGGTGTGGAACAACTTAGAATTTTGCCGACTATATTTCGAGATGGTCTACAAAATGATGGTCAAAGGCGATGATTTATGTCCAAGGTAGGATACCCATGTGTTTGGGTTACCCAACAAAAATGAAGAAAAGAATACCCATGTATTTGTGTTCAATTGTGATCATGCTCAACAAAAAGGAAGAAAAAGAAAAAACACTAAAAAGGATGAAACTCGGTCCAGATACAAAACTCATGGTAGCGGCCTTGGGAAACGGTGGTGGGGAACAACTTAGAATTTTGCCGAGTGTATTTTGAGTTGGTCTACAAAATGATGGCCAAAGGCGATGATTTATGTCCAAGGTAGGATACCCATGTGTTTGGGTTACTCAAAAAAGAAGAAAAAAAACACTAAAGAGAATGAAACTCGGTCCCGATAAAAAACTTGTGGTAGCGGGTAGCGGCCTTGGAAAACGGTGGTGGGGGAACAACTTAGGATCCCGCCGACAGTATTTCGAGATGAGATGCAAAATGGTGGGCAAAGGCGATGATTTGTGCAAAAAGTTATAGACGAAAACCTAGCGAACAAAGGCGATGATAACACAAAGGCGATGATTTGTGCAAAAAACCATAGACGAAAACCTAGCGAACAATATCAAGACACACATGCGATGATTTGTGCAAAAAACCATAGACTAAAACCTAGCGAACAATAACTAAACACTAAGGTTGTAGAATGGAGAGTGGGGTAAAAGAAGGATTTGGAACTTCTCCACTTGTACTTGGAGGAGTGTGAGAGCCACTAATGAATAGTAACTCAAACGTAGACTTTTAATTGCTTGGAAACTTGATGATATAATTTAATTGCTTGGAAACTTAATGGTATAAAGACTCCTCAAAGCTTTGGTTAGTAGGAGTCTAGTAGTTAGTAGAAGGACTAAATAATCAACTTTTGCCTCTCATTGATTTGACAATAAAAATATAGGAGTCTAGTAATTAATAAGAGGACTAAATAATCAACTTTTGCCTCCCATTGATTTGACACTAACAAACAGTAAAACCCTTACATGTTCTTTTAAAGAACTTATCTTATGAGGTTATAAGTGGTCGATGTGCTAGTTCGATGTGAGATGAGAGTATGTATGTTGGTTGTATTCTATGCATCGGTACATAGTATTTGATTGTTGAGTTTACCTAATTTCAATCTTGCCAATTTTTGAGATATTAGTAGAGTGAGTTTCGTGCCTAGTTGTCTTTAGGAGTGCACAACTGATTCCATCCATTACGAATTGGATAAAACCATGAAATTGCGGTCTGATAGTAAATGAAATATGAGGACCTCATAATCAGGAGTTCATTTAATTCGATTCTTTTGAGTCTGGCATTCATATCAATTTGGTCCATTTGTTTTCAATATCCATAAAACTCATGGAATCAAATAAAAAACTAAAACATATTATATTCATTATGATATCATCCGATCCAAATGTTAATTTGATCTAACATGATTTGGTAGGGAGCAACCAATGCACACTCCTAATTTTTCAACGGTAAATGTGTTATTTTTTTTTTATAAAAGGTGCCTTTATGCTTTTTATTTAATCATGAAATGGAGAAGCATTACAGTCCCTCAACAATTGGGGTAAAAGAAAGATGGGTGGCCGGTCAAACCAGATTTCGGTTTCTTCCCATCTGCAATTAATCCGAGCCATTTGATGGGCTGCTTCATTTCCATCCCTTCCCCAAAACCGCCATTCAATCTCCTTACTCTGGCTTCTCTCCCTTATCTCTTCACACACAGTCTCTATTTCCAAATTGATATCTGCTTATTTCCCTGCAATTTGTGCACCAACCTTTGACAATCCGTCTCCATCACTGCTGGGCATAGCTGATGCTGTTGCATGATCTTCAACCCCCACAAGAACGCCTCTGCCTTAGCAATTTCGGGTTGCCAATTGACCTGCGTTCTTCACACAGCAGCAAGTACAAACTTCCCTTCCTTATTGCGAACCACCATCCCAACTGCAGTTCTCCCTTCCTTCAGTACACTGGCGTCCACATTCGCTTTTTACCCCTCCGCCGGCTTCTCCCACTTGTATGTCCGATTTGGATGCGTCGGCGTCACATCCCGATCTTGAGCTCGTCGATATTCTTCCAGATAAAGCTGAGCTCTCTCCACCACTTCCCATTCCTCCAGCTTTGGATTGTTAAATTAGTGATTGTTCCTTTCTTTCCAAAGAACCACAAGGTTATTAGAAACTCACATATTTCCTTATCCTTTGCTTGCTCAAGTATTTCACAAATCCAATTCACACAGTTTCGATCTTCCCCCAGTCTGAATAGGTTGCTAAGGTAGCTAGGTCTCCATATTCTTCCCACTCAGTCACAATCTCGTGATATATGTTCTTGAGTTTCCACTAGTCCACAGAACGGACATTCATCGCTTACTTCTAGGATGCGCCTAGCTAGATTTCCACCTGTAGGTAGTATATTCGATCCCCATCTTCATACAAACACCCTCACCTTTGGTGGCAGCTGCAAATGCCATAATCTGGTCCAATCGATGGGTTCATAATGTTCTGGGCTGCCATTCATCCTCTTCAATCTCCAAGCATGATTGATGATACCCTGTTTTGACTGTATACAGTCCTGTTTTGCTTTTTCCCCAACACAAACTATCGGGTCTAGGCCTTGCTAGAATAGGTATGGCTTTAATTCTTTCCCTGTCAATAGGCTGGAAGTGTTGTTGTAGTAGGTTACTTCGCCAAGTTCGACTGGGATTATCAATCAAATCCGCTACCCTTGCATTCATTCCTAGACTTGTTACTGTGATCTGGATTTTGTAGTTATCCGCTTCTGGGATCCATCTATCCCACCAGATACGTATGCTCTGACCATCACCAACCCTCCATCTAGTTCCTTCCTTCACAAGTCCTTGAGCCGCCATGATGCTTCTCCATATATAACTGGGATTGTTTACCAGTTTAGCTTCTAGAATATTAGTATAGGGGTAATACTTCGCTTTATGAACTCTAGCAATTAGTGTGTCTGGGTGTTGCAGCAAATTCCAAACCTGCTTGCCTAGTAAAGCTAGGTTGAAGCCATGTAAGTCCCCGAACCCCATTCCTCCCTCCTTCTTTGGCTTACAGAGTCTTTCCCATTTCATCTAGTGGATTCTTCGTTCACCATTCTTACTCCCCCACCAAAAGCCAAAAATAATGCTATGCATTTCTTGGATTACCCCCTGAAGGATTAGGAAAACTGACATTGCATACATTGCTTGGGCTTGAGCAATGGCCTTAATTGGCCTTAATTAATACTTCCTTAGCCGCATTTGATAAGGTCTTTCTTTTTCACAACTTCACAGTTTTTCTTACCTGATCGATAAGTTGGGTGAAAACAGCCTTCTTCGATCTTCCAATAATTGCAGGCAGGCCTAAATACTTGTCATGTTGTAGTACATATTTCATTCCCAGCAGCTATGCAATTTCTTCTCTCTAAGCTTCATCAACATTAGTGCTGAAAGTCAATTCTGATTTCACTAGACTAACCTGTTGTACATATTCTTGCTCATAAGTTTCCAAAATCCACTTCAAAGTCTCCCCATCTTGCTTTCTATTCTTGAAGAAAAAGATAACATCTAGCCAAAAGATTTGGTTAAGTAAAACTAGAAACCGAAACCAATCAAACAAACCCATACGAAATTGGCCGCTTTGGACGGACTAGATCAGTAATTGCCGACTCGGGTCAACTTCCCCGAGTTCTGGAGGCTACCGATTTTTGCTAATACGGCAGTGTTTTGAGTTCCAATCACAAAATTAGGTACGGACCCTTCTCGCCCTCGCCCTTGTCCAGCGGAGGAAGGCGAATCCTATTACACCCTCCAACTCCACCGTAGGGCAGCCGCTTCCTCTCCGTCGAGCTTATTTCGTTCACCAGTTCCTACGGCCTGTGTTCGTTCTACCTTCTTCTTCGTTCAAATTGGCGCTACCTTGCTGGAATTGGCTTTGTAGATGACCTGATCGCCGGCGGTGAGCCTTGTTGTCTTATGTCCTTCCATTCCATCCCCTCAATTTAAATATTTTGATTCTTGACCGTGCATGGTGATGGCCTGATGGGTTACAGGCTTCCGTAATTTGGTTGGAAACATATGGCTCTTCGCACTCGATCAACTCCAACCCTTTCCCAACCGTGCGCACCGGTCCGTGCTCAATCTCTTTCCCGGCGGCGACTTCCTCCGTCTTCCATCGCACTCGTTCCTGGGAATCAAGCCAAACCGTGGGGTTCGCTGAAATCCTCGGCGACCGACGGATTAATACGCTTGCCGTGTAAACCCTTGTCGAAAGGCAAGCTCGGAGGATGGGAATTCGGGGCCAAGCAATCGAGCGCCTCCGCATCCCCTGTTTGCTTGCTTGCTCCAAAGGACAAGCCTGGAAGAGGCGGTAATCAGGTGAGTTTTTGCAGCAACCCTATTGGTTCCTGTTCTTCTTTCCTTCCAGAATGAACGAGAATGGCCATGTGGGTTTTGGGTTGTTTAGGGTATAACATGTTCGATTCTTTGTTCTTGTCCATTTGGATTTTGTGATTGCTAATGATATATGTTATGGTTCCGCGCTGAATCTTCGTGATGGAAAATGGAAATTGATCAAATGGGAAGTTTGTTACTCTAGTTTGATGAACCTTTTCCTCTGATTTGGTTGGCAATAGTCTGTTAGCGATCATCTAGTCAAGAATTTAGAATTGTTGGGAAATGTCCAGGGATAGATCTTACACCATCCTCAAACGAAGCCCAACTCACAGACTTGAATTTGCACTGGTGCTCCGTTTAACTTGTGCTTAAATTAGCTGTCATTACGACTCTCAAGCTAGCCTATATTAACAAGGATCAGCTCTATTTATCTGGTTGATTCTCTCACGCCCTGTTCCTCTGATCAAGTTGATAAAGGGTGTAGCATAAACCTAACTGAAGCCTGGCAAACTGTGGAATGTTGGGAATAAGGTATTGAGTTAGCATGGTTAGAGATGCTGACTAAGTTATTTGTTTTGTCATTAGGGATTGCCATGGGAGTCCTTTGGCGAAGCTACAGAGAATTTTAAAGGAAAGTCAATAGAAGAGATGTTAAGGGAGCAAATGAGGAACATGGAGTCCAATGCTGGAGGAGGGAGTGGCAAAAGGAAACCTCCAGGTGGTGGTGGTAGAGGTAGACGGGGTGGTGGTGGCGGTGGTTCTGGAGACCGAGAAGAGAGTGGGGCGTCTTCATTTGGAGTTTCGGATGAAACTCTGCAAGTGATCTTAGCTACAATTGGTTTTCTCTTTGTGGTAATTCATTTCTAACCTGCTTTTCTGTTCATGTTCCCAGAGTTCTTTCGATAGTATAGTTTTCTTGCATCTGTAGCAGGCCTTCCGTGGAAATTATCTGCCTGATCAATTCTAACTGTTCTGTTGCAGTACTTTTATGTGATCAATGGGGTGGAGATGACTCGTCTAGCGAAAGACTACATTAAGTTCCTGTGGACGGGGAGTAAAAGCGTGCGATTGAGGAAAGCCATGGAGAAGTGGGGGAGTTTCCTGCAGCCGCTGCTTGACAAGAAAGAGTTGCTCAAGTGTGGATTAGAAAGAAAGATTGCCGATGCTGCAAGAAGTTGGTTCGATGGCCCGACGAAGTACAGGCACATATTGAGGTCGTACCTCACATCAAATACTGGCCAGTAGCCTACCCCCTTTCCTTCGTAGTGCCACTGTAGAAACATAGTAGACCAACGCCCTGGAACGGTCGTTTTTTTCTTTCTTCTTTCTATCTCAGATTGTAGGTTGCTTTAGTCAACATTCGACAACACTTTTCTGTATGCCATATACAACTGTTGGAGGCATGTCTTTTTGGACTAGTGACATATGTGTTTCATGACCAATCAATAATCCTTGCAAAGTAGGTTCCCTGCTTGAGGAAATCCAGCCTTGCGAGTTGTGGCGATATGAAGGTAGAAGGAGGCTTAATGGAATTGGATGATCGAGCTTCAAATGTAAGACAATGAGACACTGAAACAAGGGGGTTGGCTTAAACTGAAGTGCAGCTCGTTTCACTAAATGGAAAGTCCAGTCTAGTCCCGGATTTCACAGAACAATCTATTACACGCGCTGCCCTGTGTATGTTGACAGCATTCCTCTAAAGTTCAAAAAAGACTTTTTTCCTCCTGAAAGAATATGCTAGTTTTTAACTTTTTATATTGTAGTATGAGAATCCTGGTTGTAGAAAGAAAGGAAGAAGAAATAAGTACACTGGTTGGAGATGAAAAAAGACATTTTCAATTGCCATAGCCATGCTTCTGTCTCATTCGTTCCTTGACGAACTCATCCCTAGCTGTAGTACGAGCCTGTTGAGGAGCGACGTTGACGTACGAGAGATGCGCAGCGTAACCCATGATCACAGCTGCTCCGACAAACAAGGCCACTGTCAACCCCAGTTTCTTGGCTGAGGAAGGGAAGCAAGTGACCATTTCCGTGGGTTCTGTTTCTGGACGCTGCAGCTGAAAGAATATAGGAGCTGGAAAAACAACAAAAAAAACCCTCATTGGGACATTTCGTCGAACAGATGGCAGGCAGGTGAATCAAATAATAAGGCTACTCACCAGGGATTACTGGAGAAGTGTCGTGCAAAATTCAGATCAAGCTTCGGCGAAAAGAAACCAAAGCATGTGTAGTAGTGAATGGTGAGTACAGATCGACCCGCGTACCTTGGATCTGAAGAACAGAAGAAGCGTGCGTGAAGTAGACTGGACCTGAGAATGCAGAATCTGCCAGGAAAATATGTCGTTATTATTTTGTTTTTACACATTATATCTTTATTTTCTGGATATGATTGCAATTAGGGGATGTAGCTCAGATGGTAGAGCGCTCGCTTAGCATGCGAGATGTACGGGGATCGATACCCCGCATCTCCAATCTTTTTAATTCTTACCTTCGTTTCACTCCTCAAGCCCATTCCCAAAGCCCATGGTTTGTTTCATTTCCCAAGCCCATAAGGACACTTAATTAATTAATTTTTTGATAATGAATAGGGGAATAAATAATACAAATCTTTTCAAGTACATTTAGTGTGTGTTATCAAGTAAGCTCAAGCTAAATTTGGAATTCTCAATCTCAAAATTTTCATATAATTTTCTTAACGTGTTGGGATTATGTTTTCTCTTCTTAAACCCGTCCCATATTCAATAAAAATAACCTAAATGTTCAATTATCTCTCCACGACTTGAAAATTCGTTTCAACTTTCACCTTCCCCAAAATCACATCGTCATTTCTCTACTCCATATCTCACTCCCATTGTCTCAGCGATCTCCGACCTCCCAGTGGGTGAGAATCCGATGAACAATCACTAAAATGAATCTTCCTTCTTTTTTATTCATCACCACAACACCAGTTCTTGTCCTCCTGTCCTTCAAACAAGCTGCATCCACATTAATTTTAAAATTTTCCTTCGTCGATGGCTTCCGGTGTTGCATACTCTTCGTCATTGGTTGAAGAATTACAATTGATGCTCTAGGTACTCTTTCAACTAGTTAGTGACTCTACCCATAATCTCCTACTCTTCCCATTTTTCTTGTTCCATAACTGACTATCTCGTTAATCCCATATTTACAAGATCGCCACAATAAGCGCCCCGCCATCTCATTTGATACATTCTCTTGTACGGCTCAAACAATTTTTCACAGGCCAGATTCTCGAAGGAGTCTTAACTGAAACTACCGAATCAAAACGACTATGCTGATGCATATGAGTTTTACATATTATCATAGTATTGCTTGTCATCTTCGAGTTGGTGCATTTATACCGTGTGGATAAAGTGAGAACTAGTCCATTGCTAACATCACCTCGAGCACCAAATGAGTTGAAAAAACACCTCACACGAGAAGTTACAAAAATTAGAGATGAGTATCTACCACACGTCACATTCGAGAAGTCAACACATTATGGATGTTGGTTTCACGGAATCTCATATGAATCTGGATAACTTAATGTAGCCGGTTTAAAAAAAATCAATTTGAACATCAATCACACTTGTTCGAACTGTGTTTGAACTTTGAAGTGACGTGAAATGAAAAAAAAAATCAGTATGTATTTCTTGTGTAAAAAAAAAAAACAAGAGTTCTTCTAGATGGAGACATTCATATTAATTTATTAATCAAGTATAACTACAACTTGGATTATTCCCAACCATCTTTGTCACTATTCCTTCCATAAACGACACTGAGCTACGAAATTATCCATATCGAGGCATGGATAATATACCTCTGCAACATGTTCGTTGCTGATTATTATTAACACACACATGAAAAACAACAAGCGCCATTGTTGAAACTCCAGGCTTGATTGACTGATACGAGCATCCGAAACTATGATAAATCCATATACTTGACTTTTGTATTAGGCACAGCACAGACAGTCACAAACGTGGTTGTAGCACTTCTCCATACCGTCACAATGAAGCGTTCCTTTGCATTCATCATCCGTCTGACAGCTCTGAACATTCTTCGTCGTCGACGACGACCCGCCAGCCACCACCAGGCTGGCCGCCAATTCCACCGCCGGCGTACGATGATAACCTGGATTCGTTGCTTTGACATCCCTTGAGCACCAAACTCCTCCAACTTTGAACACAAACAAACAAGTTGGTAAAATTGACGTACGAGAATGGCATTTTGTCAAGTGATGAACAGTATAAAGTACTCACTGAAACACATGAGGAAGGCAGCAGCGGCGAAGAACAGTGCAATCATCATCCTCATCCTCATCCTCCTGCTGCTGATCGCGGCCGCCATTGCTGTAGTTTTTTTTTTTTTTTTTTTGGTGAGGAATTGTGTTTGTGGCCGTCTAGCTATTTATGTTTCCAATTAAGTATTTATTTATAGGTGACAGAGGCCGAAGAATAATGATAGTGCTTCTTTTGGTTTCACAATCGTCCAAAATCGTCTGCCTGATAACCCAAGCTGGATGATGCTCTGGCCTATAGGGAGGGAACGCTGTTAACCATGTCACCTCGTCTCTTTTCGTTTGGCAAGCTTCGTACTTGGCCGGTTGGCTGGAAACGTATAATTAATTATACATCTAGATAGATCCTTCTCTATATTTGACCAATGTACACTTAGCAAAGTAGCTTGGATTAGTTAAGATTACGGCTCGTGAGAATGATATAAGAATATAATATTTATAATTAACAATTTCTCAATATTTCGAGTGATTTGGACGTTGGATCATGACATGATATCAGAGTTTGATTTGGTTAAGTGATCGTGTGTTTGAATGTTTATGATCCCAAATATAAACAGTTAGATTTCACCACAAGGTATAGTGAACCTGCGCAAATTTTAAAGCACTTGTGAGTTGGCTTTCACATGAGTTTACATATCTTTTTTGTTAAGTGGCCGGCGAATCCGACGAAGTTTTCTTATACTTAAAAGTTCGAACTGGAGACTAACCATAGAGCTACTAGACCATATTAGATCGGTGTGCATGGGTCTGGTGGTCAGGGTTCAGTCATCTTAATCACCCAACCCATATACTACCGTTTTGAAAATATTAAACCTAAATCCATCCAAAAATGGTTTATAATTGGGTTGGGTCAGGTGGACAATACTTTTAAGTAAAAATCCAACCCAACACAAAAAATGCAATTATTTTACACGATAAAAATATAATATAACTAATTAAAATTTTAAACAAATAAATCGAGGTGAAAAGTGTCAAAATGCATATTATGTTATTCTTCTAAAATGGTAACAAAAATATTCGTGAAGCATAACCTATATTAAATCATGTATAAATTTTAAATTAAAGTATGCATTAGGTAGGGAGATCTCAATTTCTCCAATAATTTAACTACATTAATCAAATTTTAGTTTGTTTTCTTGGTCTTATGATGAAAATAACAAATATTTCCAAATTTTTTTATATAAATTACATACCCATTGGATCGACCTGTCCTAACTCGTGCTTGTTAGAAATCGAACAGGAAAAATTAGGAATTGAACAGGAAAATTAGGTTACCGATCTGGCTGAGTCGCAGACTAGATCGCTCTCTTTAAGACGTTCGCGGCACTGCCTCGTTATTCGCACAACAGACTATCAGCCGGTCGCTTCCAGGATAAAACAACCACTCTTTTGATTTGCTCAACGGTTTTGTGCGTAAAACCGGAGCTCTTTGAATCTCACTCTCTCTCGTGTTTATGCTCTTCTGAGGTGTGTTTAGAGGGTCTAGGGGACTGCTATTTATAGGAGCAGAAAACCTAAAATATTCCTTTTTATTTGGGAATAAGCCACATTTTAATTAGGAAGATAATTACTTCCATAATTAAAATATATTATATTAAGATAATTAATCCTAATTATCTCCATAATATTCTTTTTATTAATTATCCTTCTTATTTTCGTATCTAGAAAGAATACGGGATAATTAATTCAACATAGCTTTCAAAGCTATTCATTCCCAACAATCCCCCACTTGAATAGTTTTGAAACTATCTTTGAGCATCAACAGATCCATAAGATCGGGCATAAGCTAAGGTATCGCGAAGATTTGAACCTTAGCGTAGTGGTTACACTTCCGATTTCATAAGGGTGACTCGTAGTCTTGAACCCTATCTCAGAAAATGTAGCAGCACATCAGATCTTTTCATTGAGTGATATTCTCTCATAGGTCGTGCGTTTATGGCCATGCACGTTATCCCGGTTTAGTGAACACTCTAGCAACTTTGTCCCTCCAAAGTTCCATAGAGAGCGGCCCCACTCCCACTCCCACATTCACATAGGTGAGTCTATCAGAAGTACCCCCAAAGTAAAGTACTTCACTCCACATAGAGTATAGATCTCATTAAGAGTTTAACTCAACCTCCAAGGCTTTGAGATTCATGCTTCACTATGCATGAACTTTTCTCAATATTACTCATGACTTGTTATTACCCATTGAACCCGTTTCTTGGGATCTCCATTCTATCGGGTCGGGTTACCATCACTTGTAATCCATGGTTCGGTAGGCATAAGTCTCATACCTTCATGGTATTTTGGACTTTTCTCTCTAGATAATCCTTTCGTCAAAGAATTAGCTAGATTTTGTTAGGACCTTACAGGATCCACCCTTATTGCTCCTATCATTAGGAGTTCTCTTACACTACTGTTGATAGACCGTCATTTACACATGTTTTTACCCCCATTCTTACACCGTTTGAGGTGTTGATTCTCGTGTTTTAGGCCGATTTCACGCTAGGTTGTGCTTGTTTGTGATGTTTCAGGTCCTAGTACGTGAATGAAGGCTTAGGAGCGAGTCTGGGGTCGATTGGACGAAGAACGGACGAATGGCGAGGTTTTTGGGGAGCTGCACGGGCAGACCAGGGAGGCTGCACGGCCGTGCACGGTTGCAAGCTGGCCGTGCGCCTCATGCCGAGGAGATGCACGGGCAGGCCCTGAAGATTGCACGGCCGTGCACCTGGCCGTGCAAGAAGCCTGAGTTCGACTTAAGGGATACGCTGCGTTTCATGGTGCACGGCCAGAATGGTGATATGCACGGCCGTGCACCCTGGCCGTGCGAGTCGGGATTTCCTGGTTTTAAGCCAAATTCCGAACCAAAGAAGAGAGAGCTGGGTTTTGGATCCCAAACACCCAAGGGACGAACCCTAGAGAGAGAGAGCGACTTGGGAACATTCTTGGAGCTATTTTGGAGGATTTCTTCGCCATTGGAGCTCGGGAATCAAGCTTGGAGATGGAGATTGAAGATCTAGATCAGATTTCTGCAGTCTCTCTCTTCTCTATGGAGTAACTTCCCTTCACTTAGGTTTTGAGGAACCCTAGTTCCATGAGTTAGGATCTTTCTTGTATGAAGTTTTGGATGCTATGTTGTTTGATTATAATCGAATGATGCATGTTTATTGAGTCAATTGAAGTCTGATCAACTTTTCCTGATTCCTGCTGCAATCTGAGATAGATAGAATCTGATTAGGTTGCTAGAGTCTCATCATTCGGTAGTAGGAGATTGGCTATACGAGAGTTAGCCAGTTTACTGCTTTGTACTGGAATCCAATTCCAGTAGTGGAGTTCTGTGCTTATTGCTTCAGCTTTCTATCCCGGTGAAGACTAGTCGTCTGCCGGATAGTTAGACTGAGAGGGCTTGGTCAGCTTAAGAGATTCCAAGCTACTGTCGGATCTTCCGCAGTTTAATCAACAGTAAATCAACCAAAATGAATTACAACTTGGACCTAATTGAGGAGCTAGGGGGAATCATACCTAAGTGAGTTCCCAAACTGTAATTAGTAGTTTTACTTAGTTTAGTTAGTAGAGTAGTTTAGTTAATCAATCCTTAATCTAGTTTGCTAGATAATGAACTGAAGCTGAGTAATAGTAACTCTAGAGACCCGTGGATTCGATATTTATTACTTGTGCCACTATACTGCAGTCCCTTTCATTGGTTACACTTGGCCATTGTTAGGTGTTGTGTTTTAGAGCATCAAGTTTTTGGCGCCGTTGCCGGGGACTTTCTAGATTATTAGGAAAGGCAGAAGTTTGTTACTTTAGCGTTTTTCGTTTCTTTTCTTTTCCACCCTTGCTTTTCACTTGGGTGTTTTTGTTTTTGTTGGTGCAGATCTGAATCATGGATCCTAATGGCTTCTCCAATCATTGGGGGTATCCACCACCATCCGGGTGGTATTACCCCGCGACTCCCTACAGCAATCAAGGAGGAGAAGACTATGGATTCGGGTTCCAGTACCAACCCCCTTTCTACGGAGAACAACCAGACCCCTGGGCATATCAAGAACAATCTCCTTATCAAGAAGAATTTTTCCCACAACCAGGAGGGCCATCGGATCTGGAGTTACCCATGGCGGCCTTCACGGGCCATTCTGCAGAGCCATGCTACACTCCACAGCCAGATCCAAACTATGAATTGAGGCTTCTCGTGGAGCAGATTGCTCGAGTACCTGAGAGATCTTTTCCCGAGATGGATCCTCATATCCAGGCCATTGCCCAAACTGACTTCTCCTACCGTGAAACAGAGGAGACCCTCCTGAGCATAAAGAAGAGCCTCGAGGATCTTGAGAAAGCTTATGCACAACCTGCTCAAGATCACCCTTCTGCTATCATACTAGAAGAGGAGGAGGAAGACGAAGGCTACAAGGATATTGTGGAGCAGACAGAAGTTTTCACGAAAAGCTCTCGTGATGATCATGATCAGGAATTTCCTGCCGTAGCCGACCACACCTTCCCACATCCCAAACTGAGCTTTGAAGAGGCGGGCATGAGTGAGGAGATGCAAGAAAATCTCATGAAAGAAATTGCTTGGCAACTTGCTCTCCAATCCGTGCTAGAAGAAGAAGAGCGAGAAAGGGTGCAGAAAGAAGTAGTGGAGGATGAAGAAAGTGAAGCAGGAGGAGTTCTTGATCTTTTCCCAGGGGTGATATCACATGAAGAAGAAAGGGAGGTTGAAGAAGCAATTGGCGTCCAGGCTGAGGACGGAGTTAAGGTGGAAGAGGCCTGCACCGGCCATGAGTTACATGTGATATCTCCACCAAACTTCGAGGAGCTGCTTGGCAAGGACCCATTTGCAGTCTCTCTTTGCCAGACCAAGGCCACATCGACATCGGTCCCTCTTGGTGGACGCGATGGTGGCCAATCGATGATGTCATATCTGGTTTGGGGCAATGAGACGAGAGAAGAGAAGAAGAGGTCTCGAGGGTGGAGACTTCATCTGCATCAAGTACATGAGCCTTCATCACCTGCCACACCACATGCTCGTGACTTGAGACTCCACCTCATCGACGAGAACCTCAACTTCAAGGAGGTTCTAGCATGGACTGAAACTTAGGAGCCATCGTCCGGCTCACGACGTGAAAGAAGCGCTTGTTGGGAGGCAACCCAACCAGTCGGTTTGCATTTCTTTCTCTTTTTCTCCTCGGTTGAGTCAGTTTTGTTATTTGATTTTAGAGTCAATAACTCAACCTTTGTGAGATTTTGTGTGGTGTTTGTGTTCTGATTACTCTCTCTTTCTGGGATGCACCGCCTGACCCGTTCATCATCATTCACCCTTGATCTGGTAACTTCGTTCTACCCTCCTTATCTTTCCTCCATTGAGGACAATGTCGTGCTTAAGTGTGGGGGGGTGTTCGATTATTTATGCGGGTGAATGTTTGGTTGTTTGTGTGCTTGGAGCCTAGTCCACTGTCCAAATTTTGAAATTTGAGGGCTCCAAGTACGTGTTCCTTGCAATTGCCTGCTCAGTATGCTTTGAATTGACAGTCTCTATAGTAATATGCAACCTAGGGAGGTAGTGTAGCACTATGGAGGATGTTGATGCATTTAAGAAGTCTCGTTTCTTCTTCATATTGTGTTGGTTGATTGAGTGAATTAGTGATCTTAGGACCCTTGAATTGTGTGGTGTTGTGGATTCTCTGCCTGTCATGGACTCTTGTATCATGTTTTGAGTTTAACAGGTGCTCGAAAATGTGCTTCAAATAACGTCTCCCGTGCGAATAGGGCGAAAGTGTGTAAGGGGAGACGGGAATTCGTTCCCAATTTCCACCTACTACCTCCAGCCCCCTTACATGTCTTTCCCCCGCACGAGGCTCGAGACATCCGCTCCTTGCATGGCCGGTAAGAGCAGGTTGGGACCCTTGAAAAAAAAAAACAGAAAACATGCAAAACAGAAAAGAAAAGGGGTTCCAACCATCTTCAAGAAGAAAATAGAGCACCTTGAAAAATGTGAGTCCATGATCTTTTGTTTTTGAGAATCTCTTCATCCACAATTCATTTGTCCTCTGTTCACTATTTGCCATGATGCCGACTCGATACTAGTGCTCTCGCCGAAGAAGTTATGAGATGACTTGTGCGTCGGTTGACCTCGTAAGCTGCTAAATGATCTAGGAAGTCCTCTACCTACGATCTGGGTTGTTTGTTGCTATAGAGGTCTGGAGAGTTGCAGTGGTTTGAGTTAGGTTTGCTTGGGGACAAGCAAACGGTTAAGTGTGGGGGAGTTTGATAGACCGTCATTTACACATGTTTTTACCCCCATTCTTACACCGTTTGAGGTGTTGATTCTCGTGTTTTAGGCCGATTTCACGCTAGGTTGTGCTTGTTTGTGATGTTTCAGGTCCTAGTACGTGAATGAAGGCTTAGGAGCGAGTCTGGGGTCGATTGGACGAAGAACGGACGAATGGCGAGGTTTTTGGGGAGCTGCACGGGCAGACCAGGGAGGCTGCACGGCCGTGCACGGTTGCAAGCTGGCCGTGCGCCTCATGCCGAGGAGATGCACGGGCAGGCCCTGAAGATTGCACGGCCGTGCACCTGGCCGTGCAAGAAGCCTGAGTTCGACTTAAGGGATACGCTGCGTTTCATGGTGCACGGCCAGAATGGTGATATGCACGGCCGTGCACCCTGGCCGTGCGAGTCGGGATTTCCTGGTTTTAAGCCAAATTCCGAACCAAAGAAGAGAGAGCTGGGTTTTGGATCCCAAACACCCAAGGGACGAACCCTAGAGAGAGAGAGCGACTTGGGAACATTCTTGGAGCTATTTTGGAGGATTTCTTCGCCATTGGAGCTCGGGAATCAAGCTTGGAGATGGAGATTGAAGATCTAGATCAGATTTCTGCAGTCTCTCTCTTCTCTATGGAGTAACTTCCCTTCACTTAGGTTTTGAGGAACCCTAGTTCCATGAGTTAGGATCTTTCTTGTATGAAGTTTTGGATGCTATGTTGTTTGATTATAATCGAATGATGCATGTTTATTGAGTCAATTGAAGTCTGATCAACTTTTCCTGATTCCTGCTGCAATCTGAGATAGATAGAATCTGATTAGGTTGCTAGAGTCTCATCATTCGGTAGTAGGAGATTGGCTATACGAGAGTTAGCCAGTTTACTGCTTTGTACTGGAATCCAATTCCAGTAGTGGAGTTCTGTGCTTATTGCTTCAGCTTTCTATCCCGGTGAAGACTAGTCGTCTGCCGGATAGTTAGACTGAGAGGGCTTGGTCAGCTTAAGAGATTCCAAGCTACTGTCGGATCTTCCGCAGTTTAATCAACAGTAAATCAACCAAAATGAATTACAACTTGGACCTAATTGAGGAGCTAGGGGGAATCATACCTAAGTGAGTTCCCAAACTGTAATTAGTAGTTTTACTTAGTTTAGTTAGTAGAGTAGTTTAGTTAATCAATCCTTAATCTAGTTTGCTAGATAATGAACTGAAGCTGAGTAATAGTAACTCTAGAGACCCGTGGATTCGATATTTATTACTTGTGCCACTATACTGCAGTCCCTTTCATTGGTTACACTTGGCCATTGTTAGGTGTTGTGTTTTAGAGCATCAACTGTGCTTACGACGAATTTGTCGTCTCTTTTCGTTCTAGAACCGGTTCCCTTCTGTATTAATAGCTGCGGTGCTATCACAATGAATCAACTACCGGAGGGATCGGTCTTTCCCATAAGGGAATCTCTAGTAATGACCCTCTCAATCAACTTTTCTCTTTACTAGCCATTGCTAGCTCTATCATTTCCGATTTCTTAGTTGATTGAGCAAGGATCGTTTACTTCTTAGAATTCCAAGACACAACAAATCCAGTGATGTTTAAAACATGTCCACTGGATGCCTTGGAATCTTCTATAGAGTATCCTCGTCCGCATCAACATACCCTACCAATACAGTACGAAACCTTTGATAACTTATATCAAGGTCTACTGTTCTCTTAAGTTGTCTCATGACCCCTTTCAATAGCATTTCAATGCTTCATACTAGGACAATCAGTAAGCCTGTCAAGTACCCCCACTAAATCGGGTCTCAGTTTACCAGCTGCCTTCATGCAGACTGTTGATGCTAGTATATTCTAACTTTCTCAGTTTCTCACACGGTTGCCAGTGTTCTTTAATATTTACACTAGCATCATCAACCATTTATGCAGGCATACAACTTGTATTTCTTCTAGATCTTAACTTTGTAGTTAAAATGATCTAGAGGAAATCTATTCATTGTCATAGTTACATGGATCTCCTAGCTTACACAAGCTTCATCGAGAACATTCAAAATTCCCAAACATGGTTTTTTCATATCAATGATATCATGAGTCTTTGTACCAAAGATCAACATGTCATTCATAGTGCACGTGTCATTCTTAACCTTGTACTAAATGCACTTGTCACTTTCATTAAAACCATGAGAGAGAACCAGTTTATTCATGCCATCATCTTAGAGTCTGTTTCAAATCTTACAATGATTTGTCTAACTATAGACTCCGTAAGCATGTTCAGGAACAACAACCCTATAGGTTGTCTCATGTAGATTTTCCTATCTAAATCACCATTCACAGAAATAGTTTGAACAATCCATCTGGCGCACAACACTAGCATTCAGAACATACATGGATGTTATTCTACATATGGTGAATAGATAACAAGAAAACTTACAAATTTTCCTTTTCGCCTAAAGCCTTAGCTATTAGGTGATCCTTATACTCATAAACTAAACCAATAGGTTTCACTTATCTTTTAAGAATCCATTTATTACCCATGACTTCATTGCCAATAGGTAATTCTCAAAGATGTCAAATCTTGTTCGATTCTATCGATATATTACCCAAGGCTTTATAGCCAAGAGGTAACTCTACAAGATTTTAAGTCTTATTAGACTCCAATAATTCCATTTCGTTAATAATGGATTCTCCCACAAATCTGCATATTTATGAAAGTTAAAACTTCTTGCAGACTTGTATGATTCTTTATAGGGTGTAAATAGCAAACTCATAACCAAAAAGCTTAAGTGATTTCAGGTTCATTTGCTTCTTCTGAGTTTAAACTCAGATTTATCACCACCACTAGTTCCATTATTTTCTAATAGTAGGTAGGATACAACCCCCACTATTTCTTGATTTAAATGGAAGTCTATTGACATCAATGGATTTCACAACATAATGAGTACTCAAGTTATGAGGCCTATGTGTTTTTCCTATGGCATATCCAATAAACACACAATCATATGCTTACTCATAATTATATTGCACTGATTCTCTAATTCTAACACCAGTTTATGTGTCATTTATCTTAGCTATGGAAATCACATTTATCATAACCATTATGAGAATGTGACCCTAGCTATTCAATTCCTCAAGATATACGTCAAAGACGTGCATGCAAGACCCATAAGAATTAAACACTTTAACTTTATCATCATGTGCATACTCGCATGATCATTATCAATAGTGGAGTGAGCAATACTCAACAACACTTTCTTAATAGCATATGCCTTAATATGCTTTGAGGTACCAGTAATTAGTTACCATTCTTTAGAGTTACCAGAAAGGTTAATCTCTGCTCTTTTCACAATCATCACAACCACCAATCCTTCTCTTCAATCAAGTTAACACTAGAACCAGTGTTATACTTGTTCATACACTTTCGTGTCATATGACCTAATTTCTCGCAACTGTTGCAGAGTAATAAAACGTCATTCTTAGAGGATTGGCCGATGATCCTTTGGTTACCATGAATGGTACCATTCTAATTGGTTTGGATATGATTCGACTTGCTATTATGATTCTTGAACCTTTTAGGGTTCAGAGTCGCATAATGATTCACTTAGTACTAACACTAGTACTTCTTCCAAAATAAATATAAGCGTACAATCCATTCTACTAACATATATACCACATAATATATGCTTCATAGTTAGCATTCATGTAATCGAAATGACTCTACTTCACCGTATGTACACAAAATTGTACTCTAATCATCAAGAAACCACATCTCAATGTCAACATTCATGCATCGGTTCTAGCTTCCTTTCTAGCATTCATAAGTTCTTATAATTCCATGCAAAAAGCAATAGATTCTAATCTTGTCATTTATTAATGACTCGTGAACGAAAAGGGTTTCGGTTCTTACCTCTTTTCAAGAAGTCATTAGCTTCTGAATTCTCAGCAAATAGCGAGAATCAGCTTGTGCGCCTTCCTAAGATTCCGCTCCAAGCTTCTTCCTGAACTCCCGAGCACCTCGCAATTTCATCTTTTCCGTCCGCAGCTCCTTAATTGTGTTGCTCCAATTTGTTCGTTCCCTTTCTACTGCTATCCAAAGGATATCCTTCCGGCAGCTCTCTCGATAATCTTTCCAGAGAACTACTCCCACTAGCCGGTTCTCCCTCGGCCTCCATAATAGCTCGACCCTAGCCTTGGGCCTGCAGACTTCCACTTGGGCCGAGTGAGAACGAATTGGAAGTTGGTCTGAGAGTTCATGTGCACCGGCGGAATTCCACAAAAAGGGGACGAATTCATAAAAAAAAAGGGGACGAGGAGTCCACTTTTGCTTTTCCTGTTTCAACCGGGGCATTCTTTAGGCCCCAGGTTAGACTGGGCCTTTCATTTTGTCCGCCTGAGCCCTATGAACCTAACCGCTAAAACTATTTTTTCCTGTTACGAGAAGCTCAAAGAACAATAGAACATCAACAAAAATACGTAAGCAACAAACAAAATCAAAGCAGCAGTCGGCGTAGGGTTTGAGAGGAGGAGCTAGTAGCTTCTCTCACAGCCGTCACAAAAAACCGTAGCTGGAGACCCCTCATCATTACCAACTTCTTCTTCCCCAAACACCACCCGCGGCTTAACAAGAAAAGCAAGAAAAAGTGAAAATTCACTAATTAAGAGAGATCAATCTCCCTGCAACTTTCATCATTATTTTTGGCTCCATTATCTCCGAGAGAAGTGGTAATACTCGCGACCTGTAGAAATAAATATATATAGCAAACAAAAATCTCCCCTTTTGACGATATATTCCTTGACATTCGTGAATCCCATCTCCGGCATCGCGAATCCAGTGATCATTGGGGAAATTAAAATGCGAGGAAGGTGGCAAGACATGACAGCCCACGATCGAATGCAATTACGAGCGTTTAGTTCAGTCCATAATCGGAATCCTGTATGGTTAACATGACATCAACAAAACGTCTTAAAATGTTAGAAATCGAACAGAAAAAATTAGATTACCGATTTGGTTGAGTCGCGGACTAGGTCTCTCTCTTTAAGACATTCGCGGCACTGCCTCATTATTCGCACAACAGACTATCAGCCGGTCGCCTCCAGGATAAAACAGCCACTCTTTTGATTTGCTCAGCAGTTTTGTGAGGAAAACCGGAGCTCTTTGAATCTCACTCTCTCTTGTGTTTATGCTCTTCTGAGGTGTGTTTAGAGGGTCTAGTGGACTGCTATTTATAGGAGCAGAAAACCTAGAATATTCCCTCTTTCTTTGGGAATAAGCCACATTTTAATTAGGAAGATAATTACTTTCATAATTAAAATATATTATATTAAGATAATTAATCCTAATTATCTCCATAATATTCTTTTTATTAATTATCGTTCTTATTTTCGTATCTAGAAAGAATACGAGATAATTAATTCAATATAGCTTTCAAAACTATTCATTTCCAACAGCGCTCCTTGATAAATTATCCAAACTAGACCCGACCTATCATGAGACGGATATGGATATCGAGATACCTGCCCTCTGCCATTCCTACCCTTGACCCCACCATATGCATTGGACGTCGCCGTATTTTTGTTGATTAAAATTTTGGTTAAGCCGAAACCCAAGTCAATCAAACCCATAACAAATTAGCCGCTTTGAACGAACTAGACCCGTATTCGGCCGACTCATCGGCCCAACTTTCCCTAGTTTCGCAAATACGGCAGCGTTTTGAGTTCAAAGCCCACAATTAGGTACGAAGCCTCCTCGCCCTCGTCCTTCTCCCCATAGAGGAACGGAAATTCTGATACCCTCCCTCCCAACTCCACCGTAGCGCAGCCGCCTCCTCTCCGTCGAACTTATTTCTGTTCACCAATTCGTCGCCGCCTTAGGGGCCGTTGCTAGTTTTTATCCACGCTAAGCCGCCGAAGCTTCGACCTGCAGAGTTGCCGTCTTCGCCGGCCTTCTTCGTCGTGGTCTGAATTGGCGCCACCGTGCTTGAACGAAGCCTTCATACTTCTTTGTCTCTGTTCAGAGGGCGCCGGGGTGCTGAACAAGCTTTTGAAGGCTGTATTTCGACTCCCACAGTTGGTTTAAAAATGGGGTCAGTGAAGAGAAAGTCTGTTGAGGAACCAACGGGGGAGACTCCACCGCCGCAGAAGCAGCAAAGAGAGAACGGTTCAGCGTTTCAGAATGGGCAAGTAACTTGTGTGCACGATGTCTCGTACCCGGAAGGCTACGTTGCTCCTCCTCCTTCTGACCCTGCAGCTCAGAAGCCCGACAGGCCAGCAAAAGAATTCCCCTTCACTCTTGATCCTTTCCAGTCCAAGGCTATCAGCTGCCTCGACAATGGGGAGTCTGTCATGGTACTTAGTTTGTTATCAAGCATTATAAATCCTTCGTTTGTTTGCAATTTCTTCCCTGGATGTGATAATTTGTACAATGATAGGAGGTGCTTTTGAACTAACTAATCAACTGCTTCTTTTGAAGTGCTTACCAATCCCTTTGATCTCAAGCTCCTTACCACCAGTAGAGATAGAATAAATTTCTGAATCGGTAGAAGTTTGGCAGAAAGGATTAGATATGATGTAGAGTCAGGGGGTTATGATGTTGGGCAGAAAGCAGGCATGGTCTTGACCTAGAAAGGATACGTCTTTCCAATGTCTTCTAAGGAGGGTTTTATAGTGAGAGCTTTCTCTTTTGTTTGCAGGTCTCAGCGCATACCTCAGCTGGCAAAACTGTGGTAGCGTTATATGCTATTGCTATGTCTCTGAGGAACCAGCAAAGAGTCATATACACCTCACCAATCAAGGCGTTGAGCAATCAAAAGTACAGGGAGTTCAAAGAAGAGTTCTCTGATGTCGGTCTGATGACGGGAGATGTCACGATCGACCCTAATGCTTCTTGTTTGGTGAGTTGAGACTTGCTATCGTTTATTGTTTTAATTGTCATGCAATTTTAAGTATTATTTTGCTTAGGATTGGTCACTAAGAGGCAGTTTCATTGCAGGTTATGACCACTGAAATCTGGCGTAGCATGCAGTACAAAGGGTCGGAAATCACCCGGGAAGTGGCTTGGGTAATTTTTGATGAGGTGCATTACATGCGTGATCGAGAAAGGGGTGTAGTGTGGGAGGAAAGCATTGTTATGGCCCCGAAAAATTCCCGCTTTGTTTTCCTTTCTGCTACTGTACCTAATGCAAAAGAGTTTGCTGATTGGGTTGCCAAGGTGATACTTGCATCTTCAGCTGGTTGTCAACCATCACTATATTAGGATTTAGAATTACGGGATTGAATGATCATGTCTGCTCAATTATTCAACAGTCTAGAGAAGTTCTGGCATTGATAATAATTCAAAATGAATCTTAAGATTAGTGCTGACTTCTAATAGAAACAACAAAAGTTCCTTCTACAATTTCATTGGAATATATGCTGATAACCATCAGTCAAACTAACTCTAAACCAATTAGATTATCTTAATGGTACTGTTTTAGATATGATTGCTTATCCATATTGATGTTGTTCCAGGTCCACAAACAGCCATGTCACATAGTGTATACTGATTATCGACCGACGCCTCTTCAGCATTATATTTTTCCTGCCGGGGGTGATGGTTTGTACTTGGTGGTGGATGAAAAGGGAAAGTTTAGAGAGGAAAGCTTTCAAAAAGCTCTAAATGCTCTGATTCCCAAGGGTGAAAATGAGAAGAAAAGAGAAAATGGGAAGTGGCAGAAGGGTTTGGTGGTGGGGAAGCTTGGTGAAGAAAGTGACATTTTTAAGATGGTGAAGATGATCATTCAGCGCCAGTATGATCCTGTTATACTCTTCTCTTTCAGCAAAAGAGAATGTGAATTTCTTGCTATGCAGGTACTCCCTCTATTGCTATTCATTACTGCAGTCCTTGTTTATAATGGATGCTTTTGGTTGCCTTTCAGAAAACCTTTTTAGCATTCTTCACCTTGTAAAATTGAAGGGACCTTCATTTCATTTTTCTTTTGGTGAAGGTTTTGATTTGAATTCCGGCACCTGAACAGAATGTTGTTTCTGCAATCCTTTGTTCTATTTAGTTTGTTGCTGCAAATTCATTTGTGTGAAATTTGTTGAGTATAACAATTCTAATGCCAGCAAATGTGTGTATATATAAGCAACGGTTCATATAGTAGTTTGTTGTTGTTGATTTTCCTTTTACTCTGCTTCATTAGATGGCAAAGATGGATCTTAATGACGATGATGAGAAAGCAAACATAGAAAACATCTTTTGGAGTGCCATGGACATGCTTTCAGACGATGACAAAAAGCTGCCCCAGGCAAGTTTGCTTCCTTCAACGTGCTTGTGTGGTCCTACCTTTTTGAGATCTCATGTTATATGAACGTACTTTTCATGCTCCATACAGTAGTCTTGGCCATCTTTTGCATTCCTTTTTTGGGGAGAGTGGTTCCTGGAGCCCATATTTCTTTTCTCGGGTTGCTTACTCTTCTCATTCCATGTGAATACTCAAGTAAGGCTGCATCTAGCGTTTTCTGTTTCTAGTTTGTTTATATTTTTCCTTGTGTTGTTGCAGGTTTCAAATATGCTACCTCTCTTAAAGCGTGGCATTGGCGTGCATCATTCTGGGTTGCTACCTATTCTGAAGGAAGTTATTGAGATTCTATTTCAGGAAGGATTGATCAAGGTTAGAAGATAACACTTCTCTCTATCTATTTTTAGTTATATGCATTTTCCGGTGTTTTCAGTAGCGAGAGGATAGGAATGTTCTGGCAGGAAATGATTTATGGTCTGTTGTCATTCCAGTGCATAGCTTTTTTCCCACTCACCATCTTTATGGGCTCTGTTGCCTCCACATATTCAAGTTGCTAGAGGAATTGATGTATTTCTCTTCAGTGTCTATTTGCCACAGAAACCTTCAGCATTGGTTTAAACATGCCTGCAAAAACTGTGGTGTTCACAAATGTTCGGAAGTTTGACGGCGATAAGTTTAGATGGCTATCTAGTGGAGAGTACATACAGATGAGTGGGCGAGCTGGTCGTCGAGGAATTGATGACAGAGGGGTTTGTATCCTTATGGTGGATGAGAAGCTTGAGCCGTCTACTGCCAAGTCAATGGTTAAAGGAAGTGCTGACAGTTTGAACAGGTACTATGGTGCTTCTGAATTTTGATATTGTCTTTGATGTGAAAAATAATAAGAATATGCAGGCTCCCTGCTGCAAAATCTTTCCCCTCATCTAGAAATTTCATCATGACTGTCCCCTGATTCATATGTTGCATTTCTTAAGTGTACTTGTACAAGTTTAACTGTCAAGGGTAGAGAAATCATGGATGCATCTGAAGTTTTAAAATTTGACCTTGCTCTTATTAGCTTAAATTATTTTGCAATTACCTTAAAATCATGAAAAGCAATGGAATACATTTTCAATCTATGTTGACAGTTAGTATTTATGAAATCTTTGTCTTGTTTTTAGTGCATTCCATCTAAGCTACAACATGCTTCTGAATCAAATGCGATGTGAAGATGGGAATCCTGAAAATCTGCTCCGGAATTCTTTCTATCAGTTTCAAGCTGACCGCGCCATTCCTGATCTAGAGGTCAGTTATTTTCATTGAGGATGGAAGTCTTAAACATGTAGAGGCTTGCTAGTATTACGAGGATATTTGTTTCAAGTTGCTTCATATATTCATATTGATAAATGCACATTACACAATCTGAAATGTAAATGGCTAAATGCACATTACACATTACACATTACATATTGATATTTGTTTCAAGTGTCCGTATGACAATCTGAAATGCTTGACAATTTGCCCTCGTTTAGAAACACCATGTTCTTGTTAGTCATCGGGTCTTAGCAAAGCACGTAAAACTGGCTAGATATAAGGATCAAGGGAATTACTCTGAACGAGAAGGAACCCTGTTTTCTCACTTAATTTGCTTGAAGAAGCAATGCTACAACTATGCAAAGTAAATAAAATTTAGTTATAAAGCCAGAATATTTATGATCTGGCTATATTTAAGAGTAAGTTGCATTTAATCGAAAGACCAGACTATCTGCATGAAACCCAAGGTTGAAGTATGAAAGATTGCGAAAAAATGGTGCTTGTGCAGCAACAAGCCTGCTGTGGTCTTGAGCTGCATTTGATGTAAATGCATCATACTTATCCGGGCATAGCTTATCAGTTGACTATATTTTTTCAATCATCAACATGATGTGCAATGTCTGACAAAATCCTGCAGAAACAAGTGAAATTTCTGGAGGAAGAGAGGGATTCAATCGTCCTAGAAGAAGAAGATAATCTGAAGAACTATTATGATATGATTCAACAATACAAAAGCTTGAAGAAGGACGTTCGTGATATTGTGTTCTCTCCTAAACACTGTTTGCCATATCTTCAATCAGGCAGGCTTATTTCTGTTGAGTGCTCTGTGGTTGATGAGGATTCATCATCTTTCTTGATAGAGGACCGAGTTACATGGGGTATCATCATCAATTTTGAAAGAGTGAAGGGTGTTTCTGAAGGTCGAGTTCTGTTCTTGTCTTGTCCAACTGTTGCTTGGTAATATATAAATCGAGTTTACTCACCGATACCCTTTTTATATCAATGTTATCCAGATGATGCAAGTAAAAAACCAGAACATTCCAAATACACCGTTGATGTTCTTACAAGGTGTTCGGTAAACAAAAGCGGAGTTGCTAAAAAGACCATAAAGATAATTCCATTGAGAGAACCTGGAGAACCATTGGTTATTTCAGTCCCAATCTCCCAGGTAAAGGCACTTTGGTAATATTATGTTTGATGATTGAGAAAATTTTAAATATCCTTACACTTGATGGCTTTTGTTCTCATACAATCTTGTGGTTTGCCAGATTTATAGCTTGAGTAGTGCTCGCTTGTACATGCCAAAAGATCTTTTGCCTCTGGAAGTACGAGAGAACACTCTGAAGCAAGTTGCTGAATTTCTTTCTAGAAACCCTAGTGGATTGCCTCTAGACCCAGAAGGGGATATGAAGGTATTACTTCTTGCATTGTTGTGCATATTATTAGATCTCTTCTCTGTTTGAGTATTCCATTTTTCTTACAGTGAGATTATAATTTGTTGTTTCTCAGATCCAAAGCAGCTCTTATAGCAAGGCAGTCAGACGCATAGAGGCTTTAGAGCACCTATTTAAAAAGCATGATATTGCGAAGTCTCCTCTTATTGAGCAGAAGCTTAAGGTATTACACACAAAGCAAGGTTTGACATCCAAGATCAAGGCCATCAAGAAAGAAATGCGTACATCCACTTCGTTGGCTTTTAAAGATGAGCTGAAAGCTAGAAGACGGGTTCTTCGTAGACTGGGGTAAATAAGTCTGCCTTTTATCCTTATATTGCTTATACTTATAAAGATGGGTCGGGATTGTCTGATGTGTGTGTTGGGGAATTTGGTATCATCTGTATGAATTTCGACACAAATTTGGAGATTGGCAATTTGAACAAAAAGTGGTAATGGTGTGCCCGAATTGTTATCAGAGTCACGTGAGCTTTGGTGGCACGTGGGATCATGAAATTTATTGAATCACTGAAATGGTGGCATCCGTGAAACCCTTAACCTTGCTTTCTTTGGATTTGGTTGCAGATATGCTACCCGTGATGATGTTGTAGAGTTGAAAGGAAAAGTGGCAGGTGAAATTAGTAGTGCGGATGAATTGGTATTAACTGAACTAATGTTCAATGGGGTTTTAAAGGATGCCACAGTTGAACAGATGGTGGCTCTTCTCTCTTGTTTTGTTTGGCAAGAGAAACTCAAAGATGCTGCCAAACCCAGGGAAGAACTTGACTTGCTGTTTTTGCAGTTGCAAGAGACAGCTCGAAGAGTGGCCAAACTGCAGCTTGAGTGCAAGGTAACTGCACTTGACTTTTGCTTGATGTTCAAATTGGTTCCAGATATGGCTCTAGTAGTAACTCTTCCAGACACTGACCTCCTTTTCATGCGTTTGTTAATGATGACAGGTGGAAATTGATATAGAGAATTTTGTGGGCTCTTTCAGGCCCGATATCATGGAAGCCGTTTATGCTTGGGCCAAAGGTTCTAAATTCTATGAGATCATGGAGATCACACAGGTATTTGAAGGTAGTTTGATCAGAGCTATTAGGAGATTGGAGGAAGTGCTTCAACAGCTTATAGAAGCTGCAAAGTCCATTGGTGAAATAGAACTGGAGGCGAAATTTGAAGAAGCCGTTTCCAAAATCAAGAGAGACATTGTATTTGCCGCATCGCTCTACTTGTAGTTATCCTTTATTCTGATGGTTTCACGATGGTCAAGTGCAAATGAGATGACATATTAAACCCTGGGAGCCAAAGTTTCCTGCTTGGAGGGTGGAGAAAGAATCTGTAATGAAAGGGACGGATGCCGTTGCTTACATTGCATGATAGAGCTGAAGAGGAAAGTGAAAAGCATTGCTTCCTATTCCATCTATATGATCTGCTGCGGGAAACATGAGCTTCTTGGCCATACCCTCTATCAGCCAAACAACTAGTGATCTCCAAGAAGAACGGTCAGTTGATTCTGAAGGTTTAAGGTATGGTTTTCGTCTGCTATAGAATGGTGGATTTGATATCTATCATGCTTTTATAAGTCATATATATAAGGCCTTATCCTAAGCATTTTGTATTTCCCTTTGTCTTTATGTAATTTAGGGGTAGTGCACCAACTTTGCTTTCAGAAACCACTTGTAGTAGTCAAATGATATGCCATGGACACCGAGTGATGATCTGATTGAAATTATACTTCATAGGTGCTAATTTTGCTTCTCGTATTGATTGAGCCTTTCTCTGAGTCCCACATTTTGTTATTGCAATCAACTTTATTATATAGCCTGTATTTCGTACACATCTGCCATTACATATATGAAATAAGAGCTTCTTTCTAGTGTACAATGAACGATAATACCAAACAAGAGGAGTTGCAGAAGGATAGCAGAACACAATAAACTAGCTCCTCTGGCTCTGCTCTCATCTCATGTGAACTTCCTGAATCCGAAAACAGGGGAGGAAGCAACCAAATAAATTGGCACCAAACTTCGCTACAGAAGTAAAGAAACCACCAGCTGACTTTCTCTCCAGTTTTGTTGATGATGTCTGCTGCGCAAGCGCAACGTTAGCAGGCACTCCATAGACAGGCTGTGGATCCATATACTGCTGATAAGAAGATGACGGAAGAGTGTTCTCAGTGGGGCAACTCCGACTTGCTTCCACTGTGATCTCTTCAGACGTGAAGCAGCTGGTATGGGTTTGATACGAGAACTGGGGAACGTTTTGCTGTTGCATAAGAGGAGAAGTCTCGAGCCATGCTGGCAACGGAGGAGCTGATGGCTGTGGCGGCGGCGGTGGAGGTGGTGGAGGGGGAGGGTTGGAGTATGAGTAGCAGCAATGGCAGGTGGAGTTGAGGTGGTAGTAAGAAGGATCGTGTTGATATGTCGACGCCTTCTTCTTTCTCTTCTTTCTTGGCCAGAACTTCTTGAGCTTCTTCACAGCTTTGATCATGAGGATGCCCTGCTGCTGCTTGTCTTGCTTAGAACTCCTGGCTGCAGAATGATTGTTATGTATTCTTTGGTAGGGGAATGAAGGAGCGGGTAGAAAGTTGAGAAAAGAAAAGGAGATGGGAACAACTTTTCTCAGCCCCCTTGCGTTTTTCTTCTTCTTTCTTTGCTACGTTTGGCTTTTCCTGATTTTACACTTTTTTTAAATATAGTGACCGTTGCTCATCCACTGAACCGACAGTTTGGTTAGGGGTCAATTATGAGCGGTCATCGAATTCGGGTCGCTAACTTTCATTTGTAACCGTAATTTTCACTGCAGTTTCAACGGCCACATATTTTGCCTGTTGCGTCATGTGATCGTCCAAACTGTAGAAGTGAAACGAGTGTAGTAACTGAGCAAGTTAACAAAATATCCCAACATATCCAATGACTTGTACGCTCGATCAGAAAGTTACATATTTATTGCGCTTAGTTCAAACTACGGTGACAAGTTTGCTACAAAATAATCCCGATGAAGAATTTGCTTCGAGGGGCCAAAGTTCTGTGGCTGTTTATATGATTCATCCGACTGCTTTGTTCTGTTACTGAGCGATGCAATGCAGTCTCCAATATCGGCTGGATACTTATTCAATTCGGAGGTAAGGTGATGTACTGATCATAGTTATGGAAGGAGAAAGATATAATCTTGGCATGAGCATGATTAGGGACAACTGCTCGTCTGACTGATGCTGAGGTTTCCGACAGATTCCAACTGGTGATGTATCAGCTATGAACAAGTGGATTTGGAATCACATGACTATTTGGAATTTTGTAGTACAGTCGTCAATCTTTCATGTTTGCGGAGCTTTGAAAGCAGGTTCACGATGATCACACCAACCTGCATATCCATTCTAAACGTTGCAAGTGGTTTTCGGAACAGGTGACATATCTTGCTGAAGGGGATCAAAGCAGTAGGAGCAGCAACATTCCAATGGCACGTTGCATTTTCAGTAAGGAGGCGAGGAGCTTAACTTACTGCAATACGCCGTGGACCCAAGAGCTTCCTCAATGGTACCCTTGTCGAGCCCAAGAAAACGCAACACAATGCCTTCAGGGAAGTTGGCTGCAGCCTGCGGCCACTTGGGTGGATCAAGTAGAAAACCGCTTCAGCTGAAACTTACATAGCCAGGAATTCCACCATAGATTCCTCAAATGGACATTTAGACATCTCAGGCTTAGCCTGCAACTGATGTTATCGTAGTAATACAACGGTGAGCTGTTCTCAGTGGTACAATTGACTAGGGTTGACACCGATAAGGGGCAACCACTGTGTTTCATGAGGGACTGAAAGGTGGCAAGGGCATCTGTGAGAATGTGCGGCTGAAAGGCATCAGAGTGAACTCATCCTTGATGAGTTTGTAAGGCATTTTTGTGTTCATCTACTAGTCACATGTATATCCGTATATACGATCAAGCTTAGAGAAACAAATTTAGAACCATATAGCTCATCTACAAGATCATCACTGATGAGTACACTTCCATCCATATTATGCCCACAAGGTAAAAAGAAGGGAACATGAACACTGGTAAAAACACATTGATACTATTATGTTCCTTTATACATCTATATAACACAAGTATGACTTTGTTAATCATAGTATACCTCGCACGATTCTGAGCGACCAAACATATTGTACCGGTTGTTCGCCACATTGTCATACACAAAATCTCTTACGAACCTGCAATACACACACCAGAAGAACAATCAGAATCATCATCTGCAGTGCAGCTTGAAGATGATCAGTTGGCAGCAAACTCGAGGGGGTAAATTTAACAAACTTACAGTGGCACAAACTGTAGAAAGAATGCTAGCTGTGGGAAAGGCAAGTCTATGTATTCCATTATCTTCATCACAGCTTCGGACTTCACATATGATCTGATGGAAGTTCACTAGACATTTATCAGAATTCTCATCGAATTCACGTAAAAGATAATCTGAAAAGACTGGTTTTCAACACACATTACCTATCCTTTTCAACAAGGACCACACTGGAGATATCATCTGGAGCTCTTCCTGATCTCCTAAGTAGATTCCTCCCTGACTCGCTCTGGAGAGCCTCATACCTAATTCTCCTGTTTTGATCGTTTTGACGAACAAATCGCACACCTCCATTGCAAAGGTTGCACACTCCTGTGGGAAACACAAAACAGAGTTTCTAAACTAAACCAATCCAATCTTTTCACATTCAGAAAAAGAAACATACAGCTATGATCTCAGGAAACGGGAGTTTTCTTTCTCTTTTACCGTCGAATAACATGATGGGTCGGGAATCCTTCTCGAAAACGCTGTTGGTTGCTTCGACCCAGTTCACAGTTTCTCCTGGAGAATGAGACAGAGCCGCGGTAGTAGCGAATCTCCGTCCCACTTGCATGAAGGACGGCGGCCGGCGGAGAGGGCCGCAGCCGCTGATGGGAGCAAGCAGCGCCATGGAGAGGAAGCGAAAGAGCAATCACAGAATTAGATTGCTGCAGCTGCTGTAATGGAGGAAATGGCACCTGAGAAAGAAAGACAAGATTTTTAAAAGAGAAATCTTTTTCAATTTCCACAAAAGAAAACTCTTCCTCTTTAAATTACAGGTAGCCCCTTTTGCTGCCTTGCTAAAAAGTGGAAAACTTCGTTCTAATAGTGGTGGCATTTTCTGTAATTGATGCAAGGGCAAGGGCTAAAAGTCAGAGCTTCCATTGTGTCGTTTGAAAAAAATAGGTATGCGACCGCGTGGGTACTCGAACTACCACAAACGTTCTTCTGCCGCTTCTTCCTTCCGGAAAGGTTTCGTCTTTTTGGCGCCAGTTTCATGCCAATCAGTGTGGTGGAGGCTGGAGCTTTGTGTTCTTTCTTGGAACTTATGAGGGATTTGGAAGCCGCAGCTGTATAGCGAACTGAAGGTGCTCGAGTTCGCTGGCTGTGTTCCCGTATGTCTAAAACCCTGCTCTCTCGCATTAGACCGCTTCACCACCCAAAACCCATTCAGCGGTCTTCTTCTCCGCTTCCATTGACGAGCAACTTCAGAATCCTAGTCTACGATGTGCTGCGAATCCTCAAAACAGAGCCACGATGGGAGGAGTCCCTTGATTCCCTCTTCGTGTCGACGGAAACCGAAGTTTCGGAGGTAGCACACTTCGTGTTCGATAAAATTCGTGAACCAGACTTGGGTTTGAAGTTCTTTGATTGGGCATCGGCGAAGTCGGATTGTGGTGGCTTTACTTTGAATGGGTCCGCTTGTTCTTCGCTTCTGAAACTACTATCACGGTTTCGGGTGTTTGACGAGGTGGAGAGTTTGTTGGAGACTATGAAATGTAAAGGCTTGACCCCTACCCGTGAAGCATTGAGTGTTGCCATACAAGCATATGCGGAGGCTGGGCTGGTCGACAGGGCTCTTGTACACTACAATGCTGCATCAGGTGTTCATAATTCTTTCCCTGATGTTATTGCTTGCAATTCATTGCTAAATGCATTAGTGAAAAGTCATAAGCTCGACATTGCACGCCGAATTTATCATGACATGGTTCAGAGAGATGATTTTGTGGACAACTATAGTGTTGGTATTCTAGTAATGGGCTTGTGTAAGGAAGGGAATGTCGAGGAAGCTAAGAAGTTGATGGAACAAAGCTGGGGCAAGGGTTGCGTCCCACATATTGTGTTTTATAACATCATGATTGATGGGTACTGCAAAAACGGTGATAGTGGGAAGGCCATTAAGCTTTTCGGAGAGTTGAAATTGAAGGGCTTTTTGCCTACCTTGGAGACATATGGAGCTCTGATTAGTGGACTCTGCAAGGAAGGAGATTTCGAGGAAATTGATAAGCTATTGGTAGAAATGAAAGAGAGGGGCTTGAATGATAATGTTCGGCTGCATAACAATATCCTAGATGCCAGAATCAAACATAATCATAAGACTGAGGCATCAAAGACAATCCGTCGGATGATCGACAATGGTTGTGAGCCAGACATAGTGACTTATAACTGTTTGATCAGTGGTTCAAGTAGGGATGGGAAGTTTCAAGAAGCCGAGGAACTTCTACAAGAAGCTATCAAGAAAGGACTCGAGCCAACCCTTACTACGTATACCTCTCTTGTACATATTTACTCTAAACAAGGGAAATTTGTTAAGGCTTCAGACCTGCTGATTGAGATGACAAAGAAAGGCCATACACCTGATTTGGTTGCTTACGGAGCTCTGATTCATGGGCTGGTTTCCACCGGGGAGGTGGATGTTGCCTTGGTAGTTCAAGATACTATGAGGGCAAAGGGAATTGTCCCTGACATGACTGTCTACAATATTCTGCTAAGTGGTCTCTGCAAGAAAGGAAGGCTTCCTGCAGCAAAGATTCTGCTGGCCGAGATGCTCGAAAAAAATTTATTCCCTGATGCTTTTGTCAATGCCACTTTGGTTGATGGGTTCATTAGAAATGGCAAACTTGAGGAGGCCAGAAGAATCTTCGAGCTCACAGCTTCGAAGGGTATTGATCCTGGCGTTGTTGGGTATAATGCTATGGTTAAGGGTTATTGCAAATTTGGGTTGATGAATGATGCAATGTTGTTTCTTAAAAAAATGATGAGAGGTGATCATACTCCAGATCAATTCACGTACTCAACCATCATAGATGGGTACATAAAGCAGAATGACTTGCATGGTGCACTCAGGATCTTTGGCCAGATGTTGAAAAGGAGATGCAAACCAAATGTTGTCACATACACTTCTCTAATAAACGGTTTTTGCAGAAGTGGAGAGTCCAATATAGCTGAAACAACTTTCGCTGAGATGGAATCATGTGGCTTAGAGCCAAATGTAGTTACTTACACCACACTCATCGGATCCTTCTTTAAGGACGGTAAGCTCAGAAAAGCTTGCTTTTATTTTGATCGAATGTTGTTTCATAATTGTGTCCCGAATGATTTTACTTTTAATTATCTGGTAAATGGGTTATCACATAATGTGGCCGCATTAAGAGCTGGGGAATGCCAGTTACCAGTTGGTGAAGAAAGCCCTCTCTGTCAGCAGGTTTTTGGGTGCATGATATCAGATGGATGGGAGCCCAGAGCTGCTGCTTATAGCTCTGTCATATTCTGTCTCTGCCGATACAGAATGGTTGAAACTGCAATATACCTGTGTGACAGGATGAGGATTAAGGGGTTTGTTCCAGATCCTGTCTCTTTCATTGCCATGTTACATGGACTTTCCTTGGAAAGAAGATTACCAGAGTGGAAGACATCAATACCTTTCAGTATAAGTGAAAAGGAAGTACGAACAGCCATCATGTACTCTCAGAAACTGAACCGATTCCTACCAACAGGATTCATGGCAGACGCTTTGCATATTTTGTACAATTATTTGGAAGAAGATCCAGCTCTATATTCACAGGGTTAGGTCTCGCCGAGATACAAGATTTTGTCCCGACAACCAGAAGCTGCGCTAACAATCTGGGCCATACTTGAAGGGATCAAAACTCCAGATATCTTCATCCCATACCTCCAACTTGTGCACTAGCTGAGTTTCATTGAGGAATCCGTGGCATATACTTCTGTGCTTGTAAATTAACTCTATCCAGCTTCTGTGCTTGGTCGTGCTGGGTCACCGCTAGCAAGTGGTGCTGGACTTTGATTTTCCCACCAAAGAAATTCACAAGTAACGACACTCATAAGCACACAAAGGATTCTCTTGTAAGGTATCCATCCAGATGAGTTCCTTATTGCTATTCCCAATCTGTTAATAGTTGCTGTCTGCAATTCTAATGCATTTACACCCCTCCCTGATTTCTTTCAAGTTGCAGGCAATGCAGCTGAAATTGAAGTAAAGATCTCCCCGAGAGAGAGAAAAAGGCGCTCCTGTTTTTGTTTTCCTTTATTATTTCAGCCATGGCAGCACAACTTCGTCCAGAGTAACTATATCAAATGGCCTAAGTCTCAACCATGCTGCTGCACAAGAGCGATAACCAACAACAGCTGAATCCCTGGGCAAACGGAATGGCGTAATTGATGGATTCATTTCTCTCCATTAGCCAACTGGAAAAGATGAACCGTCTTTGTTAAATAGTTCAGGGGTATGCTCTGTGAGCAATTGTAATGTAATACTTGTGGATTGTACAAGTTTCCAGTTTCGCTTCGAATTGCACCAGAAATTACTCCTGGATGCAATTTATCGAGCTCAAGTATACTCTTTCAGTAAAACGCAAGTTTCTCAATAGATGATAGAACAAATGTTCAGAAAGTCAACAATTCCGCTGTAATATGAAACAGTTTGCAGTTACATGTTAAAAGTAAATGAAGTACAGTGAGTACAAAATTCCCTGGATAGTGATCCTTTTCTGATCCCATTAATCATCGTACAATCCACCAGTAAACCCAAGTATCTTGTCTTGTCTATATGAACATCAGCACGAATAATGAAACAGAATGAAGGACTAAAATCATCAATCAAGATTAATCACAATTTAGATTCGCAAAAGCAGTCAGGCAAGGCAGACCCTCTTCCAATCACAAAGTCTTCTTTATGAGCCGACCACAAGGCTTCCATCAACTCTTTCCCTTTCAGTCCCCGAAAGGTCAGTTCAGCAAAGGCCTTACGGCTTAAAAACAGAGTTTTATACAACCCTTTATATGCTCGCATCGCAGCAACCATCTTATCCATATTCCCAAAATATGTGGCCACATACGAATCACTGTTAATGGAGACATAGTAATCGAGGGCAGCCTTCGTGTTCCCGTGCATGTTTGTAAAATCCTGATCATCAAGAAGAGCAGATTTGGTGAATACGTTTGTGTAAACAGAACGCAGCCCGTCAAGTTCCATGAGACCATCCCCAGCCGCGAGATATATACTCGTGTTTGTAGGGATGGACAGCGCCTGCATTATCAAGGCTGTCTCATTAGGAGTAAGAGGGCACTTCCCTCGTTTTCTCCAAACATTAGCCAATTCTCCAGTCCAAGGTTTTCTATCATCTCGAACTGCTTCAATCGCTTCCATGGAGGAAGAAGAGAGGCCGGAGTATTCACATTGGCTGTATGCTACCATGTCGGGTTCGAAGCGCAGGTGTAGCGAGAGGAATGGTTTTGGTATAGCTTTGAAAAGTTCCTGAGCTTTGTCTTCCAATGATCTGGCCAGACGTAATGCACTATAACAAGCTTGGCATAATGCAGCTTTAGCATATAGAGGATACCTATTGAAAAAGGAATGCACACAATAATTCACATATAGGTCATTTGGTTTCATGCATTAGGGGATGTGATGCATGAACTCAGCGCATACGGCTGAGAAGAGTTCATCAAGGTGTGCAAGGACAATATTATAAAAGATATATCAATGAAAACAAGCATACCTGTCCCTCCTTTGGCTCATAGCTGGAGTAATTGATATAAAATGGTGTTCCAGTAGAGGTGGAAGCACACTCTCTATGTAATCAAATTGGCCTTTGCGTTTGCTACAATCAACAGGAAATGGCTCTTTTGAAGCTAGTTCGGGTGGCAATTCTTTGACAATTTTAGCAAAACTAGACATTTGCTGAATGAAGTAATCAACATCAAATACATCTGCAAAACCACTGTCACCAACACAGAGTGGTTATAAGAGTCTATGGAATACACAACCCATTAACTGCAGTTGCAATCCTCTATAGTCTATATATAGTCATTACCCTGCCAAGCTATAAAGTCATTACTTCACATCAAACTTAGTAGAGCCCTTATATACAAAGAATAAACAGACTGAATAGAGAAGCAGCAGACCATGCTAATTTCAAACTAATCATAGTCAGTCATTTACAAGCTCTAAACACTGATTTTTTGGGTATTCTATAGCCAGTTAACATGCTGATTAGAATACGATGTATGGCTTATTTAGAACTATTTTTTACTCCTCAAAATCAAGCATTTGTAAAATATGACGAGTATGGTTTTTGGAACCCAAATTGGCGTGAAACTAAGTCAAAATATTCAAACTTATCACAGGTCAACGGAAAGATGACACTCTCCAACTAGGCAATTGCCCAAATGTAATCACTAAGTTCAACTGTCTATCAGCTTTGGTTTCCGAAGATATGCTAAGCAACAAGACTCAACAGTACTTTCCCAATTACAATAGTATGGTCGTAGAAAATGGGGAAGAAAATCACATAAACAATTCAATTATTACCTTGACTCATTCCAATATGCAGCTGCCTCAAACTTTGGCAAAACAAGAGTTGCATTTAACAAGCGGGCAATGCCAACTCCATTGCAGAACTGCAACAGCAACAAGAACACACACCATTTACCCGCAAGCAAAAAGAACCAAGCCCCTTAATCGCATGTGTAAAACAGGTCAGTGAACTTACATCTCTTCTCATCTGATTGAGGCCACCATAGCAATCCACTTGAATGTATCCATTATTCTCAGTTGGTGGAACTGCAGGATTTCAACAAAAAAAAAAAAAAAAACCAATGCAGTCGTCTGCAATGAAAGTCAGTATCAACTTGACCCAGGATAGAAAAGAGATAACGGCAGTAAATCTGCTTTAACCGCCTTCTTTGACAGTAGCCCATTCCATTTCTTAGTCACTAACTTAAACTACATAGCTACTAGTTAATCGCCCCAAAACAATCGACAACGAAAAGTTCCAGTCTTTCTTCAGACCCACAATTGAAAGGAAACTGAAAACGTACCATTAAGGTGACCCTGAATCCACCACTTGCAAGGCCTCCATTCCACAAGTCTCTGGACACGCCATATCTCCAATCTCACCCTGAGCGACAATAGCCAGCGGAAACATGAACACACGAAATGTACATATACTTCTGCAAGAAAAGGGAACTGTACTTACGTTGAGGAGTCGGCGGAAAATGGATTCGCGGGGAATGTAGGGGAAGGAGAGAGCAAAACGATGGCGGCGACGAGGGAGAGAGTGAAGATGGTAATGAACAAAGGCTTCACAGAAACCGCGATCATTTGACGGAATTCAAATCTTGATTTGGAGATTGGATTGGATTGGATTGAAGGCGCGGATTAGCAAACGGAATCAGAAGCTATACACAGAATCTAACTGGACAGAGAAGGTAGTGGCGATGTTAGGGTTAGCTTGCGGGATCCAATCAACAAAGAAATTGAGAGAATTGGGCAAGTGCAAAGACGGTGCTACGCAGTTAGACAAGCAAGCAAGAGAGAGACTGAAATCTGTCTTAAGATCTGATAAGTTCGTTAATGAGGTTGGATTCTGACTTCATTAGAAAAGGCTGACCGTGAAATCGGGTATAAATTCCATCCAGATTGGGTTGGTTGTTGGGTCGGGCTTAGTTCGGTTTTGGTTGGATTTCTTTCTGGCTAATTAGTGGGTTTGGACTTTGGACAATTGTTGTATGAAGAAATGGTGGGATCTGTCTAAATTAGTAAATTTTGAAGAAGGGATAAACTAGAGAATGAATCGGGTGTTTAGATGGAAAGTTGATTGCAAGAAAAATAGAGGGCTAATTTTATAGGGTTAGCATCATGTTAACTTCATTAATGACTTCTCTAAAAAAAACTTCTTTAATGATTGTCAATTATTTTTAATTGAATCTAGCAGTAGAATGTAGTGGAGGGCATGTAAGGTATTTCAGAAAATTACTTTTAATTGAATATTTCTCTTTTTGCCATCTCCATCCCTAACTGTATGACTTTTGCTTCCGTCGAATCCGGTGGCAATCTTATTTTTGTTCTTTTTACAGTCCTGAATCAGAAACCACATTCTCATACTCTTATAACCACCCCAATCTCGTTTCTTGACCATTCAAGATTGTTGCATCTACATTAATCACGTAGATTGCAGGCGGCAACTTTTCCTTGTGATATTGTCGTGGTAGTTTGGTGTCTGGCTTTCTCTTATATAAACAAGTAATATATGTTTCTTCGGAAAAAATCCCAAGTTACACATGTTTTTAAAAAAAATTCTCAAAATACACATGTTATGAAAATAATTCCCAATCTACACATGTTTGGGCCTTCACCGCGTCAGAGAAGGGCGGTGATTGCTTCACCGCGTCAGAGAAGGGCGGTGATTGCTTCACCGCGTGAGAGCAAAACGGTGATTGCTTCACCGCGTGAGAGCAAAACGGTGAAGCACTGAACTGCGTCAAAACTTTGAAACAACATAACTTTGTGCTCGGTTATCCGATCGTAGCGAATTTTTTTTTGATTCCGCATAATTTTTCGAGATCTTGCAAGCCGCCGGGCAGCGCTGACCAGACTTCCCCGCCAGAGGCGGCTAAGAATTCTTCTTCTTCATCGGCGGTGGCAGTGGCGGTCGCTAGGGATGGGAATTAGGAGCTGATTTTGTTGCGGGGGATGAATGTAGTGGCGGAGCAAGAGCCCCTTTTCAATTTGTAATTATAATATTTTTTTGTTTTATTTATTTTACTTTATTGTGAAAATGAGTTGGAAATGGTAGAAGATTAAAATTTATTTTATTTATTATTTTTTAATTGCCACGTCACTGAGTTAACGGTCAACTTTAAGGGTTGACTGCCACATCAGACAAATTTAACGGAGTTGGACGGAGAGTGACCAAACTTGAACCATTTAACTAATTTGAGTGATCAAGATTGGATTTAAATATTTACAGTGACCAAACATGAACGTTTTTTGTAATCTCAGTAGCAACCATGCAATTAACCCATTTTCTTTTTGTTTCACATCTTAGCATTAATTTCCTCGCAGATAAACCACAAGGCTATCGCAAATTGCGCAGTCCTTTCAATCGACCTCGTCTCCTATAACTCACACATCCAATCTTCACAGGTACAATTTTCTCCTTTCTCAAACATATCTCATAGCTCACTCGGCCTCCAAACTCTTACCCATCCACAGTCTCTAATGAATGCTCTTGAGTCTCAACTAACTCCCAAAATGAACACTCATCACATCTTTTGTTTGTCTTCTTTAGAATGTTATGTCTTGTGGGTAGTGTGTTTCTTATTCATCTTCAAGTAAGCACTTTAACCTTAAGGGGTATCTGGAGATTCCAGATTCTATCCCAGGCTATTGGCTCTTTCAACTTTTTCCCTTATGGGATAATACTTTACTTTAGGGGTGACTATACGGTTCGGTCCGATTAAATTGGACCAAATTGATCCGGTCTCAGTTCGGTCTTTTCGGGAATATAAGGACCAAAGATTGGATTGGATACAGTCCGGTCTTGATCCGGTCTGGTCCCAATTTTATCTTGATTTTAGGTGTTGGGGGTCTCTTATCCGGTATTTATCCGGTTTTTTTACCTCAAATCTAAGACTGAATATGAGATTGCATTGTTTGCTATCCAGTCCCAGTCCGGTCCCGATCCGGGTTATACGGTCCGGTTTCGAATAAAACCAAACATTCCGGGACCAAATAGCCAGCCTACTTTACTTTAACACCTTGACACACCAATGAATTAGGATTCTCAATCATATTTCATATCTGCTTATTTTTTAAAGACGCAATTCACGAAAATACATGTCTCCTTCCTTTTTCTTCTTCTTCTTCTTCTTCTTTTGGCATGTTTCTTCTCACTTAAGCAGTTAAGCTAGTGTGTCCTACGCACCTTGTTTGACTAACTACAGAAATGGTGAAGAAAGAAGATGGAAGAAGAAAACAACTAATCCTCTAATTAAATGATCATTTCCTTAATTTAACTATTAGATCTATTAACTTTGATCTAAGAGTTAAAAGCAATTTAGTCTTCATTAAGCACCCTCTTAATTATAGGATGTGCTCCCGTATTTCATAATTAATAATTAATCTTTGATTATTTATTGACTTCATCGATATGAAATGAGTCACAATTCAAATAAGTCCATTTGCTTCAGCCCTGAAAACAATCAATCCAGCATGAGCTACATGAACTCCCAGCCATTTATCGGATAAATTGATAAGTGGGAAATTACTATGAATCATCCGTTTGACACCAATAAAACCTTATACTTTTTTTTTTTTTTTGAAGCTCAATAAAACCTTATACTAGTCTGGCTTTTGTGTACGTTTTTCCAATCTGGTTTTATATGATTTTGCAAACCCAGCGAGTAGTCAAAGACTAATCGGACTTTTCTTCTTCTTCATGAATTACGACCACTGGCCAATGACAAAGTGACACGATAAGATTCGTTTGCTCATTCACAAGAGGATAAAATGCGTCCTCTGTCTCTGCGCCATTGACAGAAGCTCGCCACAAAAGCCAACACCATTCCATACCACCACCATCCACTTCCTTCCACGATCACTTTTCCTCTAGCTTCCTCCTCCTCCCCATATAACCCACCAATCCATTACCAAGTCCCCGCCTTTCTACATTCCTTATTTGAATCCCACATCACAGTTCTTTAAGGAAATGGCAGAGCAAGAAACAGAGCAGCAGCAGCAGCAGCAATTGATCTTGATTCCACTCCCAGCCGCCGGCCACCTCGCATCAATGGTGGAACTCGCCAAGCTGCTCGTCCACCGCCACTCCACCCTCGTCGTCTCCATCCCCATCATCACCTCCCCCTCCACAGCCGCCGCCGTCACCCGCTACACCGACTCACTCGTCCAAACCCCGCGCGTCAACCTCCTCCGACTCCACAACGACGACGAAGACCAGTCAGTTCCGGGGGCTATCTTCTCGATGATCCAAAATCAAAAGCCCCGAGTCAGAGAAGCCGTCTCCGCCCAGCTCGCTGGCTCCGGGGCCCGGCTCGCGGGCTTCGTCCTCGACATGCTCTGCACCTCCATGGTGGAAGTGGCAGAGGAATTCAGCGTCCCCTCGTATGTTTACTTCACCTCCGGCGCCGCTTTCCTCGGCCTCTGGCTCCACGTTCAGGAATTGCACGACAATGAGGGGTTTGAGTTTAGCGAGTTCAAGGAAACCGAGTTGGCTTCCCCGGGTTCGTCCCACTCTGTTCCAATCAAGGTCATCCCTTCGAGCTTTCTCAACAAGGAATGGACGGCCACAGTGCACGGGATGGCGAGAGGTATGAGGAGAACCCAGGGTATTTTGGTCAATACGGTGAGGGAGTTGGAGTCGTATGCGCTCGAGTCTCTCTCCGGTGGGATGAACATCCCCAAGGTGTATCCGGTCGGACCAATTCTGAACCTGAAGGGCGAAGAGTCGTCGAAGGATGAAGAGGCGATCGAATGGTTGGACCAGCAACCAGAGTCGTCGGTGGTGTTCCTCTGCTTCGGGAGCATGGGAGCCTTCCGTGGGGAGCAGGTGAAAGAGATCGCCTGCGCGCTGGAAGGAAGCGGGCAGAGATTTTTATGGTCCCTACGTCGACCTGGAGAAGGTGGGGCGTGGCCTAGCCCGACGGATTATGAGGATGTCAGAGAGGTTTTGCCGGAAGGGTTTCTCGACCGGACGGCGGAGATAGGAAGGGTGATGGGATGGGCGCCACAGGCGGTTGTTCTGGCTCATAAATCCATCGGAGGGTTCGTATCGCACTGTGGGTGGAATTCGACGTTGGAGAGCGTGTGGTTTGGCGTGCCGATGGCTACATGGCCGATGTATGCAGAGCAACAGTTCAACGCCTTCTTGTTGGTAAAGGAGCTGGAGATAGCTACGGAGGTCAGGATGGATTATCGGAGCGAGAGTGGGGAGATCGTTTCAGCGGAGGAGCTCCAGAGAGGAATCAGAAGCTTGATGGAGGATTGCTCGAGGAAGGAGACAATGAAGGAATTCAGGGATCGAGTCAGGGGTGCATTGATGGATGGCGGATCTTCTTCGTCTTCAATTGCCGAATTTGTTAGAGATGTGAGTACTCACAATATGTGATCCTACTATAGGGTCTGGCAATCATATGTTCTATCATGATTTGTCCCTTCCGTCCTTTTACTACATTCCTCGTTCATTTATGAAATGCTTTTTCAATTAAATATGGACGTTCTTTTTATAAATAATATATAAGAATGAGTCGACCCGTTCGGCCCGTACTCGCATAGGTATTATCCGACCTTATCTAAACTTAGTGTGGAATGAGTTTGGATATTGAGGTAACCGCCCCATTGCAATCGTTAATTCAAAAATGTTCGATGTATTATACCATAGCCTTTCTATATGGTACTTATCGATAAAAAAAAGTGGTATTTGTTTTATAATGATAAAATTGAAATTAATATTATTTCTTTCAGTATTACTCATAATTTATTCTTATAATGGTCACTAAATAAATAATGTAAGATTGATTATGTACTTTTATGCATGACCATGTTTACTCAAGAGTCATGATAGTCGTCTATGTTGAATGATTCAACATAATAGTGCAAAATCAACAACACTGACCATTTGTATATACCACATGGCAAACCAACAAAAGAAAAAATGAAATCCACACCAAGAAAATTGTAAAAGGAAAAATAAAGGACTTAGCTAGTTTCCTTTGCCAAATCAGGCGGATGATATTGTGTGCTTTGGGCCAAACTCGCACGGTTTTGTTTTTGAGTGTTCTTCTCAAAATGCCTCGTATTAATTGGGCTAGGTGGACACTAATATACAAGGGTATCTTCCCTTGTATTTCTGATGTGGTAATTGGGCTAGGTGGATCTCTTTGATACCACTTGCAGAAATCGGGTAGCTCAATTAGTACGATATTGTCCACTTAGGGCTAAGCTCGCACGAATTTATTTTTAGATGTCCTCTCCAATAGACCTCATACTAATGAGCTTGATGAACACTTAGATATAAGAGTCCCTTTCTTTGTATTACCGATGTGGTGTTTGAATTGTCCCATCACCGCATCGATACTTAAGTGAAATAAGATACATTTGGTCATTCAGAAGGACAAATGTAACTTTCACCAGAAAAAAGAACGACAAATTATTTCTTTCATTGTACTCATAATTTATTAATGTTCACTAAAAAAATCGTGTAAATATTGATTGTGTACTTTTATGCATGGCCATGTTTACTCAAGAGTCAAGAGAGGAATCTGTGTTGAATGATTCAGAAGGATAATTGTAACTTTCACCAGGAAAAAAAAAAGAACGACAAATTATTTCTTTCATTGTTACTCATAATTTATTAATGTTCACTAAACAAATCGTGTAGAGATTGATTGTATACTTTTATGCATGGCCATGTTTACTCAAGAGTCAAGAGAGTCATCTGTGTTTGAATGATTCAAACATTATTATATACAAAGAAGAAGCAAATTTATTATGCATAAATAATTATATTTTGATACTACAAATTTAATTAAATTACAACTCAGTCACTATAATATATATTTTACATTTTGATACCTGAAATGTAATTTTAATGCAAAATTAATAAACAATTATGTTTTGGTATTTAAATTTTATGAGATTTTCGTACCAACATATTTTTGAAATGTACACATTAGTTCAATGTTTAGATTTCACTTGAATCCATGAATCCAATCCACCAATCCTTCTGAACCAATTCATGAATCCAATCCACCATAACATAAAAGTATAAATTTAGTCTGTACCATCAAGATGTTGTATCACTCAACTGTAGGAGAAGATTCGACCATTTTATATTTGGTCATTAATTACGTGAAATATTAAATAAATGATAAAAGAGAGACGACTCTAAAATATTATAAGAGCGAATTTATAAACTCATTTAGTACATTTATAGGGTACTAAACAAACTTCTACTAACTACATGTAACGAAATATGCAACATATATATATATAAAAGCAAGTGTCAATAAATTGCTACGGTGAAAATGGTTAACTGTTGTATTGACGGTCAACTAAATTTTTTTGCCAAAACCTTTCCATCATCTACCTTTTCTTTGTTTTATTTTTCACTCGCCTTCTACAACCCTTTCTTTATTTCCTTATTTGCCTTCTTCGTCTAACCCTAATTAGTATATTATTTCCATGTATTCTAATCACAAGTATGAACGGGTTCATACACGACTGACCAACTGTGTAGAGAAATAATAATTGAACCATGAACCACTAACTTTTTCAGCTCAATGTCAAATAAATATATATGGTCATTACTTATTAAAAAGTCTTCATTTTCCACTATAGGATTTGAAGTAGTGAAATTTTAAGCGAGTTCCAATTTGTAATTTTTTTTTTTTGCATCTTCTTTTTTCAGCCAGGCTAGAATTTTCAAAAATTATACATGGAATTTTCAACAATTATACATATCAAATAAATAGTTTCCTATTTTCTACAAAAAGTAAATAATTATCATCTAAAAAATATCACCATAAAAGGAATTAAGCCTCAGCTATGCACATTATAGTTCAGTATCTAAACTTAATAGATCTTTAGATTTATAACCTAAATTTATTTTTTTGGCATATAAGTCCTCACAATATTGATGGAACATTACGTTTTAGTACGTAAAATTTATGTATTATATTTTAGTACCTAAACTTTTGAAATTCTACGAATAGGTCTAATTTTGGTATGTGTAATTAAGACACCCTCGATTAAATGGGTATCCACACCCAACTCATACACATTTAGATTAGTAAAGTAAATATCCATACCCTACCCAAACCAATCTACAAACTTCTAAACGCATATATGTCACTCATAACCAATGGGTCTACTTGGTTTAGGTTAATATCATTTATTAGCCAAAATTTTCAAAAACAAAATTGAATGTTGACCGTCATATATCTTTTCTCACTCAATATCATATTGTCAAGTCATTATTACTAAAAACTGCTAACAAAAAGTTAATTTTAGGCTAATAATACTAACAAAACACCATAACGGGCCACATAATTCATGCCATAGGTCACCTATGTCTCGCGACGAGGCGTGACATCTCCGCCTAGTTATTATAATATATAAAGTTGAATCAATTTTACTATTGCCTAAGAATTTGACTAATCTCAAACGACAATCATTTTTTTTCATGTGGGGTGAAATGAGAAACCAAAGACTGTGATCTTAATTAGCTAATTAGCCTGTAACTCTTTTTCTTTTCTGTTGTTGGCATTTACTAACATTAGTGAGAGGCCTTTGGTTTTATTCTCCAACATATTCCACCTTAGAGTAACTTCACAACCAATTTAGTTTTCATATGTGTGGGATTTAATTATGTTTGATGGTTGTATGATAACTCGATTTATCAATTTATTTCATATTTGTATTAAATTTCTTTTATTGCATTAGTTGTCAAAACTATACATGTGTGTCTCTATACCCATCACCCTTCATCTAATTTCTTAAAACAATCCTACGTACCAGTTAACAATATTACTTTCACCGTCAAGTTAATGACATGTCAATAATTTTTTTTAAATCTCCACCTCTTCTCCTCATCATGTTCCTTATTGTCTTCGGTCCGTCAAATTCGGGCATGCACAAGCACTTATAACCTTTTTCATTCTCCGAGTAATCGTAGTCGGAATCCTTGCAGTAAGCTTAAATGCTCAAATTTGATTTCCCCTCCTCACATGTCTTCCCGACCATTGTCCTTGATTTCTCAGATTCTGTTTGAGAAACTCCAACACTTTCAATTCCCTAAAATAAAATAAAAACTCTAAACATTTTTCTAGATAAGCATAATTCAAAGAATTCGAATGGAAATTCTGCTATGGGGGAGTTGACCATGAAGTTCAAAGTCTTCAATCCTAAGGGAATCGAGCTCTGGCAATACCCAATGCTATAGCAGATCTCTGAATTTGAATCAACGATCCACTGTGAGGCGTTCAAGAAGGAAAAGTTGTCTCACACGGAGTCACATGTGTCTTTGCCTTCATTGCAATAGTTTCTTCATTTTCAAAGTGGTCTGAGAGATAGCAAAGATGAAAGCCTCCCTCGAATTCTGCCACTAGCAGAAGCTACTATTTGGAGCCAATTAAGGTCCTGCTATCTTGAGCTCACCTTTTCAATTAAGGATTGTCTACAGTTAGGTCAATGAGCTCTCTCTCAACTTATCGACGTTCTTTGATTTTGTACCGTCCTTCAAAGGGCCGCCTGGTTATAAATGATTCGCTTGGAAAAATAATCTCTTTCGGTCTCAAATTTGTTTAACTATCATTACCTTGCCACACTACATTAAAGAGATTTCCAGAATTCCAGAGAAAAATTATTGCTAATTTTCCAAAGTAATAATAAAAATATTATGATAAAGACTTTCCTCCGTAATTGCGGGTCTTATAGCTAAGTCAAGAGAAGTATACTAATTATGGTTAGACTATTAAAATGTAAGTACCTATATTAAACTATACTAATTATGGGAATGAATGTCTAGTATATATTAGGGCTAAATTGCATGCTTGGTCACTAGAATTACTAGTAAAGTTCACTTTTGTCACTATAATTAATTTATTCCAACCGTAGTCACTTAAATTAGGTTAACAGTTCAAATTTGGTCACTGACCGTTAGTCTCCGTTAATTTTTGCTTATGTGGCGGTCAACTCTTACTATTGACCGTTAAGTAAGTGACGTGGCAATTAAAAAAATATATAATTATTTTTTTATTTTCCACCTAATTATTATAAAAATTAAATAAAATATATTATTTTGTATTCTCCGTTTTCTTCTTTTCTTTGCAAACATTAAGCTCCCTACCCAAACAAAAAATCAAATCTTGTTCCTTCATCCAATCATTTCATTTTCAACATAGTCCAATGAGCTGAGGGGCGATGCTATGTGAATCAATGTTCGACGCCCATGGATCCACGGGAAGGAACCACCCGCTACACACAACTTTTCTCCTCTGCACCAGTCGTTTTAATCCCTCTGCAACACCTGGAATCAATGTCCATTTTCCAGTGTTCTTGGCGGGGGATTGGGAGGAGAAATCGAGAACCCACCACTGAAACTGGGAGCGGAAAAATGGGTTCTACTGCGAATTTCGGTCGCCGACAGCAGGTGGCATTCATTATTAAATGAGGGACCTTCGCTCAGTAGACGTCGATATGACCAGAAAATTGGGGGAGACGACGGAGGCCCCTGCCCTATTTCCCGATTTCCTCGTATCCTCCAACGAACCAGATCTGGTCTCCTCCACGAGCTTCCTTGTAATGGCGTCGCGATTGTAGCGCACGGTTCGCATGGGAGAAGAACTCGGAGAGGCGGGATACGGAGTAGACGACGACAGGGATGGAGCTGCCGAAGGCGGGAGAGAGGAAGATTGGGTCCAGGAGGGTGCGGTGGGAGCAGGCGAACAAGATCCAGGAGGATTTGCTACTTCGACAACGTCCCGCCGCTGGAGCCGGTCGGGGGAATAGTGTTGGAGAAATTGTTCACATATACTATTTTTCTTGCAACACAAGCAAACACATAAGATTAAGAAAACATGCAAAGACACATGCAAGCGTCCTAGCCGATAGAATGCACTATCTCTCCTTAAAGAATCTTATTCCCAAGTACCCAAGGTTATGGAATTATTCCTCCCAGGATAGAAAGGACGTACCTTTTTCGGCGTAGCGGTACCTCAAACCCCGGAACCCATCGAATGCAGCGAACCGGCAAGAACCACACTGGACTCTATTTTCTCTTTGAAAAAAATGCAGAAAACTAGTTTGAGATTTTAGCAGAGTTTTGATACCGGAAAAAATCCATGTAAAAACCAAAGGGGGTTAGATGCTATTTATAGAAAATGAAGGGGTGCGTACGAAGGGAGGCGACTCTTCATATGGGTGGTTACACCCCAACCAACGCATTGGTTCGTTTTAAAAATAATGAACCATTGCATCGGTTCGGTCCATGGTAGTTGGACCGGTTTGGTTATTCCAACCGCCTCATCGCTTCGGTTTGATTTGTTTCAACTCGGTTTGGTTCATTTGGTTACACAAACCAATTTAACCAATTAACCTCATATTACATCAAATCGATCGAATTCGAGGTCATGCCTTCCCACATCTTACCAACATGGTACTTCAAGAGACTCTCTTGGATCTTTCCCTTTTCATTTCCATTCACACCACTAAAAATCCCAACAAATAGATTTTGTTCTTTCAATTTTTTTATTTTCATTGCAATTATTTTATTTTTTTGTGATGATGAGGTGGAATTTTTAAAAGATTAATTTTTATTTTATAATTGTCACGTCACTTAGTTAATGGTCAACTATCATAGTTGACTGTCACATCAGCCAAAGTTAATGGAGACTAGTGGAGAGTGACCAAACTTGAACGGTTGAACTAATTTAAGTGACTACGGATGGAATAAAGTAATTCTAGTGGCTAACGTGAACTTTAGTAGTAATTCAAGTTAGCAAACTTGCAATTTAACCTATATATTAGTGCAAAATCAACAACACTGACCATTTATATATTCCCAATTTCCCATATGGCAGCAAACTAACAAAAAATGAAACCTAACCAAGATAATTGTAAAAGGAAAAATAAAGGACAAATTCATAAGACAAGAAACCACCTAAACTTGTTTCCTTTGGCACCACATCGGTCGATGCTAATTGCTAAGTGAAATGTCATTCAGAAGGACAAATGTGACTTTCAGTTTCACCAAGAAAAATAAAAAGGACAAATGTGACCGTCTTTAGTCACTGCGCCAATAGTCCAGAAAGGATCAACACCGGCCATGCGACAATGACAATCCGCTTCCTTCCACCGCCAGCGGCCGGCCGGCAGGCGGACATCCCAACTCCGCTTAGTTTAAATAACCCCCGCAGCGCCTCAAACGAATTACATCGCTACCGGCCAGAAGGGAAAATATGGGGTCAATCGATCATCAATCAATGGCAGTGCAAGAAGAAGAGCTACAGCATTTGGTGTTCATCCCATTCCCATCCGCCGGCCACTTCGTATCAATGGTGGAGCTCGCCAAGCTACTCGTCCACCGCCACTCCACCCTCGTCATCTCCCTCGTCATCATCACCTCCCCCTCCACCGCCACCGCCGCCGTCACCCGCTACGCCGACTCACTCGCCGCCGCAGCCACCCCGCGCGTCAACCTCCTCCGCCTCACCGGCGAGGACGACCCTTCCCTTCCAGCCGGCAATGCTCTCTCCGTCATCGCATCTCAAAAGACACGTGTGAGAGATGCCCTGCTCTCGACGGCAGCTCGATTCTCTGGGTTCGTCCTGGACATGTTCTGCACCTCAATGCTAGACGTGGCGGAAGAGTTGGGCGTTCCCTCGTACCTTTTCTTCCCCTCCGGCGCCGCTTTTCTCGGCTTTATGTTCCATATCCAGGAGTTGCACGACGAGGAAGGATTCGTCGCCGCCGAGTCAACGGGAGTTGAGTTGGTTTTCCCGGGTTTGGTCCGCCCGCTTCCGGGGAAGGTCTTGCCTTCAGGTCTTCTGCACGAGGAATGGGCGGCTAAATCATATAGAATGGCAAGGGATTTCAGGAAAACCAAGGGTATTTTGGTCAATACGGTGACGGAGTTGGAGACATATGCGCTCGAGTCTCTCTCCCGGACGGACAACCCGAAGGTGTATCCGGTGGGACCCGTTTTGAACCTGAGGCCTGACGACACGTCGTCATCTGAGTTAAGCGGAGAGGAGGATGATGATGTGATTCAATGGCTGGACCAGCAACCGGAGTCGTCAGTGGCGTTCCTCTGCTTCGGGAGCATGGGAGGGTTCTGTGCAGAACAGGTGAAAGAGATTGCTTGTGCTCTGGAGGGCAGTGGCCATAGGTTTCTATGGTCCCTGCGCCGACTCGAAGGAGGACCGACGCTTACCCCGACAACAACTGATTACGGGGATGTTCGGGAGGTTCTGCCAGAAGGGTTTGTTGATCGAACGACGGAGGTCGGAAGGGTGATAGGATGGGCTCCACAGGCGGCCGTGCTGGCTCACAGGTCCGTCGGAGGGTTTGTATCACACTGTGGGTGGAATTCGACGCTAGAGAGCATGTGGTTTGGGGTGCCAATGGCCACGTGGCCACTGTACGCGGAACAACAATTCAACTCTTTCTTGCTGGTAAAGGAGTTGAAGACCGCCGCAGAGATCAAGATGGATTACCGAACTGAGAGTGGAGAGATCGTATCGGCCGAAGAAATAGAGAGAGGAATCAGGAGCTTGATGGAGCAAAATAACCCGAGGAAGGAGAAGATGAAAGAATTTTGTGACAAGGTCAGGGGTGCGCTGATGGATGGTGGATCTTCATCGTCTTCAATCGCTGAATTTATTGAAGATATCAAGATCAATTATCGAAGCGAAAGCGGAAAGATTGTAACAACTGAAGAAGTCAAGAGAGGAACCAAGAGCTTGATGGAGCTAGCAAAACAGCTCGATAAAGGAGATCGAATATGCACTAATGAATGGTAATTCTTCCTTATCTCCGATCGCTGAATTTGTTGGAGATATGGGTAGTGACCGTTGTTGGGATTTTTAATGGTGTGAATGGAAATAAAAGGGGAAAGATTCAAGAGAATCTCTTGAAGTACCATGTTGGTAATATGTGGGAAGGCATGGTCGCGAATTCGGTCGATAATGTAATATGTTGGTAATCGGTAATATTGGTTTGTGTAACAAACCAGACCAAACCGAATTGAACCAAATCGAACCGTACAGATACGACCGTTGGAATAACCAAACCGGTCCAACTATCATGGGCCGAACCGATACAATGGTTCATTATTTTTAAATGAACCAATGTGTTGGTTGGGGTGTAACCACCCATATGAAGAGTTGCCAGCCTTCGTACGCACTCCTTCATTTTCTATAAATAGCACCATACCCCCCTCTAGTTTGGAGTTTGAGATATACATGGTTTTTTCCGGTACCAAAATTCTTCCAAAATCCAAAACTAGTTTTCTGCATTCTTTTCAAAGAGAAAATAGAGTCAAGTGTGGTTCTCGCCGGTTTGCTGCGTTCGATGGTTTCCGGGGTTGAGTTACCGTTACGCTGGAAAAGGTACGTCCTTTCTATCCTTGGAGGAATCATTCCATAACCTTAATTACCATAGGGGAATAAGATTCTTTAAAGAGAAATAGTGAATTCTATCGACTAGGATGCTTGCATGTATCTTTGCATGTTTTCTTAATCTTATGTGTTTGCTTGTGTTGAAAAAAAATAGTATACATGAAATTCCACAACAACAGTCTGCTGGCCTACAACGTGGTTGAATTTGTAAGAACTCAATTGGTGTTATTATTACTATTATTATTATTATTATTATAGTATTAAAGATAGGTTGTATGGATACTGTTGTTTAGAGCAAATCAAATGATGTTCTTGGTTCTACTAATGACATAACTTTGGTATTGGTAGTAATATAGATTTTTGTGTAATGGTATTGGCTGATGTAAGTAGTAACTACTACTGATTTTTTTTGGATTGATATTGATTTTCATGTATTGTCAGTGGTTTTGTTAGGCAACCAGAGAAAATGTATATGTCAAAGGGCGGGGAAGTACAAAATGGAGTTGATCGGAGGAAGGCGCGAAAGCAAAAATAGAGAGATACAAAAAGAAAATTTAGTCTAATCTAAATCTAAAAAATACTATAAGCGTTTTCTCAAACTGCCTTTCAGGAATTCAAATTTTACTTCCATTCACGATTCCACGTCATCACATACTCGCTCTCTCTCCATCCTCTCTCTATTTAAAAAATCCTCCTTTCCAGCATCCGATACCCCTTCTTCCCCTTACCATTCACCGCAACGGTTCGTCTTCAAGATCTGCAAAACTTTCATCTCCGCCGCAGCGAGTACACGTCAAGCCTGCAACTACCGACTTCAGCGCTGTGAATCATCCGCCAACAGTGCCCAGTCGAAACCTCTGTCACAGATGCATATATAGTTCCTGTTCCAAATTGCATGTCCTTATGTTTATCATGAGTTATTATGTTTCCGATGAAAATTATCTTTGTTTTAATGTTGTTCTTCAATTGTAATTATAATACACTTTCCCCCCTACAGAAAAGGGCAAGTGATGTTTCAAAATCACAATTAAGTATGATTCAAGTGACATTAATAGATGACATGCAGTCTCTATTTGCAGACGATTACACAAAATCTGCAGCAACCTTCTTCTACTGTTGATACTAATTTGCAGTAGGTGTAGTGGTGGGTGGTCCCCACCATAGCCATCTTCGTTCTCCAATTCATAGATTTTGGACCTTTTGGCTGGAAGCTTTAAATAAGCCCTTTGTTTTGCTCAGTTCGATATGTTTACCCATGTCGCTAAAATTGTTGATATCTTCTTTCGACCTCCAATTTAGAGTGCGCTTATGTTGATGTGTCTATTTGGATTGCTCCTATGATTCATCATATTGCCTGTTTAGATCGATTGGCTAAGGTACGGAGGAACTGATAGAGTAGGATTTAGGTTGATGTAAAATTCTGTTTCAGTTTAGAGCTATGCCAATATTGTCTCTTAAACCGAACAAGTGGTTAGTGAATGCATGTTGATGTTGGTTCCCATGGGTAAACACACATTGCATATACTACTAAGTCATTCCACATTGGGTTTCCTTTGCCGGTTGCTTTTTAAGTAGCCTTAAACATATGGGACATCACGTTTGTCTGTACTACCTGAAAATTCCATGTCGATCATATCGTTTCTTACTCTCCCATTTTTCAAACTCCAAATGTATTAGTTTAGTATGACCAAGTTGCTTCTCTAATTATGTAGTATGCTCATATTTTCTTATGCCGTGACGATGACAGTAGATCCATAAGTTATTCAAACAATGTGTACATCGTACTTAATAGATCCTCATTCCAGTTACTTAAGCATGTCTTTTGGTTGGTAAATCGTAATTTATGGGTCCTTATTCTAGTTACTTAAGCATGTCTTTTGGTTGGTACGTAATGCATCGAAGGTTGAGAATGTCAAAGAAAAAAAGGGGTTGCTTGAGGGAATTGCAGAGTAAATCCAACAACAGTGTAACATATCACTGGTTTGGATGAAGAGGCTTATTATACTGTCCATCACTTGCATTTTCGACTTGCTTTACATTATCTCAAATCCATCACAACTTCAACCAAAACTTCACTGCAATATACGACTAACTTGATCTGTCTATCCACTCAACCTCTCTTCCCTACAGTAATACAACCATATTCGGGTTAGTGACTGAAATTTTGGATTGAATTACACAATGAAAATATGGTTACCCTATATTTATAAAAAAAAGCAGATAAGATCAAATAAAAAGGGGAAAAATCGGAAATCATCAAAACTTCCGGCCAAAGGCCGAGCCAACAGCTAGTTTTTAAGAAATTGATTTCGCAAATGCAATTAGTAAAAATGTGATTTACCTTCCCCGTATTTAAATTAATGGATGTTGGGATTTACAAAATCCAAAGAATAAGCACACTATCCTTGATTCTATCTCGATGAGGTTGGCACTACATCCTCTCTCTGTATACTTTTTTTTTTTGCTTAGGTAGTATGTATTAGATAGGGAATTACAGATAATTAAAAAGAAGATAGCGGAAATCAGCCAAGCTGATTAGTCGATGCAAGAGCTGTTTTCGTCACGCAATGGGCAGCCCTGTTAGTTCTACGGGGAGAAAAAACAAAACGAATAAACGCGAAGGATGCTTTCATCAAACAAATTTCTTCCAGAATCGCCCCGCCACGTTTATGATCTTGTCGCTCCTTCGATGCGCGCCGAATCACCAGCTGCGAATCCCCACAAAAACAAACAGAAGAAATACCACGAGTTAAGCACCAATCCATTGCGTCCCGTAAGGCTAACAGTTCCATTATAAAAGGATCGAATAAACCGGTATAGTACTTACCGTATGCACAGGAAATCGCCCCCGCCGATGAGAAGCCAAAGAATTCGACACTACCACCGACATCCTGACGTGTAGCTCCATCAAATCAAACTAGGAGGACACCTGGGGGGCAGGATGGAGCGGCCAGCTGGGGGGGGTTGATGAGGCTGGCGGTGTGCAGCGCTTAATTGGGGTGTTGTAGCTGCTATCCATTCCTCCTTTTGATGCCGAAACTGCCGAAATAGAGGACAGAGTAGATACTGTATTCGATCATAGCAGGACTAGCAGCGTGCTTTCCAGATACGCCAGGAGATGAAGACAGTCTCAGCCATCTCCAATTTGCTAAGGTGTCTTGAAGTTAGCACTTGTGCCCAGGCCTCATCAGCAGGTAAAGCCGCTAGCGCCTCTCGAAGGTGAGTTTTTCCAGCCAAATCCCAGACTCAATGAGAACCCTGCAATCAAAAAGACAGTGGGAGATAGATTCCATTGCTTCAGAACACACAGGACACACTGAAGAATCACAAAGGGACTTAGCGTGCAGCACAGCCAGGCATGGGAGGAATCCCCGAACAACCCTCCACAGGAACACGCGCAGCTTCGGTGGCACAGGCAGGATCCATAGGACTTTCCAGAACTTTGAATCCAGATGAGAAGGCAGAGTATTAAAGAGTTCGGCTCGTTCATCGGAAAGTAAGTGGTACACGGATTGCACAGTGTACTGCCTAGTCTCCGAGTAGTGCCAAATAAGACGATCGGGCTTGGGAGATAAGGGAATCAAAATGAAAAGAATCCACTTAATGCTGTCGGGGGAGAAGAAAGTTTGGAGAAGATCCTGATTCCACGTATGCGTCAAGGGATTAATGAGTGAGGCTACGAAAGAGTTTGGCAGAGAAATACCTGGGAGCAGGGAAGGCGAAGACGGTGGATAAGTGGGTAGCCATAGGTCATCAAGTATCCTGATAGCTGTACCACAACCTACCTGCCACCTTAGACCTTTGAGAAGCAACTTACGCCCTTCGAGAACCCCTTGCCATGCATGCCCAGGAGGGGCGATTTCTAGTTGGTGCATGTAGAAAATCACACGAGGAGTGGTAGTGCGCTTTGTACAATTGGGCAAGGGTTGATGATGGAGATTGCAGCAGCTTCCATGCTTGTTTCGCCAACATCGCTATATTGAACAGATCAAAGTCCCGGAATCCAAGGCCCCTCGAAATTTACTAACACAAACAGCCGGCCAGGAAACCCAGTGCATCCCTTTGTCTTTGTCTTGGTTGGCCCACCAAAACCTCGAGAGCTACCCATTCATACGACGACAAGTGGTAGCTGGTAGGCAAAACGAGAGCATTGCGTATACTGGGGTAGCAGAGCCGACAACCTTGATCACCACTTACTTTGCCGCCAACGAGAGAGACTTTGACTTCCAATTCTGAATTGGCTTAGACAAACCATCTTCAAGGAAGCGAAATGTCTGAACTTTGGATCGGTGGATCTGAGCTGGCAAGCCAAGGTAATGATCCAGTTCCCCGATCGATGCAATCCCCAACGTGGCGGCTAATTCAGAAGCTTCCTGTGCTGTGACATTTGAACTGAAGCATACCTTCAATTTCTGAAAGTTGATTTTCTGTCCACTGGGTGCCTCATAGAGACTAAGAAGCTGCAAAAGTTGTGTGCATTCCGTAGAAGAAGCTCGCAGAAACAGATAGGTGTCATCAACAAACAGCAAATGAGAGGTTAGAAGCGTAAAGCGATGAATTTTCAGCCCATGTAACTGATGAGAAGCGATAGCATTCGAGATCAGGTTACAAAATGCTTCAGTATATAAGGCAAAAAGGAGTGGTGAAAGCGGATAACCTTGGCGGATGCCCCGTTCTGGTCGGAAGTAGCCATGTGTGTGGCCATTCAGCAGGATGGAGAATGAGACAGATGTGACACATGCCTTGACTAGTTTTATCCATCTAGCATCGAACCCTAACGCCTCCATTACACAAAATAAGAATCCCCATTCAACTCGGTCGTACGCTTTCTCCATGTCAAGCTTGAGGGCCATCCACTTCTCTCTTCCTTGTGTCTTCATTTTAAGAAAGTGCATAACCTCTTGAGCGATGAGGATGTTATCTGAGATGTCCCTACCTTTAACGAAGCCATTTTGAGCATCACTCACTACAGACGGGAGCACCTGACTCAAACGAGCAGATAAAACCTTAGAAATAACCTTATAGAAGACCTGGCATAGCCCTATGGGTCTCATCTGTTTCATCGAGTCTGCATTTGGGACCTTTGGGATCAGTGTTAGCAATGTATGATTAAAATTATGAAGTAATCTACCCGATCGAAAAAAGGAGCTAGCAGCCACACAGACAGAATTACCGACAATGTCCCAATAGGTCTGGTAGAAGGCCGCAGTGAACCTGTCTAACCCTGGAGCTTGTGTAGGGCCAATAGCAAAGGTGGCTTGTTTGATCTCCTCATGCGAGACCTGGACAGAAAGTAATGCATTCTGGCGAGAGGTAACCTTGCGAGCAATCCCCAATGCATCCACAAGGAAGTGAAATGGATTCCCATTAGAAGTAAAAAGAACTTTGAAGTAAGAAACATACACTTCACCTTTTGCTGTTTCCTCAACATGAACAAAGCCATCATCATCCCTGAGCAATTCGATTCGGTTCTGCCGTCTCTGCTGGTTTGTAGTAATGTGGAAGAACTTAGAGTTGGAGTCGCCCTCTTGCAGCCACCCATTCCTAGATTTTTGCTTCCAAAACACCTCTTCTTGTCTATAAGCAACTTCTAGTTGAGACTCAAGGCCTTGAATGGTGGACCAATCGATGTTCAGGCGATCCCGTTCCGCCTCAATGGCTAGCCTGAGCTCTCGGATCATTCTGGCCTAGTTCGTGGTGCCCTGCTTCGCCCACTCCACAAACTAGTGATGGGCTATCTTTTGGATGGAGAACAGCTAAAACTGAGGCGCCCCCGATACCACAGTCTGCCATGATAGAGTGACTATGTTCCTTGCTTCCTCATTCGAGCTCCATCTCTTGTCAAAATGGAACTTGCCTTTTCCTTTTCCTGCACCAGGGGTCAGCTGAAGTAAAGGCATCCTGTGATCAGAACCAAGATCAGTTAAATGAGAAACTTTAACATTAGGCCAATCATGAATAAGCAAATCAGATCCTAGCCCACGATCTAAACGTTCAAGGATATGGGTGCCGAGATCTTGACGATTAGACCAATTGAACGGGGGCCCTACAAATCCCAAATCCTGGAGGCCTGCAGAGTCCAGGAAGGACTGAAATTGTTCAACCATAGAGAAAGATGGTGGGCGACCCCCCTGCCTCTCCGAGGCAAAGAGGACACAATTGAAGTCTCCTTGATAGACCGTTAATTGCACATGTTTTTACCACTATTCTTGAGCGGTTTGAGATGTTGATTCTCGTGTTTTAGGCCGATTTCACGCTAGGTTGTGCTTGTTTGTGATATTTCAGGTCCTAGTACGTGAATAAAGGTTTGGGAACGAGTTCGGGGTCGATTGGACGAAGTTTGGACGTTTGGCGAGAAGCTGAGAAGCCACACGGGCATGCCTAAAAGCCACACGGCCGTGTAGGTCGTGGCCGTGTGGGATGGCTGAAGTCACTTAATCGAAACTCTGCATTTTGCACACTCACACGGGCAGCCTGGGAGAGTCACACGGCCGTGTGGCCTGGCCGTGTGAGTCGAGAATTTCTGGTTTTAAGCCAAATTTCGAGCCTAAGGAGAGGAGAGCTGGATTTTTGGTTCCCAAACACCCAAGGGACTAACCCTAAAGAGAGAGAGCGACTTGGGAATATTCTTGGAGCTATTTTGGAGGATTTCTTCGCCATTGGAGCTCGGGAATCAAGCTTGGAGATGGAGATTGAAGATCAAGATCATATTTCTGCAGTCTCTCTCTTCTCTATGGAGTAACTTCCCTTCACTTAGGTTTTGAGGAACCCTAGTTCCATGTGTTAGGATCTGTCTTGGATGAAGTTTTGGATGCTATATTGTTTGATTATAATCGATTGAGGCATGATTTAGAGTCAATTGAAGCCTGATCATCTTCTCTTGATTTATGCTTTAACCTATGATAGATAGAATCTGATTAGGTTAAGAGAGCTTCATTGATTGATAGTGGTGAATTGGTTGTGCGAGAGTCAATCAATTCACTGCTTTGTACTAGAATTCATTCGAGTAGTGGAGATCTGTGTGAATCACCTTAGCAGTCTATCCGGATGAAGGCTAGTCGCCTGCCGGGTATTCTGTCTAAGAGGGCTTGGTCAGCTTAAGAGATTCCAAGCTAATTTAGGATCTTCCGCAGTTTAATCAACAATAGATCAACCAAAGGTAATTGCAACTTGGACCTAATTGAGGAGCCAGGGGGAATCATACCTAAGTGAGTTCCCAACTTGTAATTAGTAGAGTAGTTTAGTAAACCAATCCTTAATCTAGTTTGCTAGATAATGAACTGAAGCTGAGTAATAGTAACTCTAGAGACCCGTGGATTCGATATTTATTACTTGTGCCACTATACTGTAGTCCCTTTCATTGGTTACACTTGGCCATTGTTAGGTGTTGTGTCGTAGCGTGTCAAGTTTTTGGCGCCGTTGCCTGGGACTTTCTAGATTATTAGGAAAGGCAGAAGTTTGTTACTTTAGCGTTTTTCTTTTCTTTTCCACCCATGCTTTTCCCTTGGGTGTTTTTTGTTTTTGTTGGTGCAGATCTGAATCATGGATCCTCATGGCTTCTCCAACCATTGGGGTATCCACCACCATCCGAGTGGTATTACCCCGAGACTCCCTGGAGCAATCAAGGAGGAGAAGACTATGGATTCGGGTTCCAGTAACAACCCCCTTACTACGGAGAACAATCAGACCCCTGGGCATATCAAGAACAACCTCATTACCAAGAAGACTTTCTCCCACAACCAGAAGGGCCATCAGAGCTGGAGTTAGCCATGGAGGCCTTCACAGGCCACTCTGCAGAGCCATGCTACACTTCACTGGAAGATCCGAACAAACAATTAAGGCTTCTCGTGGAGCAGTTTGCTCGAGACACTGAGAGATCATGCTCCAAGATGGATCTTCAAATCGAAGCCCTTGCCCCTTCCGATCCCTCATTTCTCCATGAAATGAAGGAGACTGTTCAGCGCTAAACGAAGCAAACAGAGTGGGTGGAGCAAGTTTGCTCACATCTTGCTCAAGATCACCTTTCTGCTACCACGCTAGAAGAGGTGGAGGATGACAAAATCTACGGGGATGTTGAGGAGCATACAGAAGTTATCACAGAGAACTCCCATGATAATCATGATTAGGAAAGTCCTCTGGTTGCATATCACACATTTCCTTATTTCTGCTCTAACATGCTGGGCCCGAGCGAGGAGATGCAAGATGATCTCATTGAAGAAATTACATGGCGACTTGCTCTCCAATCTGTGCTAGAAGAAGAAGAGCAAGAAAGGGTGCAGAAAGAAGTTGTGGAGGATGACGAAAGTGAAGCAGGAGGAGTTCTTGATCATTTCCCAGGGGTGATACCACATGAAGAAGAAAGGGGGTTTGAAGAAGCAATTGGAGTCCAGGCTGAGGACGGAGTTAAGGTGGAAGAGGCCTGCACCGGCCATGAGTTACATGTGATATCTCCACCAAACTTCGAGGAGCTGTTTGGCAAGGACCCATTTGCAGTGTTTCTTTGCCAGACCAAGGCCACGTCGACATCGGTCCCCCTTGGTGGAAGCGATGGTGGCCAATCGATGCTTCATCTCGAGGGAGGAGACTTCATCTGCATCAAGTGCATGAGCCTTCATCACCTGCCACACCACATGCTCGTGACTTGAGACTCCACCTCATCGACGAGAACCTCAACTTCAAGGAGGTTTTGGGGTGGACCGAAACTTAGGAGCCATCGTCCGGCTCACGACGTGAAGGAAGCGCTTGTTGGGAGGCAACCCAACCAGTCGGTTTGCATTTCTTTCTCTATTTCTCCTCGGTTGAGTCAGTTTTGTAATTTGATTTTAGAGTCAATAACTCAACCTTTGAGAGATTTTACGTGGTGTTTGTGTTGTGACCACTCTCTCCTCCTGGAATACACCGCCTGCCCCGTCCACCATCATTCACCCTGGATCTGGTAACTTCCTTCTACCCTCCTTATCTTTAAGTTTGGGGGGATGTTCGATTATGTATGCGAGTGAATGGTTGGTTGTTTGTTTGGTTGGAGCCTAGTCCACTGTCCAAATTTTTAAATTTGAGGGCTCCAAGTACTGTTCCCTGCAAAATCATGCTCAGTATGCTTTGAATTGACAGTCTTTATGGTGATATGCAACCTAGGGAGGTAGTTGTAGCACTATGGAGGATGTTGAAGTATAAGATTTTTCCTATTTGTCTCTCTGCTGTGCCAGTTGATTTTGTGAACTAGTGGATTTAGGACAGTTGATTCATGTGGTATTGATGACTCCTTTTAGGTTGTGTTGTGGACTCGTGTATCGAAAAAGGGTGCTCATGTTAAAAATGAAAAGCAGCTGGTCCTCCATGTCAAAAAATTTGAAAATCTTAAACATGGGGTAAGCCCAACGTGTGCGGCACCATTCATTGCACAAAATCGGGTTTTGGAGGAGATTTTAGTGATCCTTAGTGGGGTACTCCTACAAGGTGAAGCTAAGCTGTCTCTAGTACAAGTAAAACTTCCACCCGTTGAACGGTTTGCCTACTTGAGGATGTGTTTTTAAGGGATGGATAGAGCTTCCGACCCCCCCTAATTTCATTGACCCTCCACACGAGTTGAGGAAAAGGAGTTAAAAGAAGTACTCTGGGGAGCGCCAGATGTACAAAAATTGCTCTTGCTCGACTAATAAGGGTCGACCGTGCGTAAGACTGCAGTTGGAACCCCCGCTAAGTGAATGGAAAAAAAAAAGAAGTAAAATGGAAGTGAAAAAGGGGTTCCAACGGTGAAATGAAGTGAAAGAGCACCCCGGTACAATGAGTCCTTGGTTGTTGAATTGTGTGAGTCTCATTATCCATGAATTGACTGTCTTAGTTCCACTGCTTCTCATGATCCTGGATTGAGTCTAGTACTCGCATTGAGAGAGATAGGGGACGTCTTAGAAGACCAGTTGACCTCGTAAGCAACTTTATGATCTAGAAAGTCCTCTACCGACGATCGAGGTTGCATGTTGCTATAGAGGTCTGGAGAGTTGCATTGGTTTGAGTCAGGTTTGCTTGGGGACAAGCAAACGGTTAAGTGTGGGGGAGTTTGATAGACCGTTAATTGCACATGTTTTTACCCCTATTCTTGAGCCGTTTGAGATGTTGATTCTCGTGTTTAAGGCCGATTTCACGCTAGGTTGTGCTTGTTTGTGATATTTCAAGTCCTAGTACGTGAATAAAGGTTTGGGAACGAGTTCGGGGTCGATTGGACGAAGTTTGGACGTTTGGCGAGAAGCTGAGAAGCCACACGAGCATGCCTAAAAGCCACAGGGTCGTGTGGGTCGTGGCCGTGTGGGATGGCTGAAGTCACTTAATCGAAACTCTGCGTTTTGCACACTCACACGGGCAGCCTGGGAGAGTCACACGGTCGTGTGGCCTGGCCGTGTGAGTCGGGAATCTCTGGTTTTAAGCCAAATTTCGAGCCTAAGGAGAGGAGAGTTGGGTTTTTGGTTCCCAAACACCCAAGGGACGAACCCTAGAGAGAGAGAGCAACTTGGGAACATTCTTTGAGCTATTTTGGAGGATTTCTTCGCCATTGGAGCTCGGGAATCAAGCTTGGAGATGGAGATTGAAGATCAAGATCAGATTTCTGCAGTCTCTCTCTTCTCTATGGAGTAACTTCCCTTCACTTAGGTTTGAGGAACTTAGTTCCATGTGTTAGGATCTGTCTTGTATGAAGTTTTGGATGCTATATTGTTTGATTATAATCGATTGAGGCATGATTTATAGAGTCAATTGAAGCATGATCATCTTCTCTTGATTTCTGCTTTAACCTATGATAGATAGAATCTGATTAGGTTAAGAGAGCTTCCTTGATTGATAGTGGTGAATTGGTTGTGCGAGAGTCAATCAATTCACTGCTTTGTTCTGGAATTCATTCGAGTAGTGGAGATCTGTGTGAATCGCCGTAGCAGTATTCGGGTGAAGGCTTGTCGCCTGCCGGGTATTCTGTCTAAGAGGGCTTGGTCTGCTTAAGAGATTCCAAGCTAATTTAGGATCTTCCGCAGTTTAATCAACAGTAGATCAACCAAAGGTAATTGCAACTTGGACCTAATTGAGGAGCTAGGGGGAATCATACCTAAGTGAGTTCCCAACTTGTAATTAATAGAGTAGTTAGTAGAGTAGTTTAGTAAATCAATCCTTAATCTAGTTTGCTAGATAATGAACTGAAACTGAGTAATAGTAACTCTAGAGACCCGTGGATTCGATATTTATTACTTGTGCCACTATACTGCAGTCCCTTTCATTGGTTACACTTGGCCATTGTTAGGTGTTGTGTCGTAGCGTGTCACTCCTAAAACTAGAACAGGTGAGGCACACGACGAAATCAAACGAAGAAGTTCATTGAACTGCAGAGCACGAATATTTACAATGGAGCTAAGATGAACAAAGAAAAGAGCAATATTACCCCATCTTAGGTGCTGCAACCCACATGAATATAAAAGACATCCTTACCTAACACAATACGTTGGACAAAAGGGGCACAAGCTAGAGCTAACCCTCCTGCTAATCCTACTGGTGACACACAGCAGACTACAATATATCCTAATCGATCAAGTTTCTTATTTACATAGTCATCCTCTCGCTTTGTCTCACTTAAGCAGAGGATCGAGGGCGAGAAGCGAGAAACAGCTCCGAAGAGTGATGGAATCGTCAGGGTCGAGCCTAACCCCCGACAATTCCAAGCAAGGATGCTCATCTATCACAGTGGGACCAGTCCGGGCTGGTTGCCTCCACCACATCGTCACTAGTTACCACAATCAAGGGAAGATCCACCTCCAGTCTCTGTTTTTTACATTCAAGCCTCCCCTGCATCATGTCATTGTCCTCAATTCTGCCCCGAACCTGGACTGGTGCTGTATGATCTCCCTCAGATGGGACTGCTGCAGAATAACATGGGTCAGGATTCCGTGCCGGAGCCGGGAGAAGTTGCTGGGTACCCTGTCAATTCTGCGAGAGGTACGGGGCTGGTCCCATGCGCACCCAGGTGAAATTTTTGCGGCCTAGTAAACTCCTTTCATTGACTTTGGGGCCGGATTTCTTCGAGATCAACTGACGGCCATACGGGGACGGTTTGCCAGCAAGTTCCTCCCGTCGTGTACATTGTTGTCCAATATGTCCAAGCACTCCACACAAATAGCAAAATTGTGAGAGTTTTTCGAATTTGACAACAGAAGTGAATTCCCCCTTACCTGCTTTTTCATGGGATGCCGGGACTGATACCGGGAGAGGGAGGCGGGAGTCTAGCCAGACCCACGCCCTCAGGTAGATCTCCGCCGTCTCTTTCGAACGGTGGACCTCGCCAGGGCCCGCCTTCCCCAGGCAGGCACCAAGAAGGGTACCCATTTTCTTTGAGCAGCAAGATGTGGGAACCCCCCAGAATTGTAGGAAGTGAGGAACCCGCCACATCTGGTCAGCCACTTTTGGGGAAACCGCTACACAGGGAGCCAAGTTCACAAGGTACTTGGGCAGGATTCAGGGAGCCATGCGAAGAACCCGAGTAAAGTCAGCGTCGTTGGGGAAGACTACCTGAAGGAGATCGCCCGCCGCCGGGAGAATGGAGTTTGGGCCGGAGCAGTTCCATAAACTGCCCAAGGTGGTGAGTAACTGTCGAATTGATGGAGAAGGGCCAATCACTTTCCCCAACAGAGACAATTAGTTGCGCTCCGCCCCCGGTTCAACGTCTGCATCTCCGAAAACAACAACCCTAGAGTCGGCCATCTTGCAAAAGACTTGGCTGAATTTCAATACTGGGAGAGAAACCCAAAACGAAGAGAGTGGAGATCTGCAAATCACTGCCCAGGGAGAGAATGCTCTGGGGGGGGGGGGGGATTAAATAACCCCATGGTTCCGCAGTCCAATTCCGTCGGCACACTACGCCGGGGAATCGCACTCGGCGATGCGCACGACGGCGCTAACCTCGCTCCCACTATCCATGAACGAGCGGAGAGGGGAGAGGTTTCTTTTTTTTTCTTCCTAAACCCAGTATTCCCTCCTCTCTCGGTATACTTACTCGCCTAATTTGATTTTAACAAGGGAATAACGAGGTAAAACAACTCCTTTTAAACTGAATGCTATAGATAACTCTGCTAAATAAACTAAGGACAATATTTACCTGCAGACTAGGTTGTAGGGGATTCCTGCAACCTGTCCAGGTGGAAGTCCTTTATTGGTTGCCTTTCTTTTATTTTTCATTTTACTAATCCTAAATTAACAGCGAATGGAACAACTAACGGAAAAATGTTAATCGAGGTGCTTAATAAGAATTAAGGGCCAACTGAATTATATATTTATTTCTTATCCTTCTCTCTCGTTATCCAACTACATATATGTTTATGTTTTTTTGGGATAATTGGCCAATTTAAATCTCAACGTTTAATTATTGGTACAATAAGATAGGATCATGAATACATTTTTGATTGCACAATGCCTTCAAACAATATGCCAGATATCTTGTACGTATTCAAATGGTTATCATGATAATTATCAAATCAATTAGGTGTAAAATCTAATCATCATGGAATACAATATCTTAATCAAACTTATCAAATTAATACCAAAATCAATTAACCATACTAAATTTTAATCGGTTTGGTTAATCATATTAACCAATATAATATATTGAGAAAAATCTTATATTATTGCATCAATCCATAATATATGAGTATATAAATGAATAAAAAATCATAACAATCAACTCATAGTTAACATTTTAAATAAATACATGCAACTAATATAAATTTCTTACAATCATTAGAAGTAGTCCCCTAAAAAAAGCTATATCAATGGTACGAGGTTAATGAATTGGGTGTCTGTGTGTATTGTCCCGGGATCGTTTGGATGAGGAATTCTAACGGATCAATTTGACCAAATTGTTTCATTTTGAGACAATATGACCATATTGATCCGTTTGGCAGCATGAAATTTCAAAGAAGCAAATCTGTCTGGAGAATTTCAAATTGGCTAGACAGTTCGAATTGGGTTGTTTCAAATGACTCGTTTTGTAAAATACAACGATTGGTCAAATTGTCTTGTTTTTAAATTGATCCATCCAAACGACCCCTTATTAGTGATTGGAAGGGTCATTTCCTTTCAAGTTTCATCCAACATAATATTGAATTTTTATCTAAATTAGGAGGCGTATATTTGTTGGAATTGATTATAGGGCTAATACCACTAGGAAACCCGAACTATTAACTTTGTGCCATTTGTGTCCTAAAGTATCCAATATAACAATTGTGTCCCAACGTTTGGTAGTTTTGTGTCATTTACGTCCTAACAATTTTGTTGACCGTTATAGATAACGGTTGACCAAACGGTCAACCATAAAATGTTGATTGTTGATTACATGGCACATATGTGGCAGCCAAGTATACACCACGTCAGCGGCCACATCAGCTCATTAACACATAATATTTTTAAATTATGTTTTTAATATAAAATAATAAAATTAAAAATTCTATTTTCTTAACCCCTACCGCCGGTCGCCGCAACCACCCTCTCTCATAACTCCGGTTCTCTTCGTCTCCCCATCTCCTCTCCCTGGATGACTTGCTGCCGCTCTCCTCTCCAAAACTTGTCCCTCCTTCCCCTCCATCTTCTTCACCCCGCCGCCGATGGCTTCTGACTCTCAAATGTGTGCTGCAGAGGGTAAGGGTAGCCATGGGAGCAAGAAACCCACACTCTTGAATTAGCTACAATTGGCTCTATCAATTGGCTTCTTCTATTCCATTGCCTCTACTTCCCAAACCGAAATCCCAAATGTCGATTTCCAGAGAATCTAATCCCACAACTATCAGATGTGGATCCGATGTCCCTTCCTTATCTCTCCCTCCCTCTCGCAGCGGATCTCCTCGCCAGCGACGTTGGATTGAAGGCACCTTTTCTTCGGAGATTTGAGGAGGGTCGGCATTTTGGGGTTCTCGTTCTGGTTCGTAGATTTGAGCAGGGAAGGCATGCGGGTGAGATGCTGGTTCTCGACCTCTCTGCGCGGAGAATTGGTGAGGTTAAGGAAGAGGAAGGTGCCGCTAGCATTCCATTTTCTCTCTCCAGCTCCAATCCCTCCTTCATGCTTCTCTCCAGATCTCGACCCTACCGCTACGCCGCTGGTGCTACTCCGCCAGCGATGTTGGATTGACAGATCTGGCTTTAAGGAGGCTGCCTACTCCTTCTCCGTCTCCGTCTCCAACTCACGAAGCCCACCACCGCCGTCATCAGAGGCCGCGACCCAGACTAGAGTGGCCGCCTCTCTGCCAGTGAAGGGTAAATCTCCAAATTGATTTACAAACGACGGTAGAGGTTGGGAGACGGGAGAGGGAAGGGTAAATCCCCAAATCAATTATTTTATGTTTATGTTTTTTATTTTTATAATTTTTTATTTTCTTTTTTTATATAAAAATAATTATAAATTCCACTTCAAATGCCACCTAAGCGCTGACTAGACTTTCTATTAAAAATTAACAAATTAACGGTCAACACCGGTCAACTCTAACAGAAAAATAGTTTGGGACACAATTGTCATATCGGATACTTTATGACACAAATGACATAAAGTTAATAGTTCAGGTTTCTCAGTGGTATTAACCCTTGATTATACGTATGTCACATTCTTTCCATTGATTGATTCTTTATGTGGGAGATAAATTACATTTGTTGTTGACTGTGTTTAATTACATGTTTTTTCTTTTGTAAAATGATGTTTAATTTCATTAAATCATAGTCCTATAATAAGTTAGCAATCAATTAAGCTCAATGGAGCAAGATGAAAGCTATTCTTTTTTTACTTAAAAAGGATGAGTCATCTCTCGATAGAAGCTATTCATTTTTTGAACAAAAGAACAAAAATAATTTCTTCCTAGGTTTACACGAGGGACAAAGGGGAGGAGTGTAGAAAAGGAAAAATAGATATCTATCTATACAATAATAGATACAGATTCATGGTTTAGAAACTCGCCATTTTGAATGTCCAGGCTCTACCTTCATTCACGGAAGGGCCTCATTGTAACTTCACAACTCCCTTTTAAATGGCTCACACCGTTTTGGCAAAGGCATAGAGATTTCCATGCCGACTGCGGGCTTTGTTTCAAATCTAGGTTTTTAATTGGGCCTTATCTGTTTTTTTTACTGGCCTTCTAACACCAGTGGCGTTGTTAGCCCCCCTTAGAGCAGAACCAGGCATTCCCGGCAACACCGAAGTTATCTCTCGGCCAACGGAATTGCTACCCAAGTTGTCCTCGCCGGCTGCCGCCAAGAATTGCAATGGGTTTACATCGGCTCACGCGGCCTTCCATGGACTCAATATCTTCCCCAGAAAACCGCTACTGATTATTCCCTGATTGGACCTGATTATGCAACAACGACGGGGATTATTCTCAACAACCGGCTCAGCTCTGCTTCAGAACGACCCGCTACTCAGCTCGCCCACGACAGCTAACGAAACAAGGTACATTATATCAGCTCACCATTCTTACACTCAGTTAGACCCTGTCGACCTATATCTGATTCTTCTACCCAATTGTATTTGTTCAACTGGTTCGGAGAAAAGCAACAATGGCTGGATTCTTCTCATAACTAGGCGTTTCATTTTCAAATTCAGCCTTTACCGTGATATGTGAATGGGTCTATTTTGACATGTCAGCAGAAGATGTGTAGCGGAAATAATTTACATGTTACCATGGTTCATCTGATTCGGCTCATTGGAAGGATTTACTTAGTACATCTGATGTAGCAACTGTATGGTTGGTTGTTTGCGCCAACCAACTCCCAACTTTGTTATACTATCATTTTGGTATCCCTGACATTGTTTGGAGCACCTAAGTATCTCCCCTTTTTTCTTAGCTCAGGGTGCCGTTTTCTACTGCTACTGGTAGAATCGTTGTAGTTGAGTCTTGGCTGAAATCTTAGCTGCTGCTATCATTTGTATTTTGTTCCTTTAGTTCAATAAAATCAGGTGCCCCATTATAAAGACAAAACTCAGGCGGGCAAGTCATGTTGTATGATCTAAATTTGGATCTTTCCTGTCATTCTACTTATAACAATTCGTATTCCTCAACATTTCTAAATCACTCCATGATCATATAAATTCATATGAGTCACTTCATTGTATGCTGTTCATTTACACCCATGCTCAGGCATTACTTATGTTCTCAAACCTAAACTTACATTGTTTTACAGAGGTGATGTTGTCAAAGTTGTTATCTGGGGAAGAGTTGTAGCTGAATTTGATAAGTTGATCAAACCTGGTGGTGATGAACAAGTCATACTGGTTGTAACTGTTGTTTCTGTCAAAACCTACCAAGGTACAAAATTTGTTTACACTGTGCTGCATTTGAGATATATGGGTGACTGATCAGTAGGAACTACATCAATTTACTTTTCTAGGTGAACTTTGCTTTAATTCTTCCGGTTCAACAGTGTTGTATCCCAACCTTGATATCCCAGAAGTAAAGGCTTTCACAACTAGGTATTCTCTTTTAATTGCTACTAAATATCCGAACCATACTGTTGAACCAGTGTCAAATTAAAACATTTATTTTCTTTTCAAAAAGGAATGTGCAACCACAGCAGCCCGTGTCTTTTGAATTACCCCCACCCGCCTCCATTCCTGATGTTACTCTATTAGAATTGCTGGAACTTCAATTGGACCCTGATAATGAGGTTAGATTATGGTGTTTTCTCTAATTTTACATTATGGTGTTTTCTCTAATCTATACTCAATATTAATTCAATTTGACTACAATTAGGAATGTGTGTATGCTGTCGAATGCAAAGTCGTAGGAATCAAGCCATTTTGGTGTTACATGGGTTGTCCAACATGTGTCCTTAAACCCATAGAAATACATGGAGAATACTACTGTGTCAAATGCAACAAGCCAACACCAACTAGAGCTGCCAAGTAAATACCACATCATTGAGTTTCAAAATAAATTCCATCAGCCCATTGAATTATAAACTACATTGAATATGCTTCCTTTCCATTTCATGCCTTTTCATATATGCTTGATGTTGAAAGCAATTCTTGGCCAGCTACCTTTATCATCTTTGAGTATGAAGCAAAAAACGCTTCTTTGGTGTCAGTGGTAATGAACTTTTCAATAGGACTGGTCAAAATAATGAGGTACCCCCTGCAGATCTACTCAAAATAGCTGGTGCCACCAAGCTATTTCATGTCAAGTTCAAGATAAATATCTACAGTGATTCACAAGCTGATTTCACTGTCTTAAAAATCTTGGAACCCACAACACAGGTGAGCTACTCATTAGACCTTCCAGACTTATAATTCTAATATGATTTTTTGTGTACAATGATTAGGACACATTTTTGCATGACCTGAATCGTACTTGGTTAATAATAGATTTCGTTCAATCCTTTTTAATTCCTATTACTAATTGTTTCTACTTTCCACCACTTCGAATCTCAGTCTCCAGCTTCTGTTCTTCACAAAGATGCCTCGTGTGCATCAATTACCAGTGGAATTGAGTCCTCCCAAACTTCATCTCAACATTCCATCCCAATTCCAGCACATGGAGAGGCAGACAAAGGTGTTTCTGTTTATATGACACCTGATAATAAACTGAAACAAAAGATGCACCCAGAGTGATATCTGAGGGTTGGAACTTTACATCACCAAGACCCTATTAGTAGTTCCACTTTGATTTTGCAGAAGAGTAGTTCAAATTCCTTTTGTTTCTAGAATGTTGGGTGTTTGTCCAAACTGTTTACTGGTTTTCCTTTTTTCCGTTTGTTGTGTTGCACAATGACAATGGGACTCTGTGCCCTACAAGGATTTATGGATTTCAATATAAATACCTATTTTGTTGGATGCAACTCACATGTAATTCTTACTGCAATAGTAGCTTAAATAGTATTTAGCATCTTTCATTTCACGACTTTAGATTTTAATACCCATGTAAGTATTTGACATTTTTTATTAGAAGTCTCATCATCTTTATGATTCTACTCAAGGTTACCCGGCCAACGGGCCGGGCCCGACGCTAGTTTAATAGAGGCCACAAGCAACACCGTTAACCTAGCCTTTTTCCCGTTAGGTGTTCCGTTGAGTATTAATTTATAATTAATAAAATGAAAGAAAAGGAACCAATAGAAGTATCCCACCTGGACAGGTTGCAGGAATCCCCTCCAACCTAGTCTGCAGGTAAATATTGTCCATAAACTAATGTATTAAACTATTATTATTGAATCGTTTCCCTCCTTGTACATTCTATTTACTTTGAGGACCTTTTTGGTTATTTGTCTTGTAATCTAATTATCCATGGAGATTAGTTGACGGGGTATATTAGGAGTTGAGGTTTGCTTTGCTAAACCAACTCTCGTATGCGCAGCCTGTATATTGCGAAGAGAAATAAAAGAACCTGAGAGCTTGGCTCTCCGTGGAGTAGTCTCGTTCACATTGAACAAGGAAATCACGTAAATCATTGTGTTGTGCTTCCTCGTTTTAGTAGATTTTACATGGTATCAGAGCAGGTCGTGATCTAAACCTGTCGTTTCAACTATGACTACTGGGGAAGATAGAGGTTCGGGCAGCAAGGTCATCGTCACCGACGTGGATACCATTGCGATGACCTCGCCACTCTATCTCCACCCGTCAAAGAATCCATCCCAATTATTTGAGAGCGATCTCTTGACTAATTCTAATTACGGCGAATGGGTTAACGATATGACGGAAACCCTAATTGCTTAAAACAAGCTGGTGTTCGTTGATGGTAGTTTTCCTCGTTCCAAAGCAAGTCCAGGAGTCAGGGACGATGCTTGGAGACGTTGTGACGCTACGGTGAAGGGATGGCTGAAGACAGCCATGAGCAAGAAAGTAAAAAATAGTGTCCGGGCTGCCAAAACAGCGCGTGACATATGGGCGGATCTCCAATAGCGGTTTGGAAAGGGTTCAGCAGGAAGAGCTCAGCAGGAAGAGCTCATGAACTTCGCAGAACGATCGGCTCGTTGTGATAGGAAAAGCCTTCCGTGTTTGCCTTCTATACCAAGCTCATAAACTACTGGGATGAGCTTCATTCAGTCACTATAAACCCACGTTGCACTTATGGTACCTCTACATGTGATGTTGGGAGACAGACGAGGGAGAAGGAGGAAACGAACCGCCTATTTGATTTCTTGCTAGGGTTGGACGATGCTTTTTTGGTTGTGCGTTCTCAAATGCTAAGCTTTAAGCCAACACCATCTTTGGCAGAGGCTTTTCAGCTGGTTGCGGCTGAGGAGCAACAGCGCCACATCACAAGTGCTCGCCGTCCTCCGATTGAAGAAGCAACATTCCAAACTCGCCGCGAACGATAAACTGAAGAGGAACCTCTTCGTTGTAGCCATTGCAACAAAAAGGCCACACGAAGGAGACATATTTTAAACTGATTGGGTACCCAACTGATCAAGTAAAGAGTCGTCAAGCCAAGCGCGAGAGTGATGGATGACGTGGGAAGACTGATGGGAAGCCACAGCCGCGTGCAGCAAATATGGAGGTTGAAGAGAGTCCAATCCCAGTTCTGTCAGCAGTTCAGTTTGCTCAATTGAAACAACTACTGACGCCGCCCGAGCCTTCAGTTTCATAATTGATAAGCCGTTAATTGCACATGTTTTTACCCCTATTCTGGAGCCGTTTGAGATGGTAATTCTCGTGTTTTAGGCCGATTTCACGCTAGGTTGTGTTTGTTTGTGATATTTCAGGTCCTAGCAAGTGAATGAAGGTTTAGGAGCGAGTTCGGGGTCGGTTGGACGAAGATCGGGCGCGAGGCAAGTCAAAAAGGAAGCCACACGGGCACACCCACAACTCACACGGCCGTGCAAGTGACCACTTTGGCCTTGTGGGATTGTGCGAGCCTTCACACAGCCAGCCCTTATATTCACACGGCCGTGTGAAGTTGCACTTTGGCCGTGTGGAATTCTGCGAGGCTTCACACGGCCAAGCTGGGTGAGCTACACGGTCGTGTGACCCTGGCCGTGTGGGAAGCCTGAAATCCAATTATTCGGAACGCGGCGTTTTGACCTCACAAGGGCAACTGGGTATGCCACACAGCCGTGTGATCGGGAATTTCTGTTTAAAACTCGATTTTCAGCCAAAGGAAAGAGGAGAGCTGGGTTTTTGGTTCCCAAACACCCAAGGGACGAACCCTAGAGAGAGAGCGACTTGGGAACATTCTTGGAGCTATTTTGGAGGATTTCTTCGCCATTGGAGCTTGGGAATCAAGCTTGGAGATGGAGATTGAAGATCTAGATCAGATTTCTGCAGTCTCTCTCTTCTCTATGGAGTAACTTCCCTTCACTTAGGTTTTGAGGAACCCTAGTTCCATGTTTTAGGATCTTTCTTGTATGAAGTTTTGGCTGCTATATTGTTTGATTATAATCGATTGAGGCATGATTTATTGAGTCAATTGAAGCCTGATCATCTTCTCTTGATTTCTGCTTTAACCTATGATAGATAGAATCTGATTAGGTTAAGAGAGCTTCCTTGATTGATAGTGGTGAATTGGTTGTGCGAGAGTCAATCAATTCACTGCTTTGTACTGGAATTCATTCCAGTAGTGGAGATCTGTGTGAATCGCCTTAACAGTATACCCCGGTGAAGGCTAGTCGCCTGCCGGGTATTCTGTCTAAGAGGGCTTGGTCAGCTTAAGAGATTCCAAGCAAATTTAGGATCTTCCGCAGTTTAATCAACAGTAGACCAACCAAAAGTAATTGCAACTTGGACTTAACTGAGGAGCTAGGGGGAATCACACCTAAGTGAGTTCCCAACCTGTAATTAGATTAACTTTAACTGTAGTTTGCTAGAGTAGTTTTAGTTCTTTCATCTTCATCTGGTTTGCTAAATAATAAACTGAAGTTGAGTAATAGTAACTCTAGAGACCCGTGGATTCGATATTTATCACTTGAGCCACTATACTGCAGTCCCTTCCATTGGTTACACTTGGCCATTGTTAGGTGTTGTGTTTTAGCGTGTCAAGTTTTTGGCGCCGTTGTCGGGGACTTTCTAGATTATTAGGAAAGGCAAAAGTTTGTTACTTTAGCATTTTTTCCACCCTTGCTTTTCACTTGGGTGTTTTTTTTTTTTTTTTGCTTTGTTGGTGCAGATCTGAATCATGGATCCTAATGGCTTCTCTAACCAGTGGGGGTATCCACCACCATCTGAGTGGTATTACCCCGAGACTTCCTGGAGCAATCAAGGAGGAGAGGACTATGGATTCGGGTTCCAGTACCAACCCCCTTACTATGGAGAACAATCAGGCCCCTGGGCATATCAAGAACAACCTCATTACCAAGAAGACTTTCTCCCACAACCAGAAGGGCCATCGGAGCTGGAGTTACCCATGGCGGCCTTCGCGGGCCACTCTGCAGAGCCATGCTACACTTCACTGGAAGATCCGAACAAACAATTAAGGCTTCTCGTGGAGCAGTTTGCTCGAGACACTGAGAGATCATGCTCCAAGATGGATCTTCAAATCAAAGCCCTTGCCCCTTCCGATCCCTCATTTCTCCATGATATGGAGGAGACTGTTCAGCGCTCAGCGAAGCAAACAGAGTGGGTGCAGCAAGTTTGCTCACATCATGCTCAAGATCACCTTTCTGCTACCACGCTAGAAGAGGTGGAGGATGACAAAGGCTACGGGGATGTTGAGGAGCATACAAAAGTTATCACAGAGAACTCCCATGATAATCATGATCAGGAAAGTCCTCTGGTTGCAGATCACACATTTCCTTATTTCTGCTCTAACATGTTGGGCCCAAGCGAGGAGATGCAAGATGATCTCATTGAAGAAATTACATGGCGACTTGCTCTCCAATCTGTGCTAGAAGGAGAAGAGCAAGAAAGGGTGCAGAAAGAAGTTGTGGAGGATGACGAAAGTGAAGCAGGAGGAGTTCTTGATCATTTCCCAGGGGTGATACCACATGAAGAAGAAAGGGGGGTTGAAGAAGCAATTGGCGTCCAGGCTGAGGACGGAGTTAAGGTGGAAGAGGCCTGCACCGGCCATGAGTTACATGTGATATCCCCAACAAACTTCGAGGAGCTTCTTGGCAAGGACCCATTTGCAGTGTCTCTTTGCCAGACCAAGGCCACGTCAACATCGGTCCCTCTTAGTGGAAGCGATGGTGGCCAATCGATGATGTCATATCTGGTTTGGGGCAATGAGACGAGAGAAGAGAAGAAGAGGTCTCGAGGGTGGAGACTTCATCTGCATCAAGTGCATGAGCCTTCATCACCTGCCACACCACATGCTCGTGACTTGAGACTCCACCTCATCGACGAGAACCTCAACTTCAAGGAGGTTTTGGGGTGGACCGAAACTTAGGAGCCATCGTCCGGCTCACGACGTGAAAGATGCGCTTGTTGGGAGCAACCCAACCAGTCGGTTTGCATTTCTTTCTCTATTTCTCCTCGGTTGAGTCAGTTTTGTTATTTGATTTTAGAGTCAATAACTCAACCTTTGTGAGATTTTGTGTGGTGTTTGTGTTCTGATTACTCTCTCTTTCTGGAATGCACCGCCTGACCCGTCTATCATCATTCACCCTTGATCGGGTAACTTCGTTCTACCCTCCTTATCTTTCCTCCATTGAGGACAATGTCGTGCTTAAGTGTGGGGGGTGTTCGATTATGTATGCGGGTGAATGTTGGCTGTTTGTGTGCTTAGAGCCTAGTCCACTGTCCAAATCTCGAGATTTGAGGGCTCCAAGTACTGTTGTTTGATCATATTGGAACTGTGTTGTGATTGGTGAATTGAATGGTTTTCGGATTGATGCATGACAGCTTGATTGTGACTAGGACAACCTATAATGATGACTGAGACGTGCAGTAGAATTGTGTAGGGGTTCAGTTTTTCAACTGTTTGCTTACCAACTATGACTTGGATTGATTACTTGTTCTTGACAGTCTCTTATGCATCTAGTTCAGGGAATCAGAATGAGAGATAGAACATATAGGTAGCCATGTGAGATTTGAGCCTGCTCGTTTCTTTCTTGTGCGATAGATCCCTCTTCCATGATTTGTAGCATTCACGTTGTCATTAGCTAAGATGATGGAGGCATAGGATTAGCCCACGACCAAATTGACTGTCCTGGTGTGTCATATCCCCTAGTCAGCCCCTTTGAGCTGTGTGTTATTCCTTCTTTTGGTCTGAAATGAAAAAAATCACCCTTTTGCATCCTTTAGAAGGTTCCACAGAGTGGTTTTTACATGTTCTCTGCTGTTTCTGCTAAATTTAATGTGAGTGTTGGAGATAGTGCTTAAAAGTTGGGCATGTGTTTGAAATAGGTGCAGAAGTGGTGGCTCTCTTAAGAAATGAAAAGAAAATGAAAGAAAAACAAGAAAAATTGATAGTCGTAGAGAGCCACTACCAAAAATCTGAATAATGCCCAGTAAGTAGTGTTTCTTAGCAGTCTGGCTTGGAAATGCTGACATTTATACCTCCTTCGCTCTTGTTCTCTTGAGATATTGAGTAATGCAGAATAGCAGAAAGAAAGTACTGGTTTGATTGACTGTGAGTTTGTTGGGTTTGGAATTGTGGAACCTTGTGCTATGAATACTTCCACCACCTAAAAGGCTTTTTCCCCATGTCCACGACCCTAGCCAGTCATTTGAACCTGTGTCTAAGACCTCCTGATTAGTTAGTGATGACAACCATTTATGTGAACTCTAACCTTTAGAGGTTGCCGTCATGGTGAAGAGATGTTAGGAATTGAGAGAATTAGTATGCACATTTTTCGCATCAAATTGTCCTGACCCCACTGGTCGAGAGTGAGCGATTCATTTCCTTGTTCTTTACACTCTTTACCCGGTGAGGACCTAGATGGCTCGGTCTTGATTCTGATGTCTTGGGTTTAATGCATGAGTTGACTGTCTTGAGTGAGTGATTGAGTCAAGTCTATGTTGGTTGATGAACAGAAGGGAGACTCCTCCTTTACTCGATTTTGCTGCACTCGAATGTCTTCTGTGGTGGTTATCCAGGTTGTTGTTGAGGTTGTTCATGCGTTGATGTTTGAAAACCAGTATGATTCACGTGTTCTGTGCCTATATGATTTGTCCCCAATGTTGGTTGATTGAAATATGTAAGCTTACCTTGTGTCTGACTTGGTTTGCTTGGGGACAAGCAAACGGTTAAGTGTGGGGGAGTTTGATAAGCCGTTAATTGCACATGTTTTTACCCCTATTCTGGAGCCGTTTGAGATGGTAATTCTCGTGTTTTAGGCCGATTTCACGCTAGGTTGTGTTTGTTTGTGATATTTCAGATCCTAGCAAGTGAATGAAGGTTTAGGAGCGAGTTCGGGGTCGATTGGACGAAGATCGGGCGCGAGGCAAGTCAAAAAGGAAGCCACACGGGCACACCCACAACTCACACGGCCGTGCAAGTGACCACTTTGGCCGTGTGGGATTGTGCGAGCCTTCACACGGCCAGCCCTGATATTCACACGGCCGTGTGAAGTTGCACTTTGGCCGTGTGGAATTCTGCGAGGCTTCACACGGCCAGGCTGGGTGAGCTACACGGCCATGTGACCCTGGCCGTGTGGGAAGCCTGAAATCCAATTATTCGGAACGCGGCGTTTTGACCTCACACGGGCAACTGGGTATGCCACACGGCCATGTGAGCCTGGCCGCGTGATCAGGAATTTCTGTTTAAAACTCGATTTTCAGCCAAAGGAAAGAGGAGAGCTGGGTTTTTGGTTCCCAAACACCCAAGGGACGAACCCTAGAGAGAGAGAGAGCGACTTGGGAACATTCTTGGAGCTATTTTGGAGGATTTCTTCGCCATTGGAGCTCGGGAATCAAGCTTGGAGATGGAGATTGAAGATCTAGATCAGATTTCTGCAGTCTCTCTCTTCTCTATGGAGTAACTTCCCTTCACTTAGGTTTTGAGGAACCCTAGTTCCATGTGTTAGGATCTTTCTTGTATGAAGTTTTGGATGCTATATTGTTTTATTATAATCGATTGAGGCATGATTTATTGAGTCAATTGAAGCCTGATCATCTTCTCTTGATTTCTGCTTTAACCTATGATAGATAGAATCTGATTAGGTTAAGAGAGCTTCCTTGATTGATAGTGGTGAATTGGTTGTGCGAGAGTCAATCAATTCACTGCTTTGTACTGGAATTCATTCCAGTAGTGGAGATCTGTGTGAATCGCCTTAGCAGTATACCCCGGTGAAGGCTAGTCGCTTGCCAGGTATTCTGTCTAAGAGGGCTTGGTCAGCTTAAGAGATTCCAAGCTAATTTAGGATCTTCCGCAGTTTAATCAACAGTAGACCAACCAAAAGTAATTGCAACTTGGACTTAACTGAGGAGCTAGGGGGAATCACACCTAAGTGAGTTCCCAACCTGTAATTAGATTAACTTTAACTGTAGTTTGCTAGAGTAGTTTTAGTTCTTTCATCTTAATCTGGTTTGCTAAATAATAAACTGAAGCTGAGTAATAGTAACTCTAGAGACCCCTTGATTCGATATTTATCACTTGAGCCACTATACTGCAGTCCCTTCCATTGGTTACACTTGGCCATTGTTAGGTGTTGTGTTTTAGCGTGTCAATAATCTACAACACACATGGCTGGTAATTCTCCTGAACCTCTTGAACGAGTCATCGATTCAGGATGTAATGAGCATATTGTGTGTGACTCTAGTTGGCTAGATAAGGTGAACACTGAGGACTATCATTTGCCGGTCCGCATTCCCGATGGCTTGAGCGTGTCGATCCTGGGTATAGGATCTGCACAATTGAGTCCTCACCTGTGGCTGAACCGCATCCTCCTTTTGCCTGCTTTCAAGTGTAATTTGTTTTCAGTTAGTCGCTTGACAAAGGACAATGTTGTGACATTAACCTTTGTCGCTAATCTTTGCGTGATTCGGGACTCATGCTCCAAGACTATGATTGAACTGGGTCATCTTCGTGATGGGTTGTACTACCTTCGGAGATTCGGGGAGCTAGGAGCTCGTGTTGATGATGGGATTCTTAGCGGATTTACCGAAGTAGCCAGTAAAGTCACGTCGAAGCTCTGGCATACGAGGTTGGGGCACCCCTCCGTCGAGAAGTTCCGAGTTTTACATTCTTGTTTGTCTTTGTCTGTAACATCCTTACCCTTATAAGAGTGATTAACTCATAATGACGTTATTAATGATGAGAATAAGCATGACGTCCTTTAAGTCGAGAATCAAGTAATTGTGGTAGTATAAGAGGTTAGTGAATTGATTTAGAGGTTAATGGAAATTAATCAAGTGGATTTAGTATGGAGATTATCATGAAAGATGGACTAAAATGAAAAGAAGGAGAAGTTTTGGAGTGATACGGTAAATACCTTTTGGGGTGGGTAGTTGGCTTAAGGTGATTGGTGGAGAAGGAGAAGAGTATAGAGATTTCTAGAGGGAATGGGCTGGAAATTTCAGACCACCACCTTCCATTCTCTCTCATTTCTCTACTCCTTGCTCTCTTTCACACTCAACACTCTTAACTAAAATCTCGATTTTACAATACTGGTTACAGCTTCACTACAAAAAAGGCAGTCATTTGTGACGAAATCTTACTGATGACTAAAAAAATGCGTCAAAAAAATTAATAATTCCGACGGGAAACAATTTCCGTCTGTAATAATGAATTATTACTGACAGATGTGGTTTTTTTGTCAAAAATAGTATTTTTTTCGTCAGTGCAATGTTTTTTGCCCCACTTTTTATTTTTCACGGGGCTTATTTTTGACGACTTCATATTATGCGTTAGAAATAATCAGTATTACTAACCAAAAAAAATATCTCGCCAGAAAATATTATTATTATTGACGTCAAAATACCGATCGTCGAAAATATATTTTTAATTTTGACGGAATGAATTTTTTTTCATAAGTAATTGGTCAGAAAATGTTTTTATTGACAACACTAAAAGTTCATCAATACTAATTGGTCAGAAAACCCCAATTGTTACGCCATAAATACTTCGTCGGTATTATTTGGTCAGAAAAAATTCTTTTTTGACAAAAGTAAAATTTTATCAATAATATTTGGTCAGGAAAACATCTTTTCTTATAATATAAAAATTATGTCAATAATTTTGGTCAGTAGAACACATTTTCTGATATCATAAAAGTTCGTCAATACTACTTGGTCAGGAAAAAAATCTTTTTTGACAACAGTACATTTTCGTCAATACTATTTGGTCAGGAAAACCACTTTGCTGATATCGTAAAGCACTTTTTGACGCAATAATCCTTTCGTCAGTACTATTTGGTCAGGAAAATTTTCGTGACCACAGTTTGGTCAGGAAAAAATAACATTTTTTACGCCATAAAATGTCATCAACAGTAAATGGTAAGCACAAATACATTTTGTACGCCATACACAAGAATGACATGTTTTGAATCAATATATAAAAAAACACATAGTAAGCAATGTTCTATGAAAAATATAATGGAAATTATATAATTTATATTTCGATCTACAAAGACAAAATTAGTCATACTTAATCTTCGAACCCGACTCTAGTCCAATTTAAGAGATCATCTCCCTCGGTTTGGAGTACCCTAGAATCATCAATTAAAATATAGTCTTCTTGATAGGCTTCGTCTAATGCTCCTTCTCCTTCTCCTTCCGTATTAGATGGCATCGTGAACAAATTTCTTGGTCGCGTTTCAACCACAATTTCCCAATTTGGATCTCTTAAAGATTGCACATAATAAACTTGAGATCGTAGATGTGAGGAATGCAGTTCCTCACATTGTTGAATCTGTCTTGCAGAGACTTGGAGTGCGGCTGCCCGAGTCATTCGATATGGTATGTATTTTGCTGCCATGTTTTATTTTTTACTCATTACATAATTTTCGAAGCTATGGCTAATTTATTTGTTATATTCTATGTAGGATCTCAACAGTGAAGTAAATGGGGAACAAGGTCGAGTTGGGGAAACTCAGGGTAACGATGTGGCCGACGACGAGTCCGATGACAAGTCCGATGAGGAGACTGCCGAGGAGACTGCTGCTGATGCATGACTTTCTTTTTAATGCTATCGTAGGATTCTAAGTATCGCTTGAATTTGGGATATTTTGTGTCATTTTCGGACGATATTTTGTCTTTTGAAGTTTGGATGTTTGGTTGTAGCTGATGGCTACTTGTTAGACAGTTTGAAAGTTAATTTTGGAATATGCATTACTTTGTTTGGATGATTTGTTTGTGTTGTCATCACTAGAAGTATAATGACGTCACAAATGAAATTTGATCAAGCAATTAGCAACAAATGTCGTCGTCGTTAATAGATGTAATTGCACAATTGACAATAATTAAGCGTCATTAGTAAATGTAGTTTCTCCAACGACGTGTTGGAA